GAAAGACGATTGATCGCATATAGGAGGACAGCACGTCGTGTTTCTTTACGATCAGGGGATTAGCGTCGCACACACACACACGCAGTCTAATTTAGTCGCCGTGGAGGTTTTTGAGGATGACGACATGGTGAGGCTTTCACATTGTGGCCCCTCATCTGTTCTGCCCGGGCGATGACAAGGCCAAAGGACGGGTTGAGCTCTCGCACTCCACACTCGGCCGTGTTGTGACGGCAGTCGCGTGTCGAAGCGATGGGCGGACACGCAGTGCAGATACTTTCGTGTTAGTCTAATAAAGGGCATCAAAAAAACGTTCCACGGTGCTTCTAATTCGTCGGTGCGATACTCACGTTGCTGGCGTTTTCCTGAGCCTTTTTGGCAAGATGATAACCAGGAGTGATCATGGCGGGGAAGCTTCCTTTGCCTCGTTGCTGCTCGTACTGCTCGGTGTAAGCAACCTGTAGACGGAAGATTATTTGGGATTAAAAAAAAACACGCAAAGGAATTAAAATAATTGAAACCGCAATGAGTTTTCTTTTTAAGTTAATTAATTTATATATTCATTGTTTTCTAAACAATCATTCTGGGCCTGAATCCCAAACTTTAAAAATAAAAGGATGCATAGCTCTTGTACTGTAGGATCCACTGTGTATCTGAGTGAGAAGGGACCTTTGATGTCCCTCCCTGCAAGACATTTCATGGACGTGAATCAGCATATGATAATGTGGCGTCCTATTTGATTTGCCAGAGGCCGTTTTCATAAAGACGATGTTGAATAAAACGGCGAGAGTAAGTTCCTTACCTGACTGAAGTTCTCTGTATTTTCTCTGGCGTGAACTGCTCCAGCTACCGCTGCCTCGGCGCTGGCTTTACCCTTCATCTCCTGTTCATACAGCTGACGATACTTAATCTGGTGGGACAGGAAATCCATTACCGACGGAGGATCGGCGGGGGGGGGGGGCAGTGTGTTTGTGTGCTTCGCATACGTCCAAAGAAATGTGGCTTACATCGCTGGCCTGCTCACTGGCCTTCTTTGACATCTTGTATCCAGGTGTGAGATGTGCAGGGAAGCTACCTTTACCTCTCTGCTGCTCATATTCTTCTGTGTAGGCATACTGGAGAGAGAAGAGCAGTGATTGGGGCACCCAGACTGCGTAAAGCACAGGCTGCGTAGTACTGTTGTGTTAAACACGTCCCGTCCGAGTTATCATGACGTCAGGGAAGGCTTAAAGCTTACATCGCTGACAACTTGTCCTTGTTTTTTGGAGAGAAGCACCTCTGGGGGGTCGACAAACGTGGTGTATTTTGAAACTCTCTCCTCGTGTCCCTTTTTATATTCCAGCTGCAAAGAAAAACAAATAAAATAGCTTAATTTTTGCACATTATGAAGTGGACCTCAAGCAACCGGGGACAGAGACACTTAAACAAACGGCTTGGAGTCACTTCTCTTTTTTCCCCAATCGGTACTTACGCTGCTGGCCAAAGTGTTGGCTGTCTTAGCAGCCTGGTAACCTGGAGTTATCATGGCTGGGAAGCTTCCTTTGCCTTTTGACTCCTCGTATTCTTCCATGTACTCCACCTGCCAGAAGTCAATCAAGACACTCCGTCGACAAAATCCATCCCTGCAACTGGGCTTCTTTTTTTGTTCAATAACCCCATATTTAGATTTGATTGAAAAAGAAAGTCGACTACTCACGTCATCGAGGGTCTTCTGGGTCTTCTGAGACATGGTGACTACCTCCTGGTTGGTCACCGTCCCCGAGTACCATGTCTGCTGCTGTGAGAACTCAGACTGAGACTGAAAGGCCTGTTTGGACATGAGGGACGGACGTAGTCATTCCCTAATTCATTCAAGACTCCCTTTAACGGGGCGCGATCGATAGCCGCTCACCTGGCTGGACATCTGGCCGGCTAGGCGAGCTTTCTCCAGCTCCACGGAGCTCATGTCATGGTGGAAGGTGGACATAAAGCGCTCGCCGTCCTCGCGATACTTCAGCTACACAGTGCACACAGAGGACGAGCATCAAGCCGAGGGCCGGTACACAACTGGCATGCGTAAGTCGTGTGCGTTGCAGCATCCGCTTTCATAGCTCAGGCTATACGTGAAATCAATAATGAGAATGAGCCCAGGCTTTTTTATCCACAGGGACAAACATCCAACTTAAACCTGACAACCTGATCTCAGATTTTTCACAGGGAAGAGATAATATTAGTGTGTGGTCATTAATAACTAACCTGCCGAGAAAGATCTAGAGAGGAGCAATGGGCGTGAGCTGTTTGCTAATGATCCTTAAGCTGTAAAAACTATTATTAGAATAGCTTCATAGCCGGGGATATAAGAGAGCACTGACCTCTCCGAAGCACCGGTAAAAGGCTCCCAATAAACATCGGACTCAAGCTTCAGTGAGGACTCAGGTTTTAGAATGAGATTGACAAGAACTCACTGAAAACAAGTCAAACGGGGGAACTGATGAAAAACAAATGTTTGCATCCACAAGGTCGAGGGTCACGTCAAGTCAACAAGTCCTATATCTCCGCAGTGACTTACAGGAGGCTCACCGCTAATATGAGCACAGGAACATTGCATGAACTACGGAGCGACACAGACGGGCGGGAACAGGTGGCCCCGGGCGGATGAGAAGAAGGGATGTGAGGACTTTTTTTTTTCTCCCGATGTATAATTTTAGCCCCCCGAGCATGAAGTGGGCTAAGCAGAAGGGGGGTGGAGAGGGGGGGGGGGGGGGGGGGGGGTTGTCTCGGCTCTGTCACAGGAACAGAAATAACCGGAGCCGCACTGCTCCATTCCACACGGCGGCCGTCGCCGTGGGCGACCTCTCCTTCTCTTCCACCCTTAACATGGGAACGAGCCCAACAGACGGCGGCTGCTTTGGGTCAGACCAATGAAGTGTTGGAAAGAAAGCGTCATTTTCCAAATTCACGAACACATTTTGGGGATTTGAAAACAAATGTAAACGGATCTATTCATATTCACTCGCAACGGATCCGTCCCTGTAGCGATCTCGCGACAAAGCGATGATAAATGGTCATTTCGCTCACGCCACAGACAGTGCACCTCGACTCAGGTGAAGGCCGAGATACTTTGTCTCATGTTGCTGCTTGTGTGTGTGTGTGTGTGTGTGTTTGCGCGTGACATCGTCTCACCTCGCTGCTGGCCTTGCTTTGCTTCTTTGCGTTGATGTTGATTGGCGTCTCGTAGACACTCGTGAAGGTGTTGTTCCTCGGATTGTGTCTAAACGGGTGATAAATGTAATTTTTAAATGGTCATCATTTTAATTACCGATTTTAACTGGATGAAAAGATAATTTTTTTTAAAGTTTTGGGAATTAATGCTCAAATTATAGTTCATGTTATCAGCTGTTACTCGTGATACTTACACAGAGCAATATGGCCTCTTCATGTGGCTGACAAAGTTTTTGGCAGTAAGCACCATCTTACAGACGTCACAGTGAAAACATCCTTTATGCCAGTTCTGGGACAAAGAGACATATCAGATTATTAATTGACAATGTCCCCAGAACATCATTTGAATCTCTAAATTCAGATTAAACACACAGATTTCATTAAACAAGGCCCAACATGACGACATTATTCACAGCATCATCAATTGATCATGCTGCCTTGTTCTTAAATATATCTTGAACTGTTTAACTCTTACTTTTCATCTCACTCAAGTAAAACTCTTACACAAAGCAGATTTAAACCTTTAGCTTAAGAAGTATGTCATTTTATATAGGCCGTGTGTATTTTTAAAAAGCATTTCATTACATTTACTGTTTGCTCAACTAAACCTTGTGTTGTATTTGACAATAAGATATCCTCAAAACAAACTCTCATTTTCCAGTTACAAATATTTACGGAAATAAGTTGATTGAAATTATCATACGTTTTTTTCATACTTTGATGTAATTACTGACTTGCTTGTCTATTTTGAAATGTATGTTAGATTAAATGCTCAAAGAAACAATTTCAACCTTCTTACAATCACATTATCTCACCTGGTCAATGCAGTTGATCTTCTCAGCCGGGTAGACCACAAACCCACACCTGGCACAGGACTGCATGGTGAATGTTTGTCCTTTTCCCCCCAAAAAACAAAACCTATATGAGAAGTGAACTAACGAATAAAGTTCGGTCGGACAGACGGTTTAGTAGAGGGACTGGCAGTGATTCTGACGCGGTCCTGGTAGTGTGTATCTCTCCGGTGGTGGTAAACTTAGCTCTGGGACTGTGAGCCTTTAAAACGGTCTCTTTCTTGACACCATGTCCCCCGATGGACCAACCCCGTTCCGTGTACCATGCTAGAAGACTGGCTGAGTCCAGCTGCAGGGGGGGGGGGGGGAGAAGGACGCAGAGAGACGACTCGGTCAGATGTCACTGTATGTGTGTAATGATCCTGAGTTGGAAAGCAAGTTCCACTTTGGGCATCTTGCCTTGGCACTTAGACATAAAAACGTAATGCATTATGTCATAGTTTTACTTATAGCTTATTCTGCTAAGTATGTTGACACATATGAATAATTCTACCTTCATTTGCAGTATTACTATGCATACTTGGATGTTGACGTACAATAATAAAAAATAGAGGGGTGATGAATGCAGCTTTGAGCTATAATCCTGTGCTCTTATATGCACTTCAGGGTATGAACTTAATAGAGCAATTGATTATGTACCTGTTGGGAACATGTAAATGTAACATCGGGGTTTAGGAAACTTAGGTAATCTACTGATACAAATACTTAGTTACAAGAACAGTAATTGAAAACACAGTATTTTCCAAGGCCATTTGTTTATTCTGATCATCTATTATTATGTTTTGGCCAAAATATGCTATTTTAAGTCGGTCACAATTCAAACACAATACCAGGCAACATATTTGCCATTATGCTTATTAGAGTTGTTACACATGATAAACTGTGGAGTTTGGTACCATCCTCACGTCGTATGCTAATAGGAACAGCACGCAGGGCTGTGACGTCATCACGCACCTTGGAGACACGACGCGGCGGCTGGACGTCACCTTACTTTCACTTCCAAGTTCTCTAAGGAACAGAAACTTGTCCGAAAGCTTTTCCAGAGGGGAAGAAAACGCAGAGGGAAAAAAAAAAACTCCACAACCAACTCCAACTCTGTGAGCAGCAGCCAAGGTGACACAACACATTTACACGAATGACTTCACGGGTTTCGTGCAGACCGGGGGGGTAACAAACAAGTTAATGGCGCTAGGCTAACTTCCGCACAAGTCGGAGATGTAACGCCGTCGTGTTAAAGCTGCTGTAACGTTACAGGAAGTGAACCCCGCGCCGCACCGCAGATGGAGGGTTTAGCGCAGGATGTCGCGGCGGAGGAAGGCGGACCGACGGGAGACCAGACGGACGCCAAACCGGACCGCAGAGGAAGATTCCTGCTGTTCGGGTGAATTCCAGTTCCAAACATGTCCCTTCGTCAAACTCAACCACTCAATTAACTTTAAATCGACTTTTAAGATACTGACAAAAATTGCCCGTGCGGTACAATAAGGGGTGACCATATGCGCATGCGCGGAGGAGGGTCCGCACCTGTGGTCATATTTATCTCCCATTGTGTTATACAACGTGGGCCCTTTCCCAAATGTCCGCGTCGACAGTGACAAGAGGACCTTCTCTGTCTGTCCCTGCGGGATTCACAAGGTGGCGCTGTGAACCTTTCTCCCAGACGGCGTTAATGAAACAAGCCTGTATTCTCTGACTCGAAACAGTCTCTAAAAGAACCATCCAACGTTTTAGATTATTAACCGACGGGCTAAATTGTTACGTGAACCCAATCTGCTGACAGGTTTGCTCGCTTAGTCATGGTTATTATTTGGTATTTTTTCATTGGAAGAAGGCGTGATCCGCAGATTTATGTGTTACGTCATCTGTAAATTATTTTTGAATAATAACACAGAGATTATAAAGTAAAGTGGTTGGATTTATACTTCAAGCCAAGACTGTTATTATGGATAACTAAGATGTCTATTGGTGTACGTTTTTTTTAGCCAGCAGGAATATATATATATATTTTTTTTTTTATCTTCCCGCGTCCAGCCGTGTAGTCGAGGCAACAAGCCCCTCCCACTGCACGTTTGCCGGTACAGGTGGAATATGTGCCTGTCAGCAGGGGAGCAACTGGTTGCCCTGTCTGACCTCAGCAGGGATGGAGGCACAGGGGCCACGTGTGTGAATAGGCCTTTAGAAAGCGCTGGTGTGGTGGCCGGGCTGCTGACTCAGAAGGGGGGGCTCACAGAGCGCCGCCTCCCCCCCCCCCATCCTCAGCACCCAGTCAGGTGTCCATCCAGTACGGAGAGCATGTCGGTATCCTAGCACACAGCCAAAACGGAGAAGGAGAAACGTAACCTTTTTTTTTTGTGGGGTGGGGGCGGAAAAAACAAACCAAACCGAGGAGACGAAAACCAAACGCATTTCAGATGCAGAGTGGCGTGGCGCTTAATGACGAACCCAGGTAAGAAGGACGAAAGGAAGAAACCTTCCTCCCACCCCGCTTCTCTCTCTGCCATGCTCAGCCCACAGCACAACAGGACTGAAGGGGGAGAGGAGGGGGGGTTGTGCCGCGAAAACTTCTGGATCACATGTTGATTGCGACGAGGCCGGGGCCGCCCGGGAGTGTGTGCGTTGTTGCCGCGCATTGTTCCCTGTGCTCGAGTAACCTGATGACGTGGCTCTTCTGGAACAAGGGTTTGGGGTTAGGGTTCTGAAGCCAAGCCCCCCCCCCCCCTCCCCTCCTGACGGGCCTTGTCTATCTAGATGCGTCTTTTAATGAATGGAAGAACGACAGGTCTTTGAGAAGCGCCTCTCGGGAAAGATTTACTCTCGCTCGATCTGCCTTTGACGTGGTTCGGACTTTTTTTTGTACCTGTACCTGAGGAACGATGTTCTAGTTTCTTCTCCCTTCCGACGGTGGATTACTGCGATCAAATGTGGCTGTGACTTTAATGCCTTATTTGAAAAATGTATGTAATCTATGGTTTCTGAGTAAGTGGATCAGAGTGAGTCAGTTTTTCGTTGCATTGGAAGTCTTGATATTTGCTTATGACCAAGTAATTATTACGTGTTGAAACGTTTGAGCTTAAAAGGTTCCGTTAGTGTCAAGAATTTGGTATTGAAAGCCACGTAAGATAAGAGTTAACACTACGGTAGTCAACATATCAAATGGTCTGTCAATTTTTTATTCTTATCGAATTGGAATGATGCTGTATTTTTGATTTATGTCACTTAGAAACATTTGAGTTCAAACTGTCGTGACTGGCGCTGATTCGCTGATTTTCTCCGACTCTCTCGTAGTAAGAAGAATAAGGATGGCCAGACGCGGGAGCAGGACTACTCTTCTGAAAGCCATTACAGAGTCGTTTCACCAACATTCCAGTATAAGATGAGCCACCAACGAGTGGGCAAGTGCATCATCATCAACAACAAGAACTTTGATGAAAAGACGGGTACGGCGAGCGCGTTTCAGACACCGTGTGCACACTCGCTTCCAAAAGAGCGCGTGATTCCGAACAGGTTGTCTGTCTGCAGGGATGAATGTGCGTAACGGCACGGACCGAGACGCGGGAGAGCTGTTCAAGTGCTTCAAGAGCCTGGGCTTCGATGTCTTCATCTACAACGATCAGACGTGTGGGAAGATGGAGAGTCTTCTCAGAGAGGGTGAGTAGTAACATCTGGACACTTTTCTCTCACTTTAATGAGGCCGAGCTAAGTGTTTTGTGTGTGTGTGTGTGTGTGTGTGTGGGCATCAGCCTCGGAGGAGGACCATAGTGACAGCTCGTGTTTCGCCTGCATCCTGCTAAGCCATGGCGAGGAGGGCATGATCTACGGAACAGACGCCGCCATGCCCATCAAGTCCATGACCTCGCTGTTCAGGGGGGACATGTGCAAAAGCTTGGTCGGGAAGCCGAAACTCTTCTTCATCCAGGTACGAATTTCTGAAGATTTTCATTCATGAAAGACGTTAAGATATTTTTTTAAAAAGCTGTAAATTAACCTTAAGCTCAGGCCTTTGGGTCCAAATGGCCAAATGTAACGTTATTATGTTGAGAAGACAGCAATAGCAATTGTGTTTAAACCTCACCCCGTCTCACCTTTTTAAAGTCAATTAATTTTGAATTGCTTCACCAGGTCATCGTTGAGAAAGCTACTCAGGATCACAATGAAATGTCATTTCATTTACTTCACCAGGCTTGCCGGGGTTCCGAATTTGACGATGGTATACAGACGGATTCGGGTCCGCCCAACGATACCCTGGAGACGGATGCTAATCCGAGACATAAGATCCCTGTAGAGGCAGATTTCCTGTTTGCCTACTCCACCGTGCCAGGTAAAGCAGCCTAGCACGCAAACCATGCAGAGGCCATGGGTCACATACCTCACAGACGCCAGTGGCAGCGCTGACTCGCGTTCGTTTTATTCACAGGTTATTACTCTTGGAGGAACCCCGGGCGCGGCTCCTGGTTCGTTCAGGCGCTCTGCAACGTCCTCAACGAGTTCGGCAAGCAGCTGGAGATAATGCAGATCCTGACCAGGGTCAACTACATGGTGGCCACCAGCTTCGAGTCCTGGTCCGAGGACCCCCGCTTCAGTGAGAAGAAGCAGATCCCCTGCGTGGTCTCCATGCTGACCAAAGAACTGTATTTCAACTGAGGACGCCGGCCTCACCGACCCGACCTTGACTCAACGGACCGTTTCAGTTACCGACTTAGCGTTCCATGCATTCAGGGATGGTTCAGGCCCAGATCCTCACATGACCATTTTAAATGTGTAGCTGGGCCCGAAAAAAAACAAAACAAGCACTCCGTGATAAAAGAAAAAAATATTATTAGTGGCACTCCGCGTTCATGGGCTGATGGTGAATCTTCTTCAGGTTATCCTTTGGAAGTAATGGCGTCACATTTGATCGGATCTTTTCTTGACAGCCACGTTAAATATTCTTGTTGTTCCACCAGCCCGTAAAAAAAAGAAATTGCTGCCACTTCTTGTGGGTTTTGGGGAATCATATCTGAATATGTGTCTCTCCATTTTCCAGCACTCGCGATAGCTGTTGAAAGGAACTTTTATTTAGGACATGAAACGGGTTTAGAAATAGTTGACATTGTATTTGTAAAGTGTAAATCGCCATTACACAGTAAAATACATTGGACAAGTGATTTAAAAAGCATTTAATCACTGTAGGAATTAATACGGGGACTGCCTTGATTACAAACCCGGCCCTGGATCAGATCATTTCAATGTTTTCAGCTGTCAGGTGTCAGATAAAAAGAGACAGCAGAAAAAGACGACACTCCTCTGAGCAGAAACGCGATGCTTTGGCCAAAGGCTCCGTGTGTCGGCCTTCCTGGCAGGTTCTACGTTGGTAGCAGCATGCTGGCATCCTCAGGTTCTTCAATGTCCCACGAGGTGGGTTACTGTAATGTTAAAGAAGGTTGTATACGTATGGCTGGGAAGGAGCGACCGTCTGCTGTGTTGTGATTAGTTCTATGGGATTTTGGGTCAAGTGCATCGTATTATAGTCCACTCCCTCAAAAGTTAAGGCTTATTTGCAATTTGCCAGTTTTATTAGACTTCACTCGCTTGTTGTTCACCCCCAAAGGAAGTGAAGTATGTTTATCAAAATGATGCGCGGATCTTATCAGTCCAACAAATTAGTTATGGAATTTCTCTTTTTTTAATATTTAAATGAGATTTTTCTCCTCTTTATTTACTTTGATAGATGAAAGTATACATGCGATAGGACTTTTACACTAGAAAGAGAACTGTCGAAAACAGTACATTTGGGAAATTACAGTGTTAATCTGGACTATGGCCCAAAGCCCATATCCAATTCATTTTACTGTATATTAGTGTTGCACATTGTCTACACTGGTAGGACATACCCGGCAAAATGGTCCTATTTGTATTTCTTTTAATCAATCCTTTACTTTTACAGACCCAAGTCCTATAGTAGTAAATTAATTCTTATGACGGCGTTATGCGGTAAAATATCACATACATATTTGAATAGAAGATTTGCTGACGGTCCTTTCAACTTGCACAGAGTTTGTTTCTGCATTCTGTTAATGTCTGTCAATCACAGAGGCAGCTATTACTGGTGGTGACAAGTCTGAATATTCACAATCCACATGTCTGCAATACCCAATTAGTGTTGCTGCAATGTTTTTACATTATTCCCATAATTGCATGTGTCAGTAACTTAGGGGAAATGTTAAGGAAGCACTTCTAACTTGTTATTTTTTAATCAGTTTAGCACTTTTTCATCATATTTCTATTGGCCAGAAGTTTGATTAATACTGGCTTAAGTTAGCCAGTGCACTTGTCCAACACAACTCGACACATGGATCTCTGATCAGCGGTGCCCAACCTGTGCTGAAAGGAGCGTTTGCTCCACTTGTTTTTTTTTCCGATTGGAATTGAGGGAGGGAGAAAAAATATTTTTAAGGGTAAAATTTTAAAATGCTTTTGGGTGTTAAATGCTGTTGTCCTCAGGAATATAGTTGAAAAGATTTGGAAAAATTAATGAATGAATTTGAATCTGGCCCAATTTCTTTTTAATTTGGGGCAATGTATAATTAACCTCAAAAACAGAGGAATGCTCATGTAAACATTTTATTGTATTAAAACATAAAGAATTTATTCTGTAATGATGTTTGTGTTTTATTTTTTATTTTTATCTGCAACAGACACAATAAAAGCCAACACGGAAAATTGTTTACATTGTTTTAGTTTTTTCACTGAATATCATCCAAAACGAACATTGAAGTGTAGTATTTTGAGTAGTATTTTGAGAAAAAAGTTCAAATCCCATACTCTTAATTACCCTATTACTTCTAGGTTTATATATTTAGAAGGACACATTGGGCTGGAGGTTGACAGACACAAGTAGGACTACTAACCCTTTGTTGGTGACTTTAAGAAACATAAAGAACATTACCAGCCTTACCAAAAGTACAATTCACTATTCAATGATCAAAATGAATATGAATTCACTGTTTGAAAGCAGATCTGTTTGACTTTACATCGTTTTCTAACCTCCGGACAGAAGTTGACACTCCTGACAGGCCGAGCACCTCCCGGGTCACAAGTTAAAGATCTGAGATTCCTGGTCATTTGATTCCCGGCCTTCCTGCCCGTGAGGCGCTGCTGCTCCGCCTCAGAGAACAGGAGCTGATCGAGAGGCATCGCAGACCTTGAGGGACTTCCAGTTGGTGCCCTCGTTGTCGTGGCCGGGACACACGGCTTGAAGCAGGCTGTCGGCGAAGGTCCCTGCGCAGAAGCAGTGGAGCGGCGTCGCCGTGTCGGCTCCCAGGAAGCACACCAGGCCCGCGGGGAAGCTGCAGTACACCCCGATTCGGTCGAACTGCTTCCCCGCCAGCAGAGGCAGCTCGTGCTGCACGCCGCCGTGCCAGGCCGTGTAGTCTCCGTTGAAGTATTCCACGCACCAGGACCCCTCGCCTCGGCCCAGCCAGGAGTCCTCCACGCGGCCCTTGCGCGGGATGCTCGGGTAGGTGAGGCCCAGCTCCCAGTAGGTCTTCCCGCTCACGTCCACCTCCCAGTACTGGCGGCCCTCGCTGAAGCCTCGCCGGCTGAGCACGTTCAGGGTGGTCTCAAAGCGGGAGGTGGTCTCCGGGACGTCCTGCCAGGTGTCCGTGTAGGTGGCAGAGTCGCCTTCGGGCGAGATGATCAGCTTGGGGTGGGCGGTTTCGGCATCGAGGACAACGTCCGCAGCATCTGTGTTGGATGTGATGTGAGGAAAGCAGGTGTCATGTTCTCCCTGCAAGCTTAACCTTTGACGGCTTTGACAGCCAGGAGAAATACTCCCCCACATGTCAGTCTACTTGATTTTTTGGGGAGAGGAGGGGGGGGGACTCACAGGTCTGAAACAGCTTCTTGGTGACAGGGACCTGGGATCTGATGAACAGCAGCAGGTTGACGGTGAGACTCAGCAGTTGTTCGTTCCTGAACTCGTCCATGTGAATCCCGTCGGGGTCGCTCAGCTTCATAGTCTCGGAAACTCTAGTTTCAGCAAAATAAAGAGATGCTTTTTCCTGCCGACCTCAAGCCTAGATGCTGGTAAATTCATATTTGCGACGAGTTGTTATATTCTAAAACGTATACATACTTTTTGTCGGTTTCAGCAATCTGCTGCAAAGGAATAAATCATTACTTAATAGGTTGAATGAAATCTCAAGTCTTTGAACTTTTTGTGGTCATTGTGGTTACCTGAATTTCATTTTCTTGTGTTGTCACCTGGGCGCCGATGTCGGACAGTTGCTGGTCCAGTTCCTGAGTGAGGTGGTAGCAGTGCTCCATCCTGTCCTCCACTGTCTTCTCTGTGGCCTCCAGCTCAATGTCCATCTGGGTCAGCGTGATCATAAGATCCTGATCCAGAACCCGCTTCATGTCTTCGTACCTTTTCTGGATTTTCTCCTTGATTGCATTGGTCTTTTTCTAAGAATCAGAGGCCCAACGGTAGTTTAAATTAAACAGTAAAGGATCAGCGTACTCAATATGGAGAACCACTTGTATAACACAATAGAGCGGCCACTAATTTCATTTACAAGACAGCTTGCAGTACGTTACCTCACACATGGAGTAAGATGTCTTCAAATGTCACACAGCACACATTTTGATTTCAGCAATATGACACGTGGGATGTTTAGGAAAACAATGTCTCCACACACGGATGAAATGAGGGTAATATACCATCGGGTAATTCCAAGTCTCTTTGTAATTACATATAATGTTATTAGTATTTCTACACTTAACAGAACACCAGAAAATACACAAATACTTACTGTTATCTCCACCTGCTTAGCTGCTAGCTTCTTCATTCTATGGGCGAGGCCATCTCTTTGTCTCTGCAGGTGCTGCCGATGTTTCTGGAGCATCTCCTTTCAAGCAGAGACGGGCACATAGCATCAATAAGACCTAAATACAAGGACTGCAGATGCACATTGTGTCGGGTCAGTAGGTGCATTGCCTTTCCTTCTGAATAGAAGCCACAATGAAAACGCTTACTTGCTGTGTGGCCTTCCCTCCTTCCCTACTGCTCATTTTCTGTGTAATAGACCAATCTCTCACCGGGGGGGCAACACAACTACAAGGGTTTCTTTTATAGGCCTCTCACGCATGTGACGTGTGCCTGGGCAGGCACATGGTGGCCTTGAGATATCTGTCCCGGTGCTCTCCCACGTCCCACTCCAATAATACCCGCCTGACACCGAACATAATACCCCATGTGAGTGTGTTAGTGTCTGTGGCCCAGTTGCACATTTAGATGTTGCTTTTGTATCTCGTGGCCATTTACCGCACTCACGCACCAGGGCACAGTGACGAGTGAAATACACAGCCAGCCTACGTCTGTGGAAATTCTTTGCATTGCGTTAGCGGAAATGGTCAGGCCTATGCACACAACACACGAGCGGGGAGACGTCATATGCAGGCGAGGCCAACTATCTCCATCAGATTGTTCAAACGGACGCGCCCATTGAAGGGAAGGTTTACCGACAACGGCTTCACTGATGGACTCTGAGAGATGCGAGAAATGTGGCTCTGCTTATGAATCACATACTAATCCTTGAACAAAGCATATGTATTTATGCACCAACTTCTGAATATTATTATTATTATATTTTAGGATAACCCTATTATACATTTTTATTTATTACACTATGTAGTTGTACAAATATATACAGTAAGCGGGTATGAAATTCTTTTCTTACCAACCAGAAACCTGGTTTCACTTAAAACTACATAATGTTGTGTTTCAACCATTTATTGAATGTTTATGTGGTGACAAACACATCTAAACTTAAAGTCTTCACGAAGTGTTATTTATAGATGCTTTAAAAAAACACACAGGCGTTGAATTAACCAGTCATTTTCGGACATATTTTTGTGAACTAGAACCGGACAACCCAACACATGCATGTTTTAGAGTAACATTTAAATCCCTCTCCCTCCTACACCAGTTAGTCTTCATGATCATCCTGAAAAAACACCTAGTATGAAAAATAAGCATCGATCTTTTATTTTGTCTTCAGAGATGTCTGATGTGGTTCCTGGAATTCTCCTTTTCGACGACATTCAACTGCTTGGAATCCTGCAGCCTAACAACCACGCAGCAGGTGGACCTGAAAATCAACTGCACAAACCAGAAAGTCCAGTTCCCGTGAACACGTTTGTATCGCTCACCAGGAACCAGAAAGCCTCCAGCTTCCTCCTGCACTTAGTCAAAGAGAGCTAAGGGAGCAGTATCTCGCAAAGTGCTCCACAGGTAAGAATAACTTTTTTATTTTTGCTTTTAGTGCCAGCAGCCTGCTTTGTAATGTGAAACAAAATCGAATGCGTGTTTAAAAGTCAATAGATTAATAGACTTCTTTGTTGTTTAAAATAACGACTGATTTGCCTTTAATGGAAAATATATTTTAATCCAAAATAGCTTTAAGATTGCCTCTACCTAATTCTCTGCTTTGACAGAAGCATGAGTTTATTTAACCCGTGCAAAATGTCAGTTTCGAAACGATCGGCATGTGGATGTTTGAAGGCTATTTTGATGTGACAGAGACGGATTCCTGTGTCATTTTTGTTTAGGTGTGGTGTCACAATGATTAAGAGCCAGAAGAACACAGGTAATCCCACAAAGAAACCCACAATGTGCATAACATAACAACACATTCTTATTTGTTTCCTGATGGCTGACAGAGTTTATGGGGTTCAACATAGCCAGTAGTGTTATTTTTTTTGTTTTGTATGTATCTATTTGAAGCGCTTCAATGACCACACATGTTTTCAGTGAACAAAGGGGGAACCGTGTTCTACAGACCAGTCAAAAACACGGCAGAAGTCAGATCTGGATACCTGTTCAAGTCTCCTCCCCAAAAACTGGTGAAAACACAGGTGAGTTTGCACGAGGGGTAATCTGCAGCTTTTAATGTCTCTGGGGGACGTTTCTTAAGTTCCTTTTTTGCATTGTTTGTCCTGCAGAAATGGAAGAGGCGCTATTTTGTGCTGTTCAAAATCGACGAGCAAGAGCACCTACTGAAGTACTTCAAGAGTCCAGAGGAAAAGGACAGTCCTCTTGGAGCGATTGACTTATCGCAGTAAGTTCTCACAACATGTTGAATTTACCATATTTGAATAGCTCTCTAAATACAGTTAACCCAGCCTTTTTTTTTTAGTTATCCAGCATACCAGTGTTTAACATCTGTGTCATTTGTGTCCGTCTGTCAGAATCTCGTTGTTGTATAAGAACCCTGCAAAACACGGGAGATGGCCCTGGGTCGAGAAGGTGCTGAAGTGCTCCGCGTCCTGTGTGTTCCTCATCAAGGCGGCCGAGCGGGAGTACTTCCTCGCTGCTGACAACAGGTCAGGCGGCTGCTCAAATCAGGACACATTTTTTTCAAGAGTTTCGTTCGGGACCTTCGTGTGAGTTCAAAAAGTAGGTGAAGTTGTGATCAGGATGGAGGTTACACAGCTGGGTCGGCCGGCTGACACTACAGAGCCTCATAAAACTCACCTGTCGCGCGAGTTCAAGCAATCACATATAAATGTACCATGTGGATTTACTGTTTAACGGCCTTCCACTTTGCTCCCCACTTAGGTAACCAAATTACTTTTAAAATAAACATCACTTCAAAAATTATGGTTTTCAAGTGTTTCATTTGCTTTCAGCGAGGAGGCGGACGGCTGGTTCGCCGACCTGTACGAAGCCCTGAAAGCACGGCCACATCAACGCATGAGTTCAGAGGTACATCGAGATTTGAGTTCTTTATCGTGTTTTTATTTTTAATCCTTTTTTTCACTGCATTTTTTTTTTCATCCATCATATTTGTTTGTTTTTATACCAAAGGAAATGTTTTTTGGTCCGCCAACAGTTGAGGTAAATATTTAAAGCCCGAACCACATTAAATAAACAGTTTGTCAAGTATATTTAGACATTTTCTGGTGGAAAGTTAAGCGTTAGACGATCGATAGCACTCTCATATAATTAATATATTAATAGCCAGATAATAAGACTGTACATGTAAACAGCGGAATAACTGGCCTAGCTTTGTAAGTGAGCATTTTACTAAATGATAAACTAATTATTAAATTCTTAATCAGGTTCAGATATTTTTCACATTTTTGGAAGTTTTGTCATCCAACAAGTAGCTTTTGTCTTCTCGAGCAATGACTCCACACTCCTTTTGACACTTTGTCTTTTTGACCAGGTTATTTCATACCCCATCTTACGGATCAAGACATCTGCGGCTGCGCATCCGGAGGTCAGTCCACCATGTTAATGCAACTGTCACTTTAATTAATCCATGAATCCCGGCGGTTCATCGAGAATGACGACATTTCCGTTAGTGGGAATATCCTTGGTGCGTTGTGATGCATCCTCACCGTTGATCTGTTTTTTCATAGTCCTTAAACGTTCTGCTGACGGAATAATGTAAACATAAAAATAAAATGAATAACATGAAATGCTTTAATGTGTGCGTTTTCTTTTACAGGTGGAACAGAAAACTCGGTCAAAGTCTGATCCGTTATCAAATACTTTGGAGACCAACTCTAAAGAACCGAAGGTGTGACACCTGAACTTGATTCTGATTAGAGGACACAAATCTAATCCTAAAAGGTGTCAGGTTGTCTGATGGGAGGTTGGAAATGATCTATTGATCTATTTGTTGGCTATATTGCTTTGTGGTTGGCCCGCAGGCTGAAGACCACAGCAAGAGGCGAGTGTCGGAGCCTGTCTACGACTACCCGAAAACCTTCAAAACTAAAACACGAGCGGGAAATTTGACGATACGCAGAAAAAGCTTTGACGCAATGTGAGTGTTTGTTGTTGTGTACTCAACGGTGTGTTGATCCTGTTGGTTGTTTTAAGTGACACCTAACACGTGTCGGCGGTTGTTCTCTACGTGTCTCCCTTGCAGATATGAAACAATGTCCGGAATCATAGCGGAGCAGGCAGCGTGTGAAAGGTCAGAAAAACACAAATCCTGTTTCCCTACAATGATTACAAATATTTGCGTCACTGTAAACTGTAAGCAGATCCTTCCTCCGTGTGTTTACAGTGACTGTGAAAGCGAGGATTGTGAAGTTAAAGCGGGAAGCCTGATGAGGTCTGTTACTAATGCATTCGAAAAGATGAGGACACCAGTCCCCCCACTGCCTTCATTCAATGAGGAAACAGCTGATGAGGACAGGTAACACTGGGATTGAAAGTCGCCCTCTTTTCACCTCGTCTTCGGTGACACATGCGGTTTTCACAACGTCGAGAATCTAAGAAAGACAAAACCTCAGAGCCTGTTTGGCAACTTGCGAGCACGACGAGACACATATCTTTTCATCTCTGTGCAAGAGGCTTTAACTAAACAACGTGACGCTGAGATTTAAAACATGAAAGCACATTAGGGTGGACGTTGAATATTGAATAATTATAAACGCAAAGATGTTTGTAAATGCAACAGAAGTGGGTTAGAGTTATAAAGTCCGGGAGCAGGACAGGCAGGAAGCACGCGAGGAGGACAGGTTGTAGCAGACAGATTTGATCCCTTGCATTCCGAAACAGGCGATCAATTAAATCTCCTGTATGAAAATACTCTCTGCTGCTGTTTGTTTTCATATGTTTGCTACAGTACAAAACTGTGATTATTCTGCATTTTACACTGATTTTGAAGCCCCCCGTTCCCGGGCACCCCTAGAAAGAACATCTTTTCTACTGCATTCAGCATGTGGGTTAACAGACTGCTGCCTTAAGTGTCTCTTAATTACAATTTCTGTAGTGCGGCGATTTGGGAAAGATTTTCTTTTCTCGTGCTGCTTTAATTAATAATATTCTAACAAATCTCAAGACATCTGGTCAGGGCTTTTTCACCCATCATCAAACTATTCCTACTGTAATCATCTGCCAATCGTCTTCCATTCACACCCCCCCCCCCTCCAACACTTACACTCAGTTCCTGCTTCACGGAAGCCTTGTTGTGGTTCATTCACGCTGTCTCTTATGGGCCTGTAGTTGAATTCTTCAGCTTCAACTGAAACACACAACATCTGATGTTATGATCCCTCACGCTGCTCACTGCTTTTGCAGAAAAGAAAGGCGCTCGACGTCCGACTTCAGCAGCAGCTCCAGTGACAATGGCGCCGTCTCTCCTGCGGAGATGCTGGAGGATCTAAATAGGAAGGAAAGGGTGAGATCTGCTGAGAGGTGAGATTAACCTTTAATCCATCGAAGTAACCACTATAATAAATAAATGATATATCAACGGGGGCATTTTATGTGGCCTGTTTGCTCACTTTACTTTTAAATGTGCTAAGACATGAAACAGACTAAGCTGTGCTGTTGTAACTTGTTGTGTTATTGTAACGGGGGACACATTTGAAAAAAAAAAAAAAAAAGGTCCCTCAGTTAGACTAGCGTTGGAATGTTGCTGGACTGGTAAGAGTGGTTTCGGGATGCTTTGATGATTCTGACCTGACAATAAGCACAATAACTGTTAGAACAGACACTCAAGTTCACACGCATGGAGTCACTACTCAAATGAATATGCAACTCAAACTATAACATGAGGAGGATCTTCATAATTAAGCGTCAGTCACCTTAATGAAGCTTTTGTTTTGTCTTTCTTTCAAACCATCACATCATCACACCAAGGGAGAAAGATTTTCGCCACAGGATTGCAGATTTGAAAACACAACTTACAGAAGTGGAGCGGAACACAAGGTAGGAAATAGAACCACTTACATCATTGCTGTACGAAAAAAAGTCTAATAAAAAATGAAAATGCAGCTGAACCACTGTTAATCTAAAAAAGACAGAAAGACACAAATTTCACAGAAAAGCAAAGAAGACATCAGGATTTCCAATGCCAAACAATAGATGCAACACAAACTAAAACCAAAAACTATTGAATCGAAGAAAAAAGAAACATAGTTAAGATTTAAGACTTTAAATCTGTTTAATGCAGCAAAGGAAAGCTGCGGCTTATCGGTCATTTCATCATTCAAAGCAATCATTTCCTTTTCCTCTAAAATATAACGCAGGCAGTACAACAGTCAGACACTCTGTTTCCCAGCATCTCAAGGAGGACCGGTTTTAGCCAATCAGATTTGATACCTTGCTCACCAAAACAGGCGATTAATTAAACGCATCCACGTTGTGCCTCCTCTAATCTCCTGCATGAACACCAGAAAGAAAATCCTCTCCATTACATTCGGCACGCGGGTTAACAGACTGCTGCCTCGAGCGTCTCTTAATTAAGATTTTTGTAGCACAGCGATTTGGCAAAGATTTGCCTTTTCTTGTGCTGCTCTAATTAAATATTGTAATAAATCTCAAGACATCCGGTCAAGGCTTTTTCAGCCATCATCAAACAATCGCTTCTTTCCTTTCATCCGTCCTTGGTTCCTGCTTCCCGTGCTTCATTCACACCGTCTCGTGTGGGCTTTTGTTAGTTACTGATGTAACAGAAACACACGACAACATCTGATGTTATGATCCCTCACGCTGCTCACTGCTTTTGCAGAAAAGAAAGGCGTCTGACACCTTACTTCAGCAGCAAATCTCTTGAGGAGAAGCTGGAAGGTCAAAATGGGCAAACACGGGAGAGAAGTGGCTCCATTGAAAGGTGAGATCGACCTTTAATCCAAAGACGTAAACACCAAGTACATAAACAGTGATGCTCAGCAATGATTGGTATTCTTTTAAAAGACACACATGAAACAGACTGAGCTGTGCTATTGTTGATCAAAAAGTCACAGGCAACTTGTTGTGTAATTGTAACGGAGGACACATTTGAAAACAAAACAAGAAGGTCACTCGGTTAAACAATGAACCACAATGTTGGAATGTTGCTGGACTGGTAGAGTGGTTTCGGAAGTCTTCGGAAGTTTTGTAACTGCGTACATTTTTACAAGTACAGATTCTCAAGTTCGTACTTGTTTCCCAAATGTCAGATTTACGGCCGGCGATTGAAAGGTTTCAGTTCCCTCATTTCCTGCACCAATGAAGCACGGACTTACTTTACTAAAGATTTACTCCAATGAATATGCAACTCAAACTATAATATTAGGAGGATTTTCATAACCAAATGTCAGTCGCCTTAATGAAGCTTTTGTTTTGTCTCTCTTTCAAGCATTGACATCACACCAAGGGAGATAGATTTTCAAGTCACGCTTGCAGATTTGAAAAAATACCTTATACTAACAGAAGTGGATGGGAAGCCGAGGTAGGAAACACAACCACTTACTTCATTGCTGCACAAGACAATTCAAGTCTTAGATATTGGAGTGTTTTGATTGAGATATTTGGAAAGACTTAACAAATGATCCTTGCACACCTTTTTTAGGGGTGGGGGGGGGTATTGATTCATAATAAGAAGCCTCAGATGCCATTTAACATCCCCTTTCAAATGTTTGAAGAAGTTACTCTGACCGACGTAAAGCTGTCTGTCTGTCTATTCCCGTGTGGAAGGATGAGACTTTATTTTACTTCAGGCGTGGCTCCAATACAAACTAATAACATTTTTAAAAAGGCAGCTTAAGCACTGTGGGCGCCATCTAAATGGAGACAGAAATAAAACTTCAAATTTCACAGAAGCGCATCAGGATAGAATAGTAATATATACAACACCAACTAAGAATAACAACTATTGAATCCAAGAAAAATACATACTTAAGATGTAAGCCAAAAGAATTCAGATTCTGGGAGTAGATATGCAACAGATTTAGACAAGCCGTGTTAAATAAACATCAAACCTGCAGTGGAAAACATCATAGAGGCCGACAGCTGGAGAGGATCAGTGCCAAGAAGAGCAAAAGATAGAAGTTCTATGGGAATTTGGTCAGGACATGAGAGTTCAGATACAACACAACAATGGAAGGCCTAAGATGTTAAATACTGTCTGACTGAGAGCAGCGGGACGAAGCAAATTTGTGCGATGTTGTGTGTGCGTCACAGCGTGTCCGGGTGGACGTGCCAGCCACAGCCGGTGTGCCTGTTCCACAGAGAGGACCGAATTCTGGCCATCAACGACCTGCTCACCACCAGCCTGCAGGAATTCAACATGTACTTGAGCAAGTGCCTCAAAAATGAGGTACGGTCACGCAAAGGCACCGGCTGGGCGGACGGACGCGTGACGACTCGTCTGACAGGTGCAACATTTCTGGTTTCAGGTGAAACTGACGACCTTGCGTCTTCCCGGGAGCCAGCCGCTGCATTCCCCGGACTGCCCTTGCAGTGACTAAGCATCAGTGGAAGGCGTGTCGTGGAACATGTTTTTAATTTGCACAGTTGCTGTATATAATAATGATCTTACAACTGAAGTTAAGAAGAAGCTACGGCAAAGTGAAGAACATATCTCTTTCCATTGATCTTGAGGGATCAAGAAAGTATCTATCTATAGAGAGGATGTTAGGCATGATCCTAAAAGTGATTGTTTTAAAATGCCTTTCCTGTGCACATATTGTGAATACAAAAATTACCGCACTTATTTTATTTTGAGAAATGATTTGAAAGTAATTAAGGGAGGAGGAATAACGGACTGTCGTGTAGTATTGCTTGTGAATTACTTATGTAGACAGAATGGTTATGATCCTCAGGCTGTGAAATAGTGACTTTAAAAAGCTGGTATACTATTTTTACACAAGCTTGATGTGTTTTTATCCTTTGTGAATTATATCAAGTGAAGAATGGCACTTCTGGATGCAGAGAACAAATGGAAGTTATCTGTAAAGCCTGAAACACACCGTTCAGGTTTATATTTAAATTGCAAAATGATCTCGGTCACGGAGGGTTCGGACGTTGTAGCGGCTTCCTCAGGATTTTAAGTTTAAATGTGATTTTCAATGTGTGCTGTATTAAATCATACACGGATATACAGTGAATAAATGCATTCTTTGAGCGTGCAGCAATCATCGATTGCACTGTGACACTCAGTCTGTTTCATTTGTAAAATGGATTTATAAAACCACATTGATAAAAACAGAGACTTCTTTAAAAGCCTTTTCTTAGGCTGAGAAATGTCGTTTAACAAGCAACAAGCCTTAAATTCAAGTTTCATTATTTAGCTTCATGTTGGAATTTTAAGTGTCCTCATTCTCCAAAAGACAACATGATTGGCCAGTTTTAAACAACCCCTTTAAACAAAAATCTGTTAATTAATGAACTGCCTGTTTCCTTTCTTGTCTCGTCACCTGCACATATGGAGTGAGATTATTGGGAAGCTACAGTAAAACCACAACTTTTACATGTTCAGAGTTTGCTACAAACATTTAACTGAAAAAAACACACACACACACACACACAACATTGAAGGTTTGCAAAGCTGCTACACAACACTGGTGGGTGTTGCTGGCGGTGTTGCAGTTTCATCAGTACGGAGGATTTGAATGTGCAATAGCAAAAGGAAAAATGCAGCCTTGAAAACTACTGATTGAACAAAGTTTGCAAAGTTCTAAAAATCTGAATAAAAGTGTTTTATTATTTCTTATTATTTTCCAGCATAAAAAAAATACAGTTGAATAAAAAATTCCGTACAAATTGCACAATTGTATAGCAGCAATCCAGCATATTGTTAGCAAACACAGGACCAGGGGCAGTAAACACATTTAATTCAGTCCTTGTAATGTGTAATAATACGTAAGCCGGAGCATTATTGCAGCATGACGCGTGTGCGACCTCGGATCGTGGTTCCACATATTCAAACAGCTTTCAGAATTGTTAGCCGTTTTAATTCAGCGCATCGTGAACAGAAGCAGAACCTTTATCAAACCAAATACTTAACCTTTCTTTTTTTTCATAAACATGATTGCAGTTCATGTTCACCTAATTGGTTGCAACCCTTCATTCTACATTGAAACACTGGCGTCATGAGCTCAGCGTTCGGGGGTAAAACACTCAAAAGGATCCTATTTGTTTCTCATGGTCATTGTAAATTACTCATTACCAAAACGAGCAGCGATTTCAGGTTCAACTGTGAACACCGTTTAGGTGAAAAAGAGCTACGGTTTGGTCTTAGTTTCCGCGAGCCACTCGCTGAAGTACTTCTCCATGGCCTTCCTGCTGTCCCAGCTGCCGTTGTTCACCGTGGGGATGATCTTCAGGGGCCGAAGCCACTGGACGAAACGCTTCATCTCCAGAAAGCTGCTGTGCTCACTGTACGGGATGCCTGTCGAGAAAAACAGAAGGGTTCCCGTCATCATGCCAGAAGGGTTACCAGCATCATGTCCGAAGGGTTACCAGCATCATGTCCCGGGACAAACCGCTACGTCTGGGTTCAGTGATCCAGCATCCCTTCATTCACCACATTTTCTTACCATTATTAAGATTTGCTTTGTAGCTTCTAAACGAAAAAAAGAGAGCGAGGGCATTCTGTCCAGGGCTTTAATACCTGCAGCACCTCCGACATGGTAAAAGACCTTCAAATACGGCTTTACAGCGACAACAGTTGCTAACCATGATTAATGCAGCAAAGAGATGAATTAAATTGACGAGCAATGGAATATTTGTGTGTCTCATATACGACTGTGCTGAAGTGTGCCAAAGGGTGTGTACCATAGATAGAGATGCTGCCACTGATCTGAGGCTGAATGTCTCCCACCGACTCCACCTGTTGGCTGAAGGTCCAACCCGTGGGCTTGAAGGCCACCAGCTGATCATATCGCGCTGAGAAGCGTGCCAGGTAGTCCTGCAGTTTCTGCACACGTGGGAGGGAGAGGTTTTATCTTCGAAACGGCAACGCACTGTACTAGAAACGCACTCGTATGTCTGTATCAAGCTCCCTTCCAAAGTGCTTGTGGATGCACACGTTTGTGAGGCTTTTAGCAGTTAGCCTGCGACTTTGTGTTTTTAAATATCAAACCTAAATACAAGAAGCTTCTGTCATCACTCGTTTGCTCGCTGATATACAAACCTGCAAGGTTTTGTCCACTATGAAAACATTTAATTAAAAAGGGTTTCGTACGGTCTTATCTCTCAATTTTGTTGAAGGTGACCGAGTTTTGGTGGAAACCCGAATTGCGCATTTTTTCCGCCCGTCAGCCTTTCTGTGCTCGTTGATGCTTGAATTATACTCAGGGACTTATCTGTTTTACATTTGGTTTCAAACTGAAACGCTTCAGTCCCTTTGGAAAGATGTGCTATGTCATCATAATTAGCATTTCCTAATTATTTCCAATGCTGGCCTTGATATTTGATAGGAAATATATACCAGAAGCAGAGAGTAAAGCGGTGTTGGCATTTCTAAATAAACCGCCCATAGACACTTTGAGCAATAGTGTATACTTCTATTTGTTTTATTCCCCTACAATTATTAAAACTAGGGGACATGAGATCTATGCGTTGGTTTCAATCTAATAACGGATGTCCTTTGTTAAAAGCGGTTAATGGAAAGGACGACTGCTGCACCTACTTTGAAGGAGAGATGCATCATGGGAAGCACATGGACCCGAGCGGCCTTCCAGTCGGTGGTTATACTTTGCCTGACTTGCTCCGACTCCAGACAGCACATGGTGTTGTATTTGTCTCGAGAGAGACACACTTTGGACCCCAGGACCTCCGCCAGGGCTACAAGATAAAGAGGAACATGGTCTGTGGGTCTTTTTCATTTTAGGACTTTGCACGTGGGTGCATTTAAGAACACCCCACTGCCATCGACCTGTCAAACTGTCGGACTGACGTCAGGAGGTCCTGGGTACTCTCCTGCTTCTTATGGCCTCAGAGAACTAGATGAACTAAGTGCTACGCTAAGAAACAGGATGGAGGAATTCCCTTCAACGATCACATGCTCCTCCTGGTCTCATGGAAAATGTTTGAGATTGTTGTCTGATATTGACATTCACTGAGGAACACTGAGCACAGAATTTCAAAGCACTGACCCAGAAAGACCTTCTCCTTTCCCACGGAGTAGGATCCACACACCACGAGCGTACGGGGGTTGAGCGTCACCAGCTCGAAGGCCGTGTTGGCTGCAAAGTTGATGACCTCCTGCTGCGTGGGGAAGGCGTACTCGGGGCTGCAGTAGCTACACAAACACAAGAGCGTGATTCGAAAATCCCAGTTTTGATCCATCCAGCGACCTCGGTGGTTTATGTGGGTGGAGACGGACGGGTACTAACGTGGTGTCCAGGTAGAGCGTCTGCACCCTGCAGCCGAGCAGTTCCGGGCAGGTCTCCATTGAGGGATCAGCTCGGAAGTCTCCGGTGTGGAGGACCGTCTGCCCGTCGGGCAGGAAGAACAGCAGCATGGCAGCTCCTGGACAACTGACAGAAGTGGGGCAGCGAGTTTGTTTACGGTTGCCGAACTTTGAAACCCGCGACAAGAGTCTGATACCGACGCCGGGTTGACGACTCACTGGTTGGCTTCCAGCAGGACGACCTCGATTCCCTCGACGGTGACCCTGGTGTTCATGGGGAGGACGTGGACGTACTGCTCTGCCACCCTCAGTTTGCTCTTCACCAGGTTTCCGGTTATCTGGGCAGGAGAGGCAGCTGTCAGTCAACAGAAAGTCCCTATGGATCTTTCACTCAAAAGCCAGAAAAACCTGAACGCTAAATTGGATTTTTGATTGTTTGGTCAGTCCAAGCGGACTTCTTTCCCCAATAGATTGTATTCTAGATCTATTGGGCTAATAGAATTGTTTATGTCTGAATAGAAAAGCTTTACTTGTTTGGATTTGCACCTCAATTTGTTCAGCTTGTCGTGTGTGAAAACAAATTAGTAATAAACAAAATGTCATGGATGTGAACTGAAAGCAATGGTCATTACATTTCAAATCAACTCCAAAAAGGCAGAGTCGCTTGCAAATTGTTATTCAGAACTGCCAACTGTGAGCTCATTTTCCAAAATCGAGTTGCAGAGAGATAAAAGAAGCTTGGGCATGAATTCTAAAGGGAGCGAGCACTGCGGAAGCTTTTATATGACGAAAGAAAAGCGTTATTGATGAATCCCTTCCACATTATTCAAGGAGTGAAAAGGCCTTCGGAAGGCAGAACTGCTATTTAATAATGACACAAAACAGGCAACTAAACGGACACTATTCATTTCTTTCTCTACACGACTGAGGAAAACATTGAGTTCGGGAGGGATACGGTTTTCAGCAGTGGACTTAAATGAAAATCCGGGTAAAAACCACCACTCATAAGGGTTTCACAGCATAACTACCAAACACCAAGGTCTTGTGCAGAGAAAGTTTCAAAATGAACACAGTAACATGTAAATTATTGGCATGAAACCCAAATAACAGAATCAAGTCATTCACATTATCAAAACAGGCACTGGACTCACTCTGTTACAGTAGATGGGAAGTGTGGACTTCTTGGTCAGACCTCCGTAGTGGTCGGAGTGGAAATGTGTGAGGAAGTAGGCAGCGATGCCCTGGATCTCTCCATAGTGAAAGGCATCTATGGCAAACTTTGTGCCTGAGAGGGGGGGAAGCAATATTTAGATTACATATTTCAAATAACAAAACAAAATAATTGAAATGTGCGCAGCGACCAAGGATGTGTTGCCCCCCCGCTGACCTGGAATCTTCTTATAGAAGGGACAACGTGGTGACTCCCCGTCTCCGCCGGCGCCCCCCCTGCTCCATCTTCTTCCTCTCCACCCTCTGGTCCCACGTTTCTCCGCGTCTCCCCGAGCGTTCGCTGCATGACCGTCACTTCCTGTCGCTGCTCCCTGTGAGGCGTCTGCGGACGCGTCGGCTCCGGCTCTACGTTTCCTGGGCCCTTCTTTCCCTTTTCCACCAGGTCCCGGAACAGAGGCGGCGTCGACTTCACCTGGTCCACTCTCAGCCACTTTCTCCTTCGCCTTGAGGGGTTTGAGGCCGAAAAACACCCCGATGTCGGTCTGCTTCAGGCTTGAGGAGCCCTGACCCGCCTTGACCTGGCCCTTCTGTGGCGGCATGGGTTGAGATCTTTGGACAGTGGAGGCTTGTGACGAAGGCCCCGGAATACTGCTGTCAATCACGTTTTGTAAAGGCGGGCTATCTGAGCTTAAAAGCGTTTCTCTCAGGCGCTCCAAAACAATACTTTGAGGGGACTGAACGCTGCTTTTACGCGGACTTATGGCACTGGTACATTTACCAGGAGCTTCTTTTTCACCTTTGGAATCCACTCTGTTTGCAACTGCAGAGGCAGCCGGCTGATTAGTGGGCGGCGAAGAGGTAACGGAATACAGCTGGGGGCTACAGGACAAAGGCTCCTTTACCTGCGCTTTGTTGCCTTCCAAATGATCTATGAAGTCGGCGAGCAACAACGCAGAGTTTTCGTCCCCTTTTTCAAATGTATCTTTATCAAAAAGTGCTTTTCGACAGTCGCCGCCGCCGACTTCGGTCTCCGCAGGGAATTCCGAAAGAGGAGAATATGATATTGCATCATTGTTATCAGGGGAAGATTGACTTTTGAGTAGACCTTCACAAGCTTTTACTCCCCGCCGTGGCTCGACAGGAGTGGATGAAAGCTCTCTTCTACTTTCTTGCGAAGAACTGATGGATTTGGGGCTTTTAGCGGAGGGTGACCAGCCTTTCTTTTTCTTAAAGTCCTCTGGGCCGGGTGAGCGCAGCAGCAGAAGTCCATTTGTAAGTTTAGACGCAGGTGTTCCAACCAGTTCGCTGCGGGGAGAGTCACTACGATTCAATGAGGCAGAAAGACTGAGCGTGCTACCCGACGAACTCTCTGAAACGGATCCATCCGCGTCGCTGCTCAGCGTTCCTCGGTGACAACTGAGGCGCGTCGGGCCGCTCGTCTCTGCCTGCAGGGACAGACCGAGGGGGGACGTGTCACCGTTTGCTCGACTATGGGCCAGCAGGGTGTGGTTGAATTTCTTAAAATGGTTTGGAATGGTCGAGAAACACCGGAGGCCATTTGGGCATTCTGTGCAAAACGAGCCAAAAAACACGCAAGCATTAGACTCGTCGAGCATCATACAGTATGATCACCTAACGTTAAATGCAGAATAGAACTATTCAAAGACTGCTGTGGCACAAGGGAGCCTTCTAAAGAAATCATTACCCATCATACGCTAAATACTTTACCAATCAGGAAGAAGATTCTGTGTGTATATAATTACTGTAATTACACGTTTCTGGCTCGGAAATAATGTAAACAAGTTCATCCCAAGAAGCAAAGGGACCAAAGGTCTCTTGTGAGGCACCCAAACTTTGTTGAAACACTGTGGAATGACTATGAAGAACATCTCGCAATACGTGACATTTCAAGGTTCCTTCATAAAATGATCTAAAAATGATCATGTTTTCCTTCATTGACACCATGTGTCCACCTGAATACACGATGACGGGTGAGTAAAAGACGACATATTAGTAAACATCATTTTTTGAGATTGTTAGTCAAGGTTTGAATAAAGTGTATGACGCAACACGGAGGTCTGTACCTTTGCATGTGTCTCTCGGCGTGTCAAGACATTCGGCAACGTGCCATCTTTGAGTCTGTACCACCAGGATGGAAAAGGGCATCTGACACATGGGACAAAAGTCTCCAGTGGGACAGTGTCCCTCTGCAGCAGTGTCTGTTTGCACCGTGCCACTGGCAGGAGATGACTTTGAGGCTATATCACAGGACCCGAAACTGCGAGCGTTTCTACAACGGCCACTTTGAGCCGTCTTCGCCTGCACATCAGGGGACTTGACCGGGACACGATTGTGGCCCCTGGAGGTTCTTGGGAGGGTGACGTCACGGCTCCTTTTCACTAACGGTGATTCGTGTGTCTTCTTTTTCTTCTCGAGAGGTTTGTATTCCCAAATGTCATTTTCAGAGTCGTCTTTCTGTGACATTTGAAGGAAATAAAAGCAAGAAAGAGGCGCAACGTCGCTGACGTTACCAAACTTTACGTTGCACAAGGATCGGTGTTTGCTAACATGCTGCGGCGGCGGAAAATAATACGTTACAGAACATTAACAGCTACTGGAGAAGACTGTGAGGACAATTCCCGTTGAGAAAATAGCTTCCATTTGAAAATCATGTTGATTGATGACGTTTTTGGCTAAAATGAGCTTTAGTAATCGCTAACTAACGCTAATACTGTGTGATTTGCTAAAAACAAGTTGCCGCCACAGGATCGCACTGAATGGAGTAGAAGCAACTAGAGAGAGCAAGCAGCAGATTCCACATATTTTGACAAAGAAATATAATAGATAAATATACATTCTGAATGAATGATTATGACAACCTATTCAGGTACATTTAAACCAAATTTCAGAAAAAATACTTCTGGAAAATAATGTGTGTATAGATTTTTTCCAGTTTTATCGAAACCAATGGTCTGAATCGACGGGGGTGAGTTTACCTACCCGGCTGGTTGTTGTTGGAAACATGGCGTCCCAGTGCAGCCTCTCCACCCTATTTCCTATCCAAAGTGAGCTGGACTGCGCCCTTGATGACTCTACGACAGAACAAGAGAAGGAAAATCTTGTCAAAGACTATTTGGAAAAACTAGACGAAAAAGAGGATCTGAAGATACCCGATTTCCAGACAGGTTAGACCGTCGTACAACTGCTAAGTTATGTTCCTACAGTTTGACTTAAGTTTGCTGACACGCCATTAACGTTACAGGACTCGACATGTTAATGTGGTGCGACAACGGATTAGTCCGGGTTTACTTTCCTATCGTCTTTGGAACCTTAAATACTTGGGTTTTTGTTAACGGTTAGTTAGTTAATAGCTAGTAACGTTGCATCGAAAACTGCTTCCTGTCCAGGAAGTTATTTCTTGGTGAAACAGACAACCAGAGATCAGCCACAGAGACTAATTCCAGACCATAATAAGATCATCTGCTTTGTGCTTTCAACGTTTGCAATTATATCAGCTGTGCAGGAGCTTTTAGCATCCAGTGGTTCCGATTATATGAGTCTTTCTTTTATAACTTCGTGTGGCATCATCCCCGAAACCTCAAATCTACACTTTTCAGGACAATGCATAATGCAGTATGTCCTTTAATTGTCCCTGCTTTTGTCCCCCTCGGGGCCTAGGGACATACTTTGTTGTTCAAGCCACATGCCAACTGCCAGTGTTGGACAACAAATTAAGTGGTCCTTGTGTTAGTTGCTCTTGTTGAGGCATGTAGTGAATGTCTCCACCAGTAGATGGGGATCTACAGTAGAACATCGATCAGAATTAACATGGTTCTATGGGATTTCAACTGCTCTTAGAGAAGGTTTAAATGTTTCTCTGTCAACATGTTTTAGCATTTATAGATTTGGGGTTAACGCTGGCTCACCATGAGGTTACCTGACAGACAGGTGGGCGCGACAGCAAAAGGATGCTGTTTACCTGGTTCATTTTATTGACGTGGTCAGAACATGTTTTCTTTTTATGAATATAACTGTGTACTTGACCCATTCATAATAGGATTGTAATTGAACATATGAATACATGTGGACTCAAGATGAATACCATGACACAACATTTCGGGGATATGGGTTCACATGTGTTGAGAGTTTAATTCAGAACAAATTCTTCTTCTTCCTTGATCTGCGCTTGTGCTTCTTTCTTATGAGACGCCCCAATTCTAGGCAGCAGCACAAGTAAAACAATGACTTTCCGAAACGCTTAAAAAATGAATGCGGAGCGTGAAGTATGATGATATAATTAGATAGGTATTTCACGCTGGATTATAAATGCATTAATCAAATCTTTGTAAGTGGAGTTTAACTGGTGTTGTCAGACAACGTAGACTGCAAGCAAGGTAAGTGTGGAAAAAAAATAAATTCAGACACATCCAGATCTACATAAATTAATTGCTGGCACTTAATAGCTACACAACACCTCTGACGCCTTGAGCATTTCCATGTCGTTCCCTTGACACAAAGGCAGTCAGAGCTGTGATCAGCAGTGTGACGCTTGTGACTTGAAATGATTAATGAGATGACAGCATCATTTTCCACTCTGTGATTCGCTCCAGGCTTGGAATGGCTGAACACGGAGGGCCCTCTTTCTCTGAACAAGGAGCTCTCTGGCAAAGTGGTGCTGCTGGACTTCTTTACTTACTGCTGCATCAACTGCATGCACATCCTGCCTGACCTGCACCGTCTAGAGAAGAAGCACTCTGCCAAAGGTATGGAACCTGCAGTAGACATAGATCTCTTGATCCTAAAGGGGTTGAGAGAAGGTCAATGGTAACAATGCCATGTCAAACAATTTTATGTAGCTTTTCTAATAACAAATATGACATTTGACATAGTGATACAACTTCCATTATGTGGAAATGTAAGATAATGCTTCTCAAGTAGACTACCTCTTCCTATTATAAAAAAATAATGAGAATTAGGGATTAATGTGTCATTTTGCGTCTCCGAAAGGAACCAGATAAAACCATAGTAACCAAAACAAATGTCACTTAAATCAGCACCTGTTGGCGGTGAAAAGTACCCGTTTAAAAAAATACTTGTAATGTATCAGCTCAACGCCTCTCTGGTTGTTGCCCAAATGCATGCAGCCCCATATCTCAGATGGGAAGAGAAAGTAAGTAAAAATATTTCCGAGCTGCAGCGTCACTGCGTGCAGCTCTTATAATTGTACTCTTCCGTTGTTTGCTGTACGGCTCTTTTTATAGCCTCTCCACACACAACATAATTCCATCCGACTGCCTCTTGTCATCGCATCTGAGGAACTGCACTGCCACCACACATTACTGCCCCGGTCTTATCGTTGGCAGTGCTCTAAGTACATTCTGTTAGCTGCTCTGGTCAGCGAGGTGTGGGAGCCACCCTGTCTATTCACTCCCACAGTCCCTCCCACCCATCGTCACTGCAATCTGTGCCACCGCTGTAGTGCTTGGCAGAGGCCACGGGCGATGAAATCCGCTGCCGGTGGAGTGGGTTTGAAATCGTTTGCGTTTACGTCTGTGGAGGTGGGCTCGAACGAGGAGCGTCCGCGTTAGGAGGGACAATAACTCTGGTTCGCCTCAACGTCGTTGGAATTGGTTTGTATTGTATTGCAAAACAACAAACTAATTTAGCGTGGATATATTGTATGCCTGTCAATTCTGAAAAAATACTAATGTATAAAATGTGGTAATAAAACTCCCACTGAATTCTGCGTTTTGTTTGCACATTTGAGCATGTGCTGCATTTTAAGGCTTTGCCTCAGCATGACATGAGTACAAAAGATTCCTGTTTCCGGAGAGAGTCCCACACTGATAAGGAAACAGGAAGGAAACTTATCGGGACATCTGTTTCGTAAGCTTTTTTTTATTTATTTTTTTATAAAAAATGTTGTATCCAAAAAAAAGGTTTCATAAGAGCCTCACAAAGTCAAACAGTGGCTTAACATTCATCTTTGTTATAGTTCGCAAACTGTCACCGATCCGTTTAGCACAGATAGTGTTTGTAGTCTTTAATTACTGAAATCTGTTGGGATCAACATTCCTAGAAACCTCACTGAGACCTACCATACATCATACGGGAGGGTCACTCACTTAAATACGCTTGTGGGTTCAGTTTATGATCACATCCGTTTCCCCATGTCTCCTAATGTCACGCATCTGTACGTGCGAGGTCCTTTGTCTTTGTCAACTTGTTATTTTTTAACAACTGGTTCACACATAGATCTAGAAAATATTTTACATTTACGTTTGGAGGATCACTAGGAGGAAACAAGCATACTAACTGACAGGGCTTGTGCTTTTTCCATTGGGAATTAAAGCTCAATAATATGTTTTATAAATGTAGAAATTGGTTTTGACTGAGCGTGTCAAACCACTTTCAAAACACTGTACTGGGTTATTTTTGTCTTTGATCTCTAACCCTCTCATTTCCCTCTCAGATGGATTAGTTATTGTTGGGGTGCACTCTGCTAAATTTCCAAATGAGAAGGTAAGAGATTTTCATTATTTTATCATTCATTTTTTTGAGTTAGCTGGTCTGCTTGAGCTTCTTTCGGCATATTCAGAACTACAAGGTGTGATGATGGGAGAGCACATAAACGCACAATTGTAAAATAAATCTGTAATGTTATACCAGCATGACATATCTGATCTATTAGATATATCACATCTAAAATCACATGCTTTTATCTCCAGGAAATCCCAGTCAGTCTCGCTGTTTGGCAATATGTCTCAGAGGCCTTCTTTCATGCACAGAAGTGTACACATCTTTCAGTTTTGGACTCGCCGCTCTTCACTCATTTGTCTCTGCTCCTCTCCGCCCCCCCGCCGAAGGCCCTGGACAATATCCGCAGCGCCGTGCTCCGCTATGACATCTGCCACCCGGTGGTGAACGACAGCGAGGCGCGCCTCTGGCATGACCTGGAGGTGTCCTGCTGGCCCACGCTGGTCCTGCTGGGCCCACGCGGCAACCTGCTCTTCTCCCTGGTGGGCGAAGGCCACCGCGAGAGGCTGGCGCTGTTTACGGCCAGCGCCCTGCGTCACTACGGGGAGCGGGGTCTCCTGAAGACACACGCAGTGGGCGTCAAGCTGTACCGAGACTCCCTGCCTCCCAGCGTCCTGTCTTTCCCCGGGAAGGTGGCCGTAGACGGCATTGAGAAGAGACTGGCCATAGCGGACACTGGACATCACCGGATTCTGGTGGTTTCGACGGCTGGACAGCTGTTGCACGCCGTAGGAGGTACGCAGCGGGAAATCTATATGCAGTATTTCTGTACAAATCTGTAAAACAAACATGAAGGCATTATTGATTTCTCTAGACTGCTCGCGTGCCTCAACGGCCCTCAGAGCAGCTGCATGACTGTTTTGTCCCCAAACCAACGGAGAGGTTGGCAAAGCAGAGACTCTGGCAAATGGCACTGACCTGTAGACAAAGTTAAGGGAAGAAATGCAGGCTTTGTGTTATTTTTTTGAAGATTGATCCCACTCGTCCGTCATCACGCACCGTATGAGAAATGTGTCATGTTGGTTTATTTATTTGGACAGAAAATATTTTTACTTCAATCTCACATCCTGCTGAGAAAATACGTTTAATCAGTCAGGCAAGATTACCCTTTTTTTTTGGTAATTAAGCCACTTGATGTCGAGTGCCTGTTGTGCTCCAGGTGTAAATAGGCCGGTCTGCTTGTACGTATCCTTTTATTTAATAATCAGAAAATATAATCATATTTTTTTTTTCAGTTTAGACTAGGAAAAAAAAAGAAAAACTGAAAAAAAGAACTGAATCCACCTCCTGCGTTCACTGAAAGAGTCCTTTTCTAAATTGAATATGTGAGGAGAAATAAAAAAGGTCTGTTGCTTGGTAACGTCTCAATTCAAAAAAAGGTGTGTGGCACGGCGGATAATACTTCAGTAAAAGCTTTTGTGCGTAATGGGGGGAAAAAGGAGGTCGTATAGCCCCCAGGAACGATGATGTTAATTGGATCATCGCTTCTGTCCAAGGGCCAAAAAGCGGAAGACGAGACGGCGACTTTTCCGAAGCTTCCTTCAGCTCCCCTCAAGGTGTGGCCATCAAAGGGGAAGCTGTGTACGTGGCCGACACCGAAAACCACCTGATCCGTAAGGTAGCCTCCCTAACTTTGCCTTTTGAATTTAATTTCACGTGTCCCAGTGTTTCCAGTATTTTCTCATCCCCGTCGCCCTGCGCCTCAGATTGACCTGTTAGAGCGCCGAGTCAGCACCCTGGCTGGAGTCGGAGCTCAAGGCACAGACAAAGAGGGCGGCGCAATGGGACCCCAGCAGCCCATCAGCTCTCCTTGGGACGTGACCCTCGGCTCCGCAGGTGAGTGTTGTGCTGCAGTCGGACCAGAAGCTGAACATCTTTACAGGACATGTTTGTAACTACCACGTCTATGATCATGGGATTACAGTAGAAGTATTATAGCTTCCACCACCTCCAAAAACAGCTCTTGGCCGAAGTGGAGGCCCGAACATCTGCATTCAGCTGAACCGATCCTGCATACACTTAAAGGAAGAGAGTGTTGAAATAAAGTTTTTGTTGGGGATAGTATTTGCCTGTAAAGTACCTGGCATGGTCTTTTATATTCTTACAAAGTAACACTCAAAATGATTTTCTCTTATTATTTTCGCCTTGGGCAATCCGTTTCTTCATTATTCATCTTTTTCAATACTTTTCCCACAGTGCCCTTTTTTTAAATCAAAGCAGAAAGCTTTTTTAAGTCGTCTGAATTTCTCAGCACTTTTGTCCCTAAGTGTTAGCATGTTGCCATCAAGCCTCATGCTCTGTTCAAAATGCCGAATTAAGGTCAGACGGCAAACAAGTGCTGCGAGACACACAGATGTTCTAGAAATCTATGTACACACCTTTCAGTTGTTGCTTAATCAATTCAGAATCATTTTGCTCTCCAGGCTGGTGTCGTCCTAAATGTCTAAAGCCATAGACTTTTCCTTTTTGGTAATTAGTTAAAAGTTAAATATTATTTCAAAGGTTTTTTGAATTTGTGTTTTTCTGAATCTGATCATATTGCAAGTTATTTATTTGTACAACAAATTGTGTTATAAAATTTGACAAATTAAGGACTTCATTAATAATTAACTACACAGAATTTCTGAAAGTTTAAATTGAAGTAATTGAAGATTTAAAAGAAATGCAAACATTTTCTTGTATTGATGTAATCTATTATCCAATTGAAAATGGAATAGTTTAAATCACATTATGAAAATGATGTGAATTGAAATATTAATACCTTAGACCTTGGGGCAAATATTCATCCATTATCATTGCATCATCATTGCACACGGCCTGTAAGCAGTCATTGCAGTGACATAACCTGCTGGTTTGCTCATCGCCACGTGTTCTGAGAATGATGGTGATCTACACCAACATTGTCCTCTGAAGGTACATCCAAACACTCATCGCATATTCACCATTTATCAACCATGTCCATGAATAATTCAATCGACCAAATCAAGAGGACCCAAACTCTTTTCAACAGATTTTCTGCATGTGGCCGTAAACCGCCGCATTCTCTTTTTGTCTAAAACTAATGGTCACATGTTCCCATAACACCTGCAAGGACTTTTTCACCTTTTTAGAACCAATATTAGCACCACCTCTGGATGATATTGTGGGTGAGCGAAGCCAAAAGCAGAGACACAAGCCTCCTGGTGCTGAACTCAAAAGAGTTTGTGTGTGTGTGTGTGTGTGTGTGTGTGTGTGTGTGTGTGTGTGTGTGTGTGTGTGTGTGTGTGTGTGTGTGTGTGTGTGTGTGTGTGTGTGTGTGTGTGTGTGTGTGTTTGTTTCATTCGCATGTGTAGGCGGTGGCGAAGGTAACGTGCTGTGGATCGCCATGGCAGGGACCCACCAGATCTGGGCTTTGTTCCTAGCAGATGGCAAACTGCCCAAAGGAAGGTGAGTGACTGGTTCATCACCACCCGGGCCGCTAAAAAGAATTACAAGCAGATTAAAATGATGAAAGGTCAAATAAACTCTTACATACCCAGCAATAGACCAGTCGAGTAATATTTTTACAGCGAATGCAAGGCCGGAACGTGCGTGCGATGGGCAGGCAGCGGCAACGAGGAGAACCGGAACAACGCGTACCCCCACAAGGCGGGCTTTGCGCAGCCTTCGGGCCTGGCCTCGGCCCCGGAGGAGCCCTGGGGCTGCCTGTACGTGGCCGACAGCGAAAGCAGCACCGTCCGCACGCTGGCACTGAAGGATGGAGCCGTCAAGTCGCTGGTCGGCGGAGAGTGGGACCCGCTGGTGAGTGTGCTCTAGACGATGGATGGGTAATGAGGAGGTGGAGGTGGTGGTGGAGTTCATAACTGGATGATTGGTATTTTTTTCTTTTTGATTATGCAATAGAAAACCGGCAGAGAGAGCAAAGCGCTAAGTGAATCCCAAGTGCTTTTAAATAAGTTTCCCGTGCCTCTCGGTTATATAAGGTTTCCTTTATAAAGATTATTTGTTTGGTCCAATTGAGTGTTTTTATGAAGGAGAATGTATTATTTAGAAATATTGAAAGGGACGGTTCACACCAAATCAAAGAATATATATATTTATCCAACCTAAATTGTTTTTGTGTGACTTCCCTCGCTCTGGAGATAACTTCCAAAGAGATGTCTTCCTCCTCTCAAATGCAATAGGACTAGAGGACTTCTCTGCGCCAAAATAAAATGTTCCCCACTGTAATTTTACAATGATTTTGAATATTGTTTCATTATTCTTTAAAATATCTCAATGAGTCATCTAATTATTTTTAACTGTAGTAACCAGAAAGATATTATATTTCTTTCTCTTTTTTTTCCACTAATGAGACATATTAATTCTTGTCTTGCTTTTCCCGTATAAATTATTCAGAAACGTTTAAATCAACGGACCCAGTTTTGCCTTCATGTTTTTATTTCAAGTGTCTCTTCAAATGAAGACTTCAAATGAAAACCCGATCATTTGCAGGATATGAGAACGGCTTCAGTTTGGATTTTCAAAAAAAAAGGCCCTTATCTTCCAGTTAAAAAGGCTCCCTTTGTAAAGATGTTTTAAATAACTTGGAGACAATCTCTCTTTCTCTTTGACCCACGTTGAGACATAGAGGTCACAAGCTGCAGTTTGGGCAGCTTTTACATCTCTGTTTGATCTTTTTTTTCTTCTTTTGAAACAGAACCTTTTCGCTTTCGGGGATGTCGACGGGAAAGGGGTGGATTCCAAGCTGCAGCATCCTCTCGGCGTTGCCTGGGCTCCGGAACAAAGCCGGCTCTATGTGGCCGACTCCTACAACCACAAGGTAACCGTACGCACGCTGCAGCGTGCTCACACTCTTCTGTCTTCACATTACGTCCCTTCAGGTTGCATAGGGAGATCTAAAAAAATAATTAAAAAAAAGATTTTAACCATGTGCCTGTTTTCATTATGTTCAGATAAAGGTGGTCGATCCAAAGGCAAAGCAGTGCAGCACATTAGCCGGCACTGGAGAGGCTGGAGACACTCTGGGCCCCGAGTTCGACAAATCCCGCTTCAACGAGCCCGGAGGGATCTGCATCGGCGACGGCGGGAAGCTTCTCTACGTGGCCGATACCAACAACCACCAAGTCAAAGTCCTGGACCTGTTCTCCAAGACCGTTTCACTGGTGAGACCTGCGTGTGTGTGTGTGTGTGGGAAAGGCTCACTTCCGTGTAATTCATCTATCCTCAAAACCGAGAATAGTTTGGCAATAAGACGACCAACGAACGGTCTCCTGTCCAGTTCCCCATTTCCAGGGACTGCGTAGATGCAGTGCCTACCAACCCGTCGGCCCCGACCAAAGCCCCGACACTGCCCAGATCCGCCGCCAGGAAGGAAATGCCACCAGCGGCGGTGTCGGCAGGCCAGACCCTCGTCATGTCGCTCGCGCTGTCGCTCCCGGAGGGAACCAAACTCACGGAAGGGGCTCCCAGCTGCTGGGCCCTGTCAGCTGAGGGTGAGAGTTCAGTCGTTGTTACTGATGTAAACGTTTCATTCGGGTGTATCGTGCACGTTCACGACTTCAATGACTCATTTTCAACATGCAGCGTTCAACATGCAGCAATAAGTGCTAAGTCATGTGCTAAAACACTGGTGCTAAACATGTCTACATGGAACTAAAAGAGCACCTTTTGTCTTTGTCTTTCCATGCAAAGCTGTTGTGTTACAGATGTTATGATGATATGATATGATGATGTTATGACGAGGAAATCCACCGAGTCAAAGCTAGTAATCCAGTTAGCAGGCTTTACATTTGAGCTGACGCAGACGCCAGCTTATCAATTCCTTACTATCACTCTTGAGGTTTTGATTTTGTAAAAGTAAAAAAATAATGTGAATACAAAGTCTTTGGATGTGGCTTTTGCTACGGCGCCGCGCACCTCGCTTCAACATGCGGAGGGACTATTGATGGATCAGCGGCGCCTGGTTACGGTTGCTAAGCTCTGATTGAACACTCGCTGCTCAAGTGAGAACAACGAATGAAAGAAAAGCAATATTTGACAAAGACTTGGCAACTATGCTGTAAAAGGTTTTCAAGGAGAAGTCCGGAGAGTCAAGCAAGAAGACGAAAAATGGAATTTGAAACCAAAAAGCTATTCAAAAAGTCTGTCCAGTTTCCTAAGCATGATTCGCCTGCTATCCTCAATAGGTTTGCTTTATTTGGTACCTGTCTGGGTGAGAGTTGCAACCCAAACTTGTTTTCCACATTTATAATGTCCCCCCTTTTGGATCTGAGCCTCTCAACTTCTCCTTCTGTGCTTTATTTTGGTCCATCAACCATGATTCTGTCATGAAGTGATGCTCAACCCCAGTGTTGTTCTCACTTCACAACAAGTAGGTTCCCTCTCTGCTGGGATTCACAGTTCACACGGCAGGCACATGGGGTCATTTCTACAACTTAGTACTATTCAAGGTTTTTTTTTCTTATTTGTAATCCAAAGTTTTCAGAACGTTGTATTGGTGATGGTCCACGCATACGGCTTAGAACAAAAGTGTTTCCATCATTCCGAGCGAGGCGGCTTTTAGTCAGCGATATCAGCGGGTTAATTTTAGAACTTTTCGATAAGAGCGGCATGCCTTGGTTCACATAATTAGCCACCAGGCTATGTTACGTGATCCTCCGTTGTCCGATTATACCGAGTCTAGACTAATGCTGATCAGATCAGAGCGCAGGCAGGAATTTTAATGGAGGAAGTTGGAAGTGCACGGCAGATTTAAATTGTTTTCTGTAGCTTTTTAGAAATGGCTGCCCAGGGACCTCATGTTAGGCATCAGCTTCATTAATCACTGCTGCCATGGATTTTACGGTCTCTCTGGCGGAATATTTTCTCACAGTCAAAGTCGTAGCCGTTCCTGTTCGGCTTTCATTTATCATTCAGTCGTCACGTCTCTTTAGATGTGTGTTTTGTTTCTAAAAATATCCCCCCCTGTTTTCGGTAAACCAACGTCCTCGGCCCACCTGATTCAGTGAGGTCATTGGATGGGGGAATATTGTGAAGGACTCCAGTTAGCCGTTCAGTCTGTCAACCACTGTTTTGGGCTGAAAGAAAACACTGAAATACCTTGGCGTGACATTTTGCATAGATATTCATGGTCCCGCCTGTTTCTGCCTTTTCAGTTTAATTTGTCTATTGGGCAATTAGCCAAGGCTAGCGTGCTACTTAGGTAGTAGCATTGTGAACGTCATACCTGCTCAACATTAGCATGTTAGCGCTAGCATTTAGCTTCGAGCTGCACTAGCCTACTGACTTAGCCGTTTCCTCATTAGCCAGATTGCACTACAACGTTGTCTTTTGTCATTTTGATGGATGACAAATTTCTGTTTCTTGTATTTTTTCCACAGGTAACGAATGGCTCCTGGAAGGTCGGGTGCTTACTGGGGACATTGTGGATCTATCGAAGCCCTTCTCCATCTCAACCAAAATCCCTGCTGTTATAAAGGACTTTAACAGCAGCCCGAGCCTCACTTTGGGTGTATGGTTGTACTACTGTCTGGAAACGGGTAATGCTTGCATGATGAAAGCGGCCTCCTTCAAGCAGCCTCTTCAAATAGGTGCCGATGGTGGAGAGGAAGAAACCTCTGTGACTCTGGCGCACGCCTTCTAAAACCTCTCAGCCGTCTTTGTCGAATCGTCACGGAATCGACGCCGTCTGTGGTGCTCGAAAGGCATTCTAACTCTTGAGCTCAGCTAACTCAAGCTGCTTTCTTATTCATGGTTCATAGGGAAGAAAAACACACCGATTGTGTCCTACTGTCACATAAAACAAAAATGCCAATGAGACGATTCAGATTTTTAAGTGAATTTCATCTAATTCCTCAGAAACATAATCCGTCAGTGCTGCAGTGTCATTTAATGCGAGTGACAGTTATTGATAGGAAGGCAAATAGTTGCATCCTAAAGGCATTTAATGGAGACTACAGCAAACACAACTGAAGCCTGAAAGTCAATGTCTATGATGGTATTGGAATGCAGAAAATTGAACTGACTACCTGTGAGAAAACTGTACACTTTAGTAATGGTGATAAGTATGCATCTCAAAAGTACATTCTTACTTAAAAAACGCTGGATTGAATGTGTGCAGAAATTAAATTATGTTCTCCGGGTTCAATAACGAAACAAATTTAACAACTGTTGGTGATTCGACTCGTGGGTAATTATGTAAGATGTTTTATTTTTTATTTTTAAAAGAGCTGATATCTGATTCAGACTTTCAGAACAAAGCTTTATTCTGCTTTTGCTGACGTAACCATATCTTTTGACTGTTCATATTTAGTCATAAAGAGAAATGAAATTGGCATATTGAGAAGTTGATTGCAGAGACTGAAATTTGTATTATCATTAATATATTTTCAAAAACTCCCCAGGATTCAAAGCAATCTTCACTTTGTACTTTTCGATAATATATTTCTCCGTGCAAACGTGTGACCACTTCATTATCAGTCTGCTGGGATGCTGCTAATCCATCGTTTGTAAATGTGTCACCACACAGACCCGCAAAGTTCATACACGTAGCTCAAAGCTTTGCTCTGCGTCTGCTTTCCGTACGACCGATTACACTTTGGATTATGATCATTCATGGCACAAGGGGCTCTTGATTTACGCCACTTAATATTGCTGTTAACGAAGTAATGAATACGGTGCCTGTGTTTTTCTAAGGAGGCCACTGCTCGGTGAACTGATAACCGAGTGATTATTGTGCGCTGAGAGGGATTTATGAGCTTCAAGTCCAATTTTTCATTGTAGCATAAAGTAATATGACAGTGTGTTGTATTCCGTTATGGTTTTCTAAGCTAGAAGCATTTTTCCGAATCGTGTCTGAGGGCATTTCGTTTATCATCACGGTCCTCGTGTCTTGCATAACTCGGATTGTCGGGCCGGTTTGGTTTGAATCACGCTGTCTAAGGGCCGAGTGCAAAATGGACCTTACTGTACGGATGGTGGAACTCAAACGGCATCAGAAGCAAGAATAATATATTTCTGTATTGGGTGAAACATTTAAATTTATTTAAAAAGTAATTTATGTCAAATGAACTGCAACATTTGTAAGCTCAGCGTCGTAATTCCTCTTGTTGTTTTTAATTAACAGCAACGAGCTGGAGGGGTTGCTGCTGGAGTTCCTTCATTCTCTCACTTGATTTCATCTTGTGTCTCAATGCTGTATTTTAAGATGCAACAGAGGGAACTACTAAAACATTTCATCTAGTCTGCTTTGTGTGTCTGTGGATGTTTCCATCAAAGACCATCATTGCAATTCCACACAATTTCTTCCTGTATTTCCAACGAATGTGTGAGACTATTAAAAGCTTTCCTAATGAGCTCGTTCCTTTGTGAATTTCTCCTAGTTCTGCAGTTTACGTGTTGAATGATGAAAAGCCGACCGTGTTTCTCAGTCAGCTCGGAGTAAGATGTGTGTCAGTAATTGTTACTGTGGGAAGTCTTTTTACTCGCGATTTAGACCTAAATTATGCACATCAAACCCATTAAGCCTGTGAAGTGTAAGAATCCAGAGTGGTTGTACATTTATTTTTACAATTAACACTCGAAATGATGAAGGCACTTGCAACTGACAAGATGGAACAAAATGTTAAACCCTCTTTGGTGTTTCATTTGCATCTACTGAAGATTAAAAAAATGAACCAAAACGAGGCAGCAAGGACATTTTGCAACAGATAAGAACAAATTAAAAATCAAACCCTCTAAACTAATACCCTTTAAAATAATTGAATAAACATCAAACACTATTACTAAGCTTGTTTACAAGATATTTATTTAATACTGAACAAATAACTGATGGAAAAACTGTGTGGCAGTGGATGGGAAGAATACTTAAAACGACTCGCTCTCCCACTTTAGTGTCTTTGTCCATTGTCTCACCCCTCCGGTGTCGGCCAAGACGGTGATATAACCGACTAACATTCACCTTAAAGCGAGAAAATCCCTCACGTAAGCCGCGAGGATTCTGTTTCTGAGTAATCAGATAAGAGCCACCATCCGCACACACGTCCTTTCAACGGCACAGACGAGGCTTTTGAACGCTTCCTCGGCTCCTGTTGCCCCTTATTGCGCTCATATGATGCACGAGGAGGAACACTGGCTAACTGTTTCAGGCCCCGGCAATGAATTGCTCCTGCAAAGACTTTGGAGTGTCATAAGTAATTGAAAATGAAGTCCAAATGTAGAAAAAGATGTGTGCGGGGTTAAGTTGGCTGAAGGTTTTCTTATTTTAAGTTAAAACGTGTGAACGGGAAAGTCACAGTTTCCGTCACACATTCGCTCGTCAATCTGTTTGAGTGGGATTGATTAAGATCCTCTCTGCGAATGAAATACAATATTACTTCCAGCTTGTACCTTTGCAAGGAGGGCTTTTATAATTCACAGAGCGGCTGAAAATGTGCACCTACCTCTGCTTCTCACCCCCCCATTCTCGCCTCTGCTTAGAACCTGGAGCTTAAATCGATAAACAAGAAGGCATCACTTCAGCTGATGAAATCAACTTTGACCTTTGGCTCCAAAGGGGCCCAGGCTGCTAAGTAAAGTTTAACTTGCTCTACGTCCCTTTATTCCGAAACACAACGCTCGTATGACGGTGTCTCGAGGGCACTTTGCTTGAGCTTATTTAAGTGAAAGTGAGAGAAGAGGTAAAATATGGAAACATGGAGATGCACATGTATGAATGCAGCCAAAGAGACATTAATACACCAGCACGTTTATGATTAAAAAAAACAGCAACAGTTCCGCTTCAAATCCATCAACCTAAAGGGTCAGTTCACATCATTTATTTTCCTTCTCTTGAGAGGAGAGTATAAATGCTGAGGCCTCATTATTTCAGCCTCCTCGTTTCAAATGCCCGCTCCAAACACGCATGTGGGTGAGCGCCCGAGGTTGCTCACCCAAGCAGCCGATGGCGACGATCTGATGCGGCCTTGTTCGCTTGTTGGGTCGCTCGTGTCGGCCAGTGGGTCGTCGGGTTCACGAACAGGCGTGCAAATCAGCAAACACACACAAAAACAATCACAACAACAAAGAGGTGTGTTCATTTGTGTCTGCAGCCTGTGTGCCTGGAGGCCGGTTCTAACACGATGGAGGCTGCAAAACAGGCTGCTGTCATTTCCAAATAATCGCCTTACCGCTGTGAAGATTAACGTTTAAATGAGGCATAGCACACGTTAAATTCAAATGTTGACAGAATAAGCACTGTGCCACACACATTCTCAGGAGTTAGTTTAATGAAACATGATTTTAGGTCTCACTGTTACCGGCCTTTATTCTGTCTTGGGTTACTCTTTTTTGTGGTCACTACGGGTGGATAAAAACAAAGACACGTCTCGCTCTTCTTTCAGATTCTCATCTTTGCGCACGTTTGGATGCATTTCAATGACCCTGAATTAGTTTGACTGTTGGACAAACCCAAGTGTTATAATTGGCTTAACTCATGACATGGGACCTTTATAACGCTGGGAAAAACGGGCAGATCTGTGGCCTGCAGCCCACACAGCTTCGGAATGTGTTCTTTGTGGTAAAAATATAATTTGGGCAAGTGGAAAGATAAACCTTGTTTGTAATGGCAAGTGGCAAAAACAGTGAAATCCCCGAAGTACATAACATCACGGTGGGATTTTGGATTTACCATAATTGCTTTCACATGGTCCCAAGGCAGATTCTTTAGAAAGATAACAGTCACAGGGCAGTTTGGGGTGGGGTGTGATTAGAGAGCTTCTCGCTAAAAATAAAACTCCTCTTAATAAACGCAAGCGTCGTTCATTCATCCCTCCGCGCACATTGGGTTAAAAAACGACGCGACAGAGCGGCACTCAATGCAGAATTTGTGATTCCTCTAATTATTTCACCGTCGGGACGATGTTCTCCGCTGGGGTACGTTGATTGGTCCGGAGGAGCGGTGATGTCACCGCCGTGCCGGCCGGTGCGAAACCTCGCGCAAAACCCCAGCGCGAGAGCGCCTCTCCAGATGGAGTTCGGCGCGCAACTGGACTAGATCGGTGTGCCCGTGCGTCCGCGACGCGCTACAAAGGCCGCCTCGCACTGCCTTGATGACCTCGGCCTGGTCCCGCACACCGCGCAGCAGCCCGTCATGGGGGACGGTGGCGCGCACTCCGCGCTGAGTCTCCCGAACGCCTCCGGCACCGAGGCGCCGGACGCGCCGGACTCCGCGACGGCCGCCTCCGAGCGGTGGATGGCGGGGATGAGCGTGCTGATGGGTCTGATCGTCGTGTCCATCGTGCTCGGCAACATCCTGGTCATCGTGGCCATCGCCAAAACGCAGCGGCTGCAGACGCTCACCAACGTGTTCATCGTGTCCCTGGCGGGCGCGGACCTCATCATGGGGCTGCTGGTGGTGCCGTTCGGCGCCGCGCTCGAGGTGCGCGGCTCGTGGCTGTACGGCAGCTTTTTCTGCGAGTTCTGGATCTCCGTGGACGTCCTTTGCGTCACCGCCAGCATCGAGACCCTGTGCGTTATCGCCATAGACAGGTACGTGGCCATCACCTCCCCTTTCCGCTACCAAAGCCTGTTGACTAAAGCTCGGGCCAGAACGGTGGTGTGCGTGGTCTGGGCCATCTCCGCGCTGGTCTCCTTCCTCCCCATCCTGATGCACTGGTCCCGGGACAGCGTGGACACCGCCTGCTACGACGACCCCGAGTGTTGCGACTTCGTCACCAACCGGGCTTACGCCATCTCCTCGTCCATCATATCTTTTTACATCCCTCTGCTGGTTATGATATTTGTTTACGCCCGCGTGTACAGAGAGGCCAAGCAGCAGCTGAGGAAGATCGACAAGTGCGAGGGCAGGTTTCACAACACCTTAACCGGGCTGACGTCGAAGTTCAAGAAGAGGCCGTCTAAGATTCTGGCGCTCAGGGAGCAGAAGGCGCTCAAGACGCTGGGGATCATCATGGGGACGTTCACCCTGTGCTGGCTGCCTTTCTTTATCGTCAACGTGGTGCGCGTGTTCTGCGCCGAGGTGGTGGACAAGGACCTTTTCGTGTTCCTGAACTGGCTCGGTTACGCGAACTCCGCGTTCAACCCCGTCATTTACTGCCGGAGCCCGGACTTCAGGAAGGCGTTCAAGAGGCTGCTGTGCTGCCCGAGGCAAGCCGACCGCCGGCTGCACGCCAGCTCGTGTGACCTGTCGCGGTACTCCGGCGGGTTCGTCTCCGCGCTGGAGCCCGGCGCGTTGGGTCTGTGGTCCGACTGCGCCGCCTTGGACGACGGGGACGGCGGCTTGGGGCGGGCCGCGAAGCTGTCGCACTTGGAATCACAGCTGTGAAGGGAATGGGAAGTAGGCATTTTGTGGTGGATTACTATTTAGTCATGGGGAAGGATGAACGGGGGGGTCTTTTTGGAAAGGTGTGCGCAACATCCGCAACTTAATTGTATTGCAAGCAGTAGGCTATTTTCTTTTTAAAAAAGGTGGTGGAGCTGGACCAACATTATTTCCAAGATGCGCAAATATCACCATGGATAGTTCAGTGATGTTCTTTTGTTGTTGTTTTTAACTATCAACCCTTAATGTTTTGTGGGTGTGGGTGTGATAAACATCCTCGGTGCTGCGCGCATTACGGAACTGGATTCAGCGGATGGACACTCGTTCCAAAGAGCGCACGCTTTCATCCTCCCATTGGACCCGCAGTTCACATGGACGCGGACAGTCAGTGGACACCTCCACGGTTTGCGAGACGTGTCGTCATCTATTCTTTAGAGTGACGCATCTCTGTACTAAAGTGAATGTTATTTAAATCCAGCGGACACGCTTACTGTTATAAGCCTTGTCGTGCTCACAATGTGCAATTTGTACGACGGGTATTTGTTTACATTAAACATAACGTAATTATACGCATATATATATTTATATATATTTATTCCGCGCTGTCTTTTACAACTAAACAAGTGAATGTGGGACTGATTTCGGCCCTTTGTACATATGTTGGTGTTTAAGACTCAAGTGAGGATTTTGAGCCTCTTTCTTTGTATTTAAGCTTTACATGCTATTGTGAGGTGGCGTGTTGACTCCTGTGAAATAAAAGGATGTTTCATTGTTATTTACTGTTTGATTATTATAACCAGATCGGCCCGTTGGAGAGAAGATGCCTCTCCATGCACATGGAGAGCATGGAGAGGCATGTTAATGGCTTATGTATTTACTTTATTCTCAACTGCGCCCTGATCACGGTTTATATGAGCACACATGCAGGCATTGGAATAAAACACAAGAGATTGGGTTAAGATTGAGGTAAAGAAAAATCAGTTTGAGGAGAAAGAAAAAAACAATCAGGTCACGCTCCAGAAACACTAAATCCTCTATGTACCATAATGCAACTTGAAGGTGTCTTTCATTGGACCCTCGACGCCTCCTTAGTCCCACTTCTCAGGTTTGTATCACAGACTTTCTGTAAATGGACCTGATGATACCTGCGTGTATGGTTGTTTTTTTGGGGGCTGTTGATATGTGACACAAGAGAGATTCACAGCCTTCAGAAAAACATTCCAACAGCAGTGCAGCACATTATATTTGAAGGCCTCCTGGCAAAGATTTGCGTCATTATCAAGCATTGTTTGTTTGGCAGGATGTTCGAGTTTGGGCGGATTAGCGGTGGGCTCACAGATGGAGGAGCTAATCAGCAGTTTTAAGAATAATTGCTCCAAATTGCATGTGTATCGGTGGACATTCTGGCTGCTCAAGTCATAGATTAACTGATATCACTGTGACCTCGGCAGCAACAGTTAGTACCACGCTATAGTAAACACACAGTGTACATGCAGAAATAACAGGGGATGGTGATTTACCTTTGTGGTTCACTGCAGTATTTGAAAATAAAGTTTACGAAAGATTCCTGGTATGAAATATAAAAGCAATGTCACTAAATAATATGTCTTAATACTTAATCAGCAATAGTAAATTCGATGATATTCAAAATATGTTATGTATATTTACTGTAATGATGCAGAAATGTCACAGACTATTATACACAGAATTAAGTCAAATTGAAAGTAATTTCCAACTCTCTGCATGAATAACATTTCCTCAAAACTGTTTCTTTAATTGCGTTGCTTTTGCTCCTGCTCAAATATGGTTCAATTTACATTCATTGTCCGTGGAGTGTGGAGATATTTCAGAAGAGACCAGGTGCAATCATTCCCCCATGAAATTCACTCATTCCGAGGCTTCTTAAGCATTTGTAATCAAATCCAAACGTGGTTTCAAAAGCAAAATGAGGCCAGACAGTTTCCATAACCTCCGAAATCAACACAACTACATTAAATAAGCTCATTCGGACCCTCTCGGGGCAACAGGTGGGATGTTTCATTCAGTTATGGACTCAACCTCCTCTCGTCCAGATCGTGAATAACTGCCTACTGCCATCTGACGCCTATACTGCCTACTGCCATCTGACCAAGACAAACAGAAACATCAGAGAGAATATAAAGCACAATTGAGGCCGGGAGACCTTTTTATGAATTGGTAATGTTCCCTTTTCCCAAATGCAACTCAAACTGACGCTAATAAAACAAGCCTCGAAAGCGTGATTTGTCTTGCACGAACACTGCGTACAAAAACAACATCAAACCCGGTTAAAGAGGACTCACGTCGAACGTGTCTCTCAGAGATCCACCGCAAACATGATTATTTTTAAATGCAGTGCAAATGCTGTCATTTTTCTTCAGGGTTCAGGTTGGAGGGGAAGTTGTTCCGAGGTACAAACTACAAAAAACAGCACAGGGATTTTCTGAAAAAAAAAGAAAAAAAAAGGCGGAATGTCAGCACCTGGTAACAATTATTGCTGATTGCCAATGACTGTGGCCTTATCACGTCCCAAACTGATGTGCTAAATGCAACGACAGCATAAAAGTGCACCGTTTTGCCCAGTTTAAGTCCTTTGTGTGTTGACATCAATTGTTACCGAAGAGTACTTAATATCCATTTTTAATATATATATACACGGAAAACGTGTAACGTATTGATAACCCAAGTGATGGCCATTTAGTGGCCATTTTGAGATAAAGTTAGCTACTCTGGAAACTAAAGTTAGTGTAGCCAGAGGAGAAGCTTTGACATGTGGAGCAGCAGCATTGATTAAGCTCAACTTTCTTTGCGAAGAAAAATGCCTCGAAACTCCTGTCAAATTAAACTCCTCCGTGATTCATTCCGGTCCGAGCCACGCTGTGATTGTTGAGATGCGGCGCCAAAAAGCAGGTGCACGCGCCGCGTGCGTCCATCTGTCTGTATTCCCATGTGAACTTGGCGCTCGGCGTTCTCCATCTGCCGTGCGTCGGCCCTCGCTCTGACTGTCGTAATCTGAACATTTGGGCACATTTGTTACGCCGTGTTTAGCACCTAGTTTATCTTTTAGGGTAATGCAACTTTCTTTCCCGAACAGAGTTTTGATGTACGGCAAAATCAACAAAATCCTCCTACTTCACCAGCACCTGCAGAGCTCACGAGGAAACTGTTGTATTTTGAAACTTCTCAACAAACTCAGACAGCTCTTTCCCCCGTTTCCAGTCTTTTACGCTAAGCTAAGCTAAACTAATCTCGCTCCGCCCTCATATTGAACAAATGGATTCCACTGTGATATTGATCTTTGTTCAAAGCCGTCTGAAAGGGCAGCAGTCCAAAACAACACTGGTGCTCTTTTGCAACCCCTTTCACTGACATTGTGTCACACCAGATAAAAAACAAAAACCCAAACATGATAGCCGCGCAGTAGACAACCCTGTACGTGCAGACCGACCCGTCTAGAGGACGGAACGAGACGTGCGCGGTGCAAGACACGGGTTCGGAGGCCTCTCGCCGCGCTGACCCGAGCGAAGCCCCCACTCTCACTCTCCGCTTTCGCCGCTGTCGGGTGATAACGGCGCTTATGGGGTGTAACCGCCTCATGACAGCGGTGCAAGTCAAAGGCCTCCCCCGCTGTGTCAGCGTAGGGAGGAGAAGCCCCTGAAGCGTCCAAACGCACAGAGGGAGAGCAACTCCAAGATTTTTAACCAGAAGAAAGAAGAACTAGGAGGTGCAGTCGGTACATCCGTGAAGTTTAGTCCTATTTAAATGAAGGGGAATGAAGAAATACAAGGTACCATTAAATGGAAACACTGAAGTGAAGCAGAGCACTTGAATGAATATGAACGTGGTCACGCGCGACCACTTCCGAGCAATGAAACTGAGCAGCAGCTTGTTTAGAAGCCTCCATCTCGCTCAAGGCCTCGCTGGCTCTTTGCGCTGAGCAAATGATTAAAGCCTCTACTCTCATCTGCCCCCTGCATGAAGTTTGGAAAAGTGAGTTCTGGTTTCAGCGTGAGACAAAATATATTTCATTCCTCAATCCATTCATTCATTCATTCATTTCTTTTTTTTTCTCTCACAGAACTGCAGGGCGAAAAAATGAAACCCTCAAAGAGCAGGAGAGGTGGCATAGAATCAAAGCATTACCGTGACGTTCTGCACGTCTGAGGGCGGATTTTCTAACGCTATCTAATAATAGACTTGATGGATACATGAATATTTCCAATCAAAAAAAAGAGGGTATTTTTCGTACACAGAATGACAAAGCGCTGAAGCTGAAAGACACCCGGACTTATGGGACACTCATTATGCCGTTCATATTCGAATGTGTCTTATCCTAATGCTGCAGCTGTTGGGTTTGTAATATAGTAAAGAAAAATAGACACGGACGGGCAGCTCGAGAGCTTCTGCCACTGTGTTCAAAGGACACAGGCGATGCTTCGTGAATTCAAGGGTGGCCAACTACGCTGACAGAAGTATCCTTTACCAGAGAGCTAAAAATAGCCCCACACCAACTATTCTGAATTGGCAATTTGAACCCGCCGCTCTGCCTGCGGAGAAAATGGGAAATATCACCGACACGGGACCAGAATGTCCAAATAAAAAAATATCTTAATTTTTAACCGTTGCTCCCGAAAGGCCGGTTTAATTCGTGATAAACTAGGGCAGATAATCGATGCCTTCATTGATACTAAAATCCTCCTGGACTTGTTTTTTGGAGTCCGGGTTTGACTGACAGGTACAGCATTGACCTCCAACGCCGCTGACTCAGCTGCTTTTTTTTGTGTCACAAAGAGTCAGAGAAAGGATCTTCTCTCTGTGAAAAATGTCCCGACCTCAAATTAAATGACATTCCAATGAAATACAAACAACTCAAACAAGAGCAGCAGATGTTCAGGTCAGGCGAAAGTAAAAAAAAAAAAAAAGACAAAAAGAAGAGATATGTGGCACCGTGGCACATTTAAGAGAAAGTAAAGACTCATCTCTTTTTATTCCATGGAAACAATATATACACACACACACACAAATGTAATCCGGAATCAGCATTATTTTTTAAAACTTCTCAATCATTTTACAGAATGACATATTTACAAATGTATATTATAATCACAGTTTGAATATTCCACTAAAGGGGGGCAGAGAATCATTGCACAGCAAGAGGAGAAATTACAGACTTCCACCTTATTTTGACACACGCACACCCTCTTTTGACGCAAACACATTTCAGTCATGTCAAATGACAATGCGCCGGCGTTGCTACGTTTCGAGGCTGCGGCAATGTGTGATCAGCATGATTCTGACAGAAGGGATCCGGCGACCATCAGCCTGCCTCTGAGAATTGGATTTAATAAGTACAACCTATGCATGGTTTTTGCATCGGTTGTACTTTACTGTCAGTTTCTAGGACAGAAGTGAAGAAACAACAAAAAGCATTATGATTTACACATAGTTAGCAGCGAGCAGATTATTTTATGTTTAACATTCATGAAAACATACAGATTGCCTTGGTTTTGAAATAAATCAACAGCCTTGATACAAACGGAAACCCTGAATGAAAAGTGATGAATCTGCAACCGGTCCAAGGTGTAATCTCTAGGCGGGCTGTCCTCACGTTCACACGGTGCTCCCACATCGCAGAGAGAAGTCGCTCTGGATTAAACGAACGCCGAGGACGGTATTAAGGACTGTGACTTCAACCATGGAAACTTTCATCTCTGTTCACACAGTGGGCCATTTGAACACGGCCTCGGGCTGAACGGGGAGGGCGATCAACTTGCAAACCATAAAAAGAGGATTTCTGATTGAAAGCAACCGAGAGACAGAGGCTTACGCGCTGTGACAGCTTCTTCTTCCGATCAAATACAGACCATGGACACTTTGATATTGTTCAATCAAGCAATTTGCCTGCTTCACAACAGTCATAGGGTGTGTGTGTGTGTGTAGACCGTGTGTAGCTGGGTGTCTGACAAGACTCTGGTCTAAATGCAAATCGAGTGTAGCGGTACTCCTGTGGATGAAACAAACTTCATGTTCGATCAGGTGGAATCCTAGAAGCTCTGAGAGCTGAAGAATGCACAGGAGGTGTGAACACAATAGCTTGAGAGGTTATAAAAATAACACACGCGCACACACACACACACACACACACACACACACACACACACACACACACAGAGAGAACAAAAGACAATAAAGAAAAATAAAAAAATGATATATATATATATATATATATATATATATAATCAATGAAAAAGGAACAGCATTGCACTTTGTCCCAGAAAATATTTCCGTGGGTTCCATCGACTTTCCTGAGCAAACAGCTACAGATCTCCTACTCCTGTCCGTCTGATTCGTGATGTACTTCAACGGACTGAGTGACACGAGGAAAAAGAAGTGGAGAACGTGAACATTTTTGTCTTCGCCCTCTCACCAGCTCAGACTGTGCACACGGTGCAAAGAACGTTTCTGCACGCGGGCCTTTACCTGCGTGTCCACGGTTTGGTATCAGGAATGCTACCGATGCTACAAACACAGCTTTAAATGCTCATGTCTGGTTGACAGAAGTTGTTACCCGTTGGAAATAACCATACAAATCAGAGAAGGAGATGCAAAAAAAATCCTAGGTGTTCATTATTTTAAATTAAAAGCCAAAAAGCTCAACAAGAATCCGCATGATAAAAAAAAATAAAAATGTATAACCACACCGGTACAGTTTTAAGCCAAGAAACAAAGAAAAAGAACGAAAAATCACACACAAAAACGGCCAAACTCAAGACCAGCTCTACATTTCAACCCTAACATTACATTACACTTGTCATACGTTTTTCTTACAAAGCTTGACACGAGAATACTTCCACGCTGACGGAATAGTGCTGTCGGCTGCATTAAACGTTGCAGAGCACGCGGCTGTGCTTCCTTCAGTCCAGCTGCGTCTACCGTTGAGTCGCCCCGCTTCACCGCCTCGGCCCGCAAGTGCTGTGCAGCGCAAAAGTTTGATGAGAAATGCCCACATGGCACACGAGATAGCCGGCGGGCCGGGGCGGCGTAAAAGAGCTGCGAGGGGACAAATGTCTTCTTTCTAGCATGTATTAATTGTTGTTTTCTTCTTTTTTTTTTAAACTACCTCCTTGGTAGACTTCGCTATACATTCATGATTGTGGCATCAATGAGTTTACAAGACAGACTTTCACACACTGGCCCGAAAGAGTTTAATTTTGGCGAGGCTCAGGGGAGATGGACGCGAGGCAGAGGAAGATCAGTTGTGTTGGCGGAGGTGGTACAATGTGGACGGAATGACGACAGGTCAAGTAAGCCTCAGACATGTCCCCAAATGGACAGAATTCAAGAGGTCCTCCAGCCCGACGCGCTACTGGCACTTAAAACGTCGTATTTGCTCCTACGTGTCTTGGAAGAACGTCTTAGTTTTTCCCGTCCCTTCAGAAAGGGTGTGGGGGGGGGGGGGCGAGGTTGCTTAAGTAGTTACTGGTCCTTGATCTCCTCCTCGGTGGATTTGTCACTTCCTCCTCACTCCGTCATCAGGATCTCGCTGCTGTTTTATGAGCCTCTCGATCTCGGACCCCAGAGTCTGCAGATTCTCCTGCAAAAGGAGACAGGGCGTGTGTAATTGACAATAAAAAAAAAAAATCTTTGAAGAAACAATAATCGCCATTAATTCTCACAACGATTACCGGGGTCTGAAAATTGCAGAAACTAAATTACCCATCTGAGGGAACGCGTAGCCTTAAATTTCAGCTTCGTCAGGGCTTTTTGTTGTATTGTAATTTTGTCACAATCTGTTGTGTCGAGTGTTTTTAAAATAATTACTACCTGCCAATAATCTTTCAGCCACAGAAACATGAATTGCTGTCAGAAAATACACACACATTGAAATTGAAATTCTTATTTAGGTTTTTACGTGGGTTGTCTTTTTCTAAAATGAGTTTAACACAATATAAAGACAACATGAAGCTGCTTGTTACAAACAAAGCATCCAAGACGTCAACACAAAAGTGCAAATAAAGCAGAGTTTTGCTTGTTTTCCAGCCGCTCTGTGGATTTCACCCATTCTAATCGGGCACTTGGTCATGAAATAAATGAGTTTTATTGTAGTACGTAAAGCCTGTATTGCACACATACTGCAGGATTGAGCATATTTCATGCAACGGCAATAAACCCGCCACTCTGTCCCTGCCGCTGCGTTTTTTTCTTTTTAGGTATAGCGCACATCCACGTCACCTCCTCGAGAGCCGAGAAGCGGAGTCATTCATTTAACACAAACGCATCGGGAAAATTGGTTCAGCTGGAATCGCAATTCAATTACATTATCAAAAGAGCCAAAGGCGGCGAAGCTGGACAAAGCGCACGTGCTCGCTGAACGAGGACGAACGCTGTGAATGTGGGCTTGAATAAACTATTCAAGATCATGGACTGCCGAGAAGGACGAACACGTTCAGTGTCACTGGGGCACATGAATCCTTTCGTGGCGTTAGCATCAATAATGCAGGCTCTGAATGGGACCACGATTCCCAACATCTCATCTCTCTGATAACGGAGAGAAACAACCCGACTGTCCTGATAAGACTGTGAGCCTGTTCAATAAAAAAATAAACCATATACAAATTAATGTGATTCATGATATCAATATTATCTTGGATTTAATGGTGCTAGTTACTTAAAGTCAAAGATACATAATTAATACACCATTAATCAAGACTAATTTAAAATTAGTATTCAAGCAAACGTGTCATTTTTTGGGGAACATAAAGCAGAAACAACGACACGAGTGTTTTTCTTTCCATCCAGCTTTGTTGTGGTTAATGTTTAAAAGGCCGGGGAAGGCAAGTGATGTGAATGTTAAATACATATTGCTTTGAGGGGACCAAGAATAGCCCCTGATCTGTACAGGGCCACAACAGCGGTGACGCCTGGACCTACAAAATAAATGAGTTTCAGCATCATCAGCAGTTTGTACTTTGCAAAAGTTCTGCAGAAGAGGCATCCCGGGATCCTGCAGTCTGCTGTGGAGGTGAGAAGACTTAAAAGAAAAGGGATTTTTGTATCTAAATTTAAATGCTATGAAGTCTCAATCAAATTAAAACATGTATGAAAAAACAACCGACTTTTAAACATATTTTTATTAAAAAAAAGAGCCGATGGACGAAACAGACATTTGAGGGTTTTGGAATAAAATGTTTAGGGGTAGAAAATAGTCTAAACGCTTTAGAATGGACGAATGCACCTTTAAGAACAGGAATACTACCTGTGCACAAACCGATGCTTATTATCAGTTATCAGAGTTTAAACAATAAATCTCCCACTGCACACTACGTGGGTTTCATTGAAAACTGCACGTAACGTCAATACTGCGAGTGCATGTACAATTGTTAATGCATTTACAGCACAATGCTAATGGCGTTTGGGGGAGGGGGGGTGGGGCTGCTGGGAGGACAATTTACCTTCAGAGTAATGTTCTTCAGCAGCGTGTCCTCCAGCACAGCCTGCAGCTTCCTGTTGATCTCCAGCGACAGGTCCAGGGTCAGCCCGCTGTCCGCCGGGTGGGAGGTGTAGAGCGAAGCCATGATGCCTCCCCGCCGGCTCACATGGGCTTTATTGATGTCCGACGCCTCGGACGAGAGGGCCCCGGACTCCTCCCTCAGCACGTAGCTCTGGATGATTCTGTGGGGAGGAAGGGAGAGAGAGGTGTACAACTTTGTGCTGCAGACTGTCGAGCAGGGAAACGGAGGAAAGTGGGATTTATGGGCGGCAGCATGGAGAGCAATAAAACCGTTCCCAGCTGCAAAAGCAGCAGACGTTTGTAGAATGGTAATTTCAGCGGGGCGGCTTGTTGAACTCGCGCGCGCCATCAATTCAGTCGTAGTTAGAGAGATGATTCCCGTGACAGTCGGAGGAGGAAAAGATAATGGAGAGGGCCGCGGTAGAGGGGGCCGCAAGGATTCAATTAATCAAAACGGGATCGTCCGAGAAGGGGAGATTGATCTTCATGGAACATTTTCATCTCTGTAAGAATAACGTGCTAAAGCTCGTTCGTTCGGGGAAAGAGAAGATAGTTTGTGCCAGAGAGAGAAATCATTAGCTCAACAGCGCTAAACTTTTTGCTGTCCAAGTTTAGCAGCTAATAAATGAAACCTCTCCAATGCCAGAGCTGAAAAGCGTTTACGTTTGCCGCTGTGTTCTTAAATTTTCCTCTTGAAGACTTGGGAGTCTGGGCAGATGAAGAGGATCGGGCGATGACCTTCAGCAAAAGGTCAACAACAACCCTCCTGTGACTCTTTAAGATGGGCCAGTAAATCGATATTTCAAAAACAGGAGCTCAACCCTGCTGTACATCTGAAACCACGACGTCCAGCCATATCCTTTCGTTTAAATGCCAGGTGGGTCCGAGAGCGACTTTCTGAAAGTGGGTAACTGCAGGATGCGCAAAGGGAACTGCAATAAGATTTGCACGCTGTAAAAATCAGCATTATTCCTCAAGAGATTCCAAGAAATGTAGAGCTCAAAATATTCTTATTATCTTCCTAAGAAGATACTTTGAGAGTAGATTCATTCAAGGGGAGTACCAGTACTATTACTACAACCATTACTACTAAATCATGAATGTGAATGAAATAGATAAAAGAGCAGCCTCCTTAAAATGTGCCATATTAAATATTACACTTCTAAATACCAAAATATAATTAATAATAATAATTTACACCTGTTCTGACTGAAGGGGGATAAAACCAATACTGGCTCTCAGTATTAAGAACCATCTTTTATGATCCGTGTAATTAAATGAATGGATGTGCTTTATGTGTCAGTTTTATTAAGTCCTTTAACACAATATATATGCAGCACACAAGCCCTCAAAATGTGTGTGGCTCCGTACTTATAATTACACACTAAGAAAGACGTTTATGGTACACACAGGCGCACGCACACACACACACACACACACACACACGACTTACCTCTGACTAGACTCTGAAGGGTCCGTACTCGGACCCCAGTTCCGTGTTTAGCAAAAGCAAAAAAAAGGGGCAAATTAAAGTTGTGGCCACGAGGTCTGCAGCCCGGGATGCACGAGGATTTATTTGTGAGAGTCCTTTTTTTGTTCCAGCCGAGTGCGTGATCTCATTCGGTTTATGACGGCATCATTTTAATTCAAGTCACATGTTAAAATCATGTTGGTTTTTCCTCCATCGGTTTGACAAGCGGCACTGAATACTGCAAAACCCAAGAGCCTCAGTCGCTGCTGCTGTGGGAGAAGTGAGGTTTGTACGAAATGTATGTTCTAGCATTAAAAGCTTCCATTGAGGTCCACAAATAACAGCTTGAACGTCTGTGGTCATATTACGTATTCATACAAATGAGAGCTTTTGGATGAGAGCACACTGATAATAAAAGTTTCATGTGAAAAGCCTACAGGGAAACAGTTCGCCGACCACGCTGGGAAATTGATGTTTGCGCGAATCAAAGCTTCAGCGAAATGATCCAACGTTGAAAGTTAGCAAAAAAATACTCCTCAGAAAATGTTGATTATTCATCCAAAATTGACCCAGAATCCAACTCACGACCGAATTAAGCGGCAAGATTGTCGGTTTTCTCAACTGCGCTGACTTGACGCTTTGCCTGCTGCTGAAACGCAACAGTTTTTAATTTAGTTGTGATTGGAGATTTCTTAGAGATTTTCAACCAGGTGTTTCCAAAAATATCCCCACCACCTACTTTGTAACTGTATATTCTTTGGAATAGAGCGAGTACACAAGAGACGTTAATTGTTGTTGTAGCTTCAACAGGAAATTACCTTAAAAAAAAAATTTTTTTAAAAAAAGGCCAAAAATCATCGGTGGAAGCTTAAGCGGCAGCTTTTCTCTCGCTATTCACTGTCCCACTAACGGGGTCTCTTTATTCATCCCCTGCTGCAGGCTGACAGGAAATCCAGTTTCACCAGGTCGTCCTGGAGGGATGGATACAACAAAGGCAAAAAGGACAAGTGCACTTCCAACTTCTGGGAAGTGCAATATGCCCCCGCCCCCCCTCCACTTCGCAGAGATTTCGCAGAGCTAAATTTAGCCCGGTAACCGTGGGATTCGTCCTCGATCTTAACTCGAGAATGTAGGTTGAGGCTAATGGCTTCAATACAAGTGTGTGGCTGAGAAAAGAGATAAGGATGATCCAAGCCGAGTCGAGGAGGGATTATTTGAGTAATCGTTGTAGTAATAATAATAATAATAATAATGATAATAATGATAATAATAATATGGCAACAAGAGCCAGTGTGATGGAGAACAATTAGAAGAAGAAGTTTGGAGAGATCTACATCTCGATCAATGATTACGATTCGAGGAAACCGTTTATTTGGTTCTAAAAGTGATACTTTGGTATGTTGAATTCATAGCGATCCATTACAAGGCCCAACCGTCACATAAAGCAGCGACGTGATTAAGATAGCTGCAACGACCTTCACGCCATCTCTTCAGTTGGGGGCGATGGCCGTGAATATGGATGGCACCTCACTAAAAAGAGCCACACTGATGCAGTGCCCCCCCCCTTGACTCTCAGTAGCTTTGAAATTGTGTCACGGATCCAAAGTGAGGCGCAGAAGTTACAATCTACGGGTGATAATAAACTGTGTGCATACGCTGTCAGGTGAAGGTGAGCTGAAGCAGAGGTACAAAAACTGCACGAAAATCAAATAAACTCGCTACTCCTATTGGTCAGCATCTCTATCTGCACTATTTGCACCAAAAGCTTTTTAACAGACGTCGCTAAGAACCATGTGCTGCATTTAGTCCTCGTTATTTTAATCCCTTTAACAAAGCAGCAAGAAAGTGCCTCTCTAATGGCGTAGTTACATGAGATGCATGTCCAACCATCGCTTGCACCGGTCTAACATCATGACCTTGCGTCCTCGGGGTCAAACTGCGCCAAGAAAGTAATTCACCATGGCATTAAGCAGGAAAACAATTTAATGAAGATGAATCTCCCCCTTCTCTGCCTCGTCTACTGAACGGGGCCACTCACTTGGTCTTCTTGCGGATCTCCTCCACCAGTTGCTTGATGTGATCCTCCATGAACTCGATTTTTTCCTGCTTGCGAGCGAGAGCTTTCTGCAGGCGGACGATGCGGTCCACCAGCACGGTCTTGTCCACCTCGGGGAAGCTGTCCACGACCACCACCGAGGGGCCGGACTGGATGTCCGGTGAGCGATCTTCAACGCCAGCGCTGCCGCCGTGTCGTGCGCTCAAGGAGCCTGGTGAATGGAGGTCTTTGTTAAGACGAGCGGCAAGCTTTTAATTCTTATCAAAAAGAATACAGTATTTATCGCCTTCTCTTCTACCTTGTTAGGGGGACATTTACGACAACATTTTACAGGTAAAAAGTATTTTAGGAAATGACTTTTGCGCATGTTAAATACTAACCAAATCCAGGAGCAGTACCTGAGGAACTTGAGCGACTGCCCATACTGCTGGCATCCCGGTCGCAGCCTCCATTCTCAACCTGCTCCATTCTCTTACGGGCTACAGAGTACAGAAGGAATAAAAAACACCAACATTGAAGTCATGTCTATTGACTATATACAGTACATTCGTAAAGATTTGCACTATATGCTTGAAAAAGGTTAGTGTCACACCAATGTTTAAAACACAGGAAAGTGGTGTCAACAAAATTCTTGACTGTATTGCGGGAGTAAATGTTTGTATATTTGGGATTTTCATTTAAGAACTAATCATTTCAACGCTAATCTTGAGCAAAGAAACAACATTCAACTTCTTCAAAAACATAAGATAGCGTGCAATAATAAAAAACTGCATATAAACTAACGATACGAGGCAGAAAGTCAAAGCTAAGCATCGCTGCTTGACTGAACAGTTTTTCTCTGAAGGGGTCGACCTGAATGAAGGTGATGCACGCTGCTTTTGCACACTCTGCAAACCTCCCATGAATAATCAAAGACTTTACACTACTGAGCTGAACGGAGATGATGTTGTTAACTGCAGCACTGATGAACAAGCTCTTCTTGTGTCCCGTATTAAAAAAATAGGAAACGCTCGTGTTAATAAAATAGCTCTGTAACTTGTGCCTGTAAGGGACTGTTCACATTTAGTTTGTGGGTTGTAGGACTTCATGGTCAGTCTATTCAATTTGCACGCACGCAAAAAAATAATGAATTTGGGAGATTTATTCCAAATATTTCCGCTGCTTTAACTTGAGGTCAGATAGTCTATTCCAACTGAAGCAGTTGTCTCTGCTCTCTTTCACCACACACCAAACTAACAAATCAAGGCCACAGCAGGGGTTCTGCAAGGTAAAATTGCAATTTTTTATTAAAAGAAGTGTCAGCTTTGAAGAGCTAATCGCAAAGGGCCTCCTGTCAACAAGGCAAAGGGTGGAGAATACTGTTATGATGCACCCTTGGTGACCACCGTCTACTGTGGGTAACACACCGAATACAGACAAGTACCTCATATAACCTCACAAAAAAACCAACCATCCCTTTTAGGTCACTGTGTGTGTGTGTGTGTCCCACAGGGAACCAAGCAGGGGGAACGGGCTCCTTCTACAAAGTATAATCCTAGCATGAGAAGAACATTGCCTTTCTATGCACAGCAGATATCTGTACTCTCCCATCCCCCTGGTTTCTAATCGCGCCGCAGCCTTTCCTCTTCATCCGCGTGTGTGTGTGTGTGTGTGTGTGACCTGACATTAAATCCTGAGTGAAGGACGCTCCTCGAGTGGAGACATTATACATCAAAGACACATGTCAGAGTGAAGTGATACTCAACGATAGCAGGAAATCAATCTATCACTCACTCACGTATTCAAAACATGTGGTTTTAAATACAGGAGCACGGCTGCGCTGTAAACGACACTACGCTTTTGAGAGCTATTCATTTGAACACAAACTAGTAAAGTAATTTTGACACAGGATGTGCGTTTTTTTACTACATGGGTTGGATAAATCACCTGCTAATCCTATATTTTGCTAAATAATGACATTTAAAAGTGATGTTTGCACGCATTGGCTCGTCGCAAATATCAGCCGTTATGCTTCCAACAAACAAACCCCCGGTTCCTAACCTTGTATTAGTTGTTTTGTGAGGTCCTTGATGTTGGCAGCCTGTTTCCTTTTCTGAGTCGACAGCTCATCCCGGAGCTCTTCAACTCTGGTTTTCAGCTGAGCCGCTTCGGTCTGCAATGCCGCCCGCTCCTCCTGCAGGCCCTGCACCTCCTGCTGCCTCAGCACCTCCTCCTGCTTCAGCAGCCGTGACTAGGGGAGTATCAGGGACGGGAGGTTGAATGACGCGAACGACGCAACAGCAGGCGTGAATGAGCAGCAAGCGGTTGTGACAACAGAACAGAATTTACACAGTGACTGAAAAAGAAAGAAATAAAGCACAAACTATTTGATGATTTTCCTTCTGTTTAAGCCAAAAAAAACAAAAGAGATCAGTTCTAGGACACCGCATGTTCTGACTACTCGGCTGCCATGTACCCTTTTTTTTACACAGCTGTGTGATCACACTTGGCCCACCTTGTCATCCAGCAGCCTGTTGGTCTCCTCCAGCTTCGCCTGCAGCTCGGTGAAGCTGCTGTTGAGCTGATCCAACTGGAACTGCAGGGAGTTGCTCTCTGACTGGAGCTGGGCGTTCTTGCTGCTCAGCTTCTCAGTGAAGCCCAGTAACTCCGCCTCGCGCTCTCTGCTGCCTTGTACATCACGCTGGAGGTCCGCCAGCTGGTTGGACAGGCCGTCCACTTCATCGCGAAGAGATGTGACCTCCTGTTTATCACTGCGGGACAAATGGATCATTGGCGAGGTCTTAATAAAAGAGTGCTGGATATGAGCGCCCATGTGTGTGTGTGTGTGAAAGGCTTACTGTTGTATTGCAGAGAAGAATACACTGTATAAGACGGGAGTTTGTATATGTATGATCTTATTTATCTTTAATGAGTTGAATGTTTGATCATGTTTAAGAGACAACTACCCAATACAAAAAAATGTGTAGTTACTAAATTAGTAGTAGTAGAAAAACAAGTACATAATCAACTGCTCACTCTCATTTCAATTATCTGGAATACATCATTTTATTTAAATTGATGTTTTTGTTGCATGGGCACTCGTATGTAGCACTGAAGCTACAGCTAATATGAGCACTAACATTTTGATTCTAATTCACAGACTGGCTGAAATGAAAGTCATAACTTCCCTGGTACTAAAGTTGCCCACAGACCAAAGAGCTGGTGGCATCATTTTTACTTTCCAAATACTAAAATCTGTGGTGGATACATGCCCTGCTGCTCAAAGTGACCGCCAGGAAGAGCAAAAAAAAACAAGAAAAAACATTTAGAAAGCTTTTGGTTAACTCTATTTGGGTTGGAGCCACCTACTTATGGCATACAGAAAAAGGACCACTTAGATAAGAGGAAAAGTTCCTCCATCAAGTGATCTGCACATGGCCACACAACCGCAGAGGGACCCGAGTCTCTTCATGCCCTCTGTGCTATATCGGTCCCTGGCCTATCTTTAAAACATGCAATGATGTTCTAGCTGAAAAAAACCAGAAGGGAGAATTGCAGTGTGGTGTGCACTGTGGTGTCAAAACCATTTACAGTTCAAGGGCTTTGTGCTCCGTGCGCGAGTGTGTACCGTTCATGCTGCTCCTGCAGCGCCGTGATCTCTTCCAGCTTTTCTCTCTGCCGCCCGATCTCGGCTTTCTGCCGGTTGATCATCTCCCTGTACTTGTTCAGCTCGTCCTCCCAGCGCGGACGCTCGTCTTCTAGACACTTTAACTACAGCGAAACACATCCTTGATTAACCCTGAAATCTTTGGATATCACGCACGCACGCGCACACACACACACACACACACACGCACACGCGCACGCACGCACACACACACGCACACACACACACACACACACACGCACACACGCACACGCACACGCACACGCACACACCTTATCCCCATTACAAACCTTGGTTCGTAGAGTAATGAGCTCATCCATGCCTTCTTTGTAACTCCTTTTCAAGTCGTCCAGCTCTTTGGCCTTCACTCGGTGCACCTGCCGGATACATCAAGGTCTACGTTAGATATGGATCCACTGTTAAGGTTAATACTTAGAAAAGGGGATTGCTGTCCTGAGCAGAGTCTAAGCCTGTAAACACTGTATTTTAAAAGCATACCTAGTTCTTCTCTGCCAGTGCAACTATTAAGACTAAGATTTTAAAACACATTAGTATTCAGTTCAATTATCCATTAACTTAACACTCGCATATTTATGTCTGAAAAAATAAATAAATAAATCTCACATTAGCATAATTTCATTGCAGATGTGTTTGCTGGCAGTCCATTACTGGCATTCATTAACATTATTTTGTTTATGCAGTCATTACGTATGCGAAGGCAGAGCTTAATAGTGCTTCGTCTCATCCTTCGAACAAAGCCATTAATGTTAAAACATTTCCAAGAAGCCATTAGCCGGTCTCCAAGACAACATGTCAGTGATGCTGGTGCATGTACTGTCTACTTCCTCTATTTACCCCAGTCTCATGTTAACACTACCGCCCGCCAGTAATGGAAACCCAGTAGTTTTGTTTTTTTGCCAAATAACTTATGAATAAGCTGCACTATAACTTGAACATAACACACAATGTCTGCTGAGGTCCAACATGGAAAAATGATCAACATAATGTAAAACACAGGAGGTGTTTGTGGACAAATATGAACATTTCTGACAAACAGAAAAAAACGGTTCAAATGTCACATTTCAGCTCAAACGAATACACTAGAACTCACACTTAAGACAATTTAATGACTTATAAACACCTGATATTTCTGACATTCATTTCAAAGATGTGTAACAACCTGGATAAACAAACGGATGCAAAATGACAGCGAGGAATAAGTGACGTCCTCTGGGTTGTTGTTGAAACCCTGAGCTCAATATTGATTATTTCTAGGCCATGTATTTTTAAAGCGTGATTCCCCTCAGAATAAAAAGGAGAAAAACAGGCCGTTGTGTTTGAAATGTGTGTATGAGTGCACACAGTGCCACTTCGTTACTCGTTCCAATTTAGGGCAAATGCACATCTCAAACCGATTTTTATGTACGAGAAGAACTTCAAGATAGTCAATAAAAAGGATGAAAAATAAAACAGAATGCCCTTGAAATTTTGAATCAATAGTAAATCGGGAACAGTTTTTAATTTGTATTTGTGGTTGGTAGTCAAAGATGTTCAACAATAGAATGCAGTTAGCACATAGTTTAAATACTGCTACTGACGCTGAACTTATCCGGATAGCATGTGTGGGAAAGTGTTTGTACGTGTGCACAGCGATCGGCACCTCTAATTGGTCTGTTTGTTCCTGCTTGTGTTTCTCCAGCTCTACTTTGGTCTCCTTCAGTTTAGCATCCAGCTCGTTGGACTTGAGTTCCTCCGATTCCTGGAGGATTCAAAAACAAGACAACAACAACGACGAGGGTGAAAGAGAGAAGGCGCAGCTGAAGCGGGGCTGCCGTGACGACCAGTCTCGCCTTGAAGAAAGAGGTGTGGGAAATATAAGGCAGCCAGATAATGAGACTGACAGACGAAAACGTAATTTCCTTCAGCGATTCAGGATTTTATTTTAACATTCTAACATCATGAGATGCGATCGGTTTATAAAACATTACTTTCTTTCATCAGGTCTTTTTAAAATCTTCTCAACAAGGAGTTTCATTGAGGTCCTGCTTTGTAATCTACAGTCCCTGTAGATTAGTAGTAGTCCCAGTCTACTAATAACACACTGCTGGTGAATACCGAAGCTCAAACCAGCACACAGGGATCTGAGGCAGCTCTCTAACACCACCTCAAGGAATGCAATGAAACGTCTTTTCTCCTCGAGGAGAATTAGTCAAGTTCAGCTTCATGTAGTTCATATAGTATACTATTAAAATAAATAAATTACCATAACAGTTTGTTGTCATGTGTCCCTAATTTTCACAAGTGTGAACCTGATAAAAAGAATCAATCTCTACCATTTATGCAGCGCTGTTTTGCATCTGCTCCTCCCGTTATTGGTCATGGGCAAACTAATACTTCTTTGTGAGAAATACCACAAACCTGGTATGTTCGGATCATGTCCTGGCAGTTCTTGCGGATCTGTTCTGTCTCTTCTTTGGCCTGCGCCAACTTGGAAGTGGTCTCTCGCAGTTTGTCTTTAGATTCCTGCACAGAGATAAACAACAAAGCACGTATTGTATAAAGCCGTATAATGATTTGCAAAATGCTCCTGTTGCAATTTTTTTCCCCTGGCAAATGCCTTCGGAATTTGTGCAGACCGAGTGTGTGACACACACACGCACACGCACACGCACACACTCCTCTGTTCATTGTTGAGCATTTGCTTGTGGCAGTTAAACATGAAAAGCATAGTTTCTTAATAGAAATGTCCAAAAATAGCAGCGATGTTAACGATGATATCCGTGCCAGATCATTAATGTAGCCTTTTCACCTCATTTCATTTGGTGCCCGAATCAGGAGACACGTGCACAGTAATCATGTTTTCTGTGAGGCGGCTGCAGACAGAATGACTGAAGGGGATGTCATTCATTTCCTGGGAATGCTTAGCATCTTTGACAAACAGGCGTGGTTTCTAGATTAAGTTTAGAAGTTACCAGAAACTTGAGTTGCATCTTTCAAGCAAATACAGACAACGTATAAATATTATAAACAAAATGTAAAGTCTAGCCGCAACTACCTCATGCAGTCGTTGGGAAGTGGTTTCCAACTGCCAAAGTAGCTCTAAGCAGGATTAACCCAAAAGGTTGGATACATTACCTTGTGCGCGTCGGCCTCACTCTTCAGTTTGTTCTGGGCCCATTTGACTTTGATGAGATGCGAGTTGAGCTCCTCCTTCAATTTTTCCACCTCTCGCATCAATCTGCCCACCTCGCCTTCCTGTGAGAAATGGGCGAGGGAACAACATCAGAGGAGAAGATCTTTGGCTGAGCCGAGCTTCTCAGCTTCATCTTTCCCCCCCAATATTGATAGGATAATAAATCCCGTGTGAGAAGTCTAAAACTGCTAGGACTCAATCCAGGGTTTGTATGTTTATTATGTCCCTAGAGGAAAATTATACATTCAAGGAATTTAGCACATCAGCAGGTCAAACGCACCACAGAAAAGGTCTTACTTTTATCCAAGGTTAACTTCCTGATGATAAATAATGTTAAGCAGAGCAGTTGTTGAGTCTTTCACATCCTGCTACAAATGGTTTAGTGTGCTCTTAAAACACGAAACGGCCTTCACCTTCGCATCATACAGCTGCTGCAGACGACCTTTATCCTGAGCCAGCTGGTTTCCTCTGAGCGCCTGGCGGTCGACCTCCTTGGTGGCTTCCCTGAGCCTCTTCTCCAGACCCTCCTTGTCTCGCCTCAGGTCGAGGGCTTCCTTCTCCCCCCGCACATATTTCATCACCATGCCCTCTTTCTCTTGCCGTGCCTCGTCACACTTCTTGCCCGCCTGGGGGTGATTGTTTAAAAACAGGAATTAGGTTTATACTATTTCCCGCACAAGAAAACCAGATGAATGGGCTTCTCTGACAAGGTTGCTGCTACTTCGGCCTGGACTGAAACACTTAATGAAAGATGGACGGCTGGATTCAGAAGATGGAGGCGCTTGCTTTGAAGAGCGGATGCAAAACTGTCAACACAGCAATGTTATAAAGCCCATTTTCTGTTGCTTTATTATCCAGTTTAAAAAAAGTAAAGCACCAAGACTTTCTTAATCACATATTTAGCTTACTAAAGGCTGAAACTAACAAGCATTTTCATTAGCGATATTCACTTCATTGACTGAGCCTTTTTATGGTCACTACTGCGCTCACTCTGGTTTGTTGATTCCTCATGCCAATGTGACGCTCATGTGCCCTTCCTATTGTTTCAGTTAGTACCGGTATGCGGTTTGCTAAATCCATATGCAAGCTGGACTTTCAGGAGAAGGAAGGGGAAACTGTATAAGAGTGGACTTCAAGGAAACAGTTTGCCCCTTTCATGACTCACTATCACAACGTGCACTTTGCTCTTAGCAGATTGTATAAAACTAAGAAAAGAATTTCAAACCAGGGACTAGCAGCTGATTAGGACAGTGAAACCATCTTAAGGGAAGACTGATGTAAGAGAACAACTGAGTGGCAAATGTTCCTCTCAATGTTCACTGAACAGTGAAATTAAAAACTGTAGTGTGATGAAACCGTCAAGAGAAAAGTGCCGTACGTGGTTCAAACCAGGTGTGGCATCTATTGGATAATAAATGTGCTCTCTTGAGCTATGTGATTGAATCTGCAAGTTTTTAATAGACAGCTTCAAAGATAGATGGGATTGAGTGTGCTGCAAAAATTGATTCACTTGCTGCCAGTCGTGAATAACCTTTGAGTTTTTCAGCTTTAGAAATAATCTGAAGATAAATAAAACATTCTGTTATAGAAAGCGGTGTACTCTTCTCAATGACTGTGGAATTGACGCATTGGCATAATCCGAGTATATAAATATAACAGATACTGTAGAGGAGTGTGTCTGCACATGAATGCAAATCTGTAGTGGTTAGTTCAGCAAAACAAAAAAGGAGCAGACAAAAATAGAATAAAGAAATAAATAAATAAAGGGTTAGACTGTTAACTGAAGTTGTGTACGCTGCTCATCAAGGACCCGGTTATACCTGTTCAAGCCTGTAGGACAGGTCCTTCTGCATTTGCTGGAGTGCAGCCTTAGCTGCCTGGTCCTGGTGAATCAGTTTATCCCGCGACTCCTTAAGTTCTTTCAGCAGCTCCTCCACCCTTCCCTCCAACTGCAGAAACGGGGAGTAGAAAAGGAAAAAAACAACGTGTCAGACTGGGCCACACCTGGGCTAACCTGCTTCACAGGATTACACCCGATACACAATGTTGGAGCTAAAGTTAATTGAGACAGCAGAACAGGAAGAGGAAGGCAGTGTTACGGGAGACTTTTACTGTAAAAGATGATTGAAATAGCTGTGCTTCAAATAATGACACTGAGAGAGAAAGTAAAGAGAGATTAACGTACACGTACGTCATAAAAATAAAAAAAATAAAACCTCCCGCATCATTCTGTTTACACAAGGCTTGTACAAACGGCGTTACCAAGACAGCATGCAACAAATGTGTTTCTTTCTATAGGAACAGCGATGCTAGAACAGATCCAATGAATAGAGAATACTTGAATAATGTAAATGTTTTTCAAAATTGCAGGTGCTATGTTATAACAATGTCAATGCCTGCGACAGACAGGGTGTCAGACAAAACAGGAGAGGGGAACACTTCCTTATTGTAAATGTGAATAGCCTTTTATGTTTACTAAAACAGATTATAAATAGCTTTGAGAGCTATGCAGGAGAAATATAGCCCAATATTACAAGAGGACCTTTGTTTTGGATACGGATCACATCATTTGTGTTTGTGCTCCAAAACAGTTGGTGCCGGTCATACGGCACCAACTGTTTTGGATAACAATGTGAATAGACCATGGAGAACGAAACTGACCTTTCTAATGGTGGCCATGTGCTGCTTTTCGGTCTCTGCCCTCTTTTTCAGCTCTTCTCTCATGTTGTCTTTCTCTGAACAGATACCCAGGATCAGCTCCTGGTGCCTCTTGTTCTCCTCAAGCAGCCTTTAAACAAAAGAAGCGCCACACACACACACACACAAATTAATTAGCATACAATACCAGATCATGTGCTTAAGAATCAAGACTCTTGCTATCAAGGCCAAACAAAATTGAGCAGAATAGCAAAATGAGAGGGTCATTATGTGTTAATTGGCCAAAAAGGCCTGTTTCACAACTGCAAAATAAGACAGATTTACAACTGAAAAAGGTGAAAGAAAAGCAGCCAATAGAAAGTTTGTCAATCTCTTGCTGAATAAACCCCTGGCAATGGAAGACAAGTACTGAACAAATAGCAGTTTAAAATGCTGGGATGAAGGTGGCCTATTACATCATCAGCTACACTGGGCACCATATTAACCAGACAGAGAGACCTAGATTAATCTAACAACGGACAACATAACAGAACAGTTTACCTATGAATGGACTTCTCCTGCTGTGCGTACTTGTGCTGCACACACTTCTCAAAGACCAACATGCAGTCCCCTTGGTCTGTGGAGAGTCCGTTGACGGGTGTGCTCCCTTTCCTCTCACCTCCACGCTCCCCCTGACAAGCCAGAAGCTCGGACTCTAGCTCATCCAGCAGCGACTCCTGTGACAGCGAGCGCTGGATTTGGGAGATGAGCTTCCGGCTGCAATCAGTGTCGTACGGACTTGACAACGATTGTGAGGGGGCTGAGGTTTTGGCACTGCACTGCGGGCTGGATGCGAGGGAAGAGCTGACCGTGTCTGAACTGGGGCTGGACGGGCCATTACAGGACCCTGAGGTGGTGATCGGATCGGAAGAGGAGTTTTGGGAAGCGCTTTGGACAGAAAAGGATGACAGACTCTCAGCTGAACCACTATCATCAGCGGCCGATGGCTCTGGAGGACAATCTCTGATCAAGCCTGATGGCTGCTCGTTGCCGTTGGAAGTGGTCACATGAGGATCCTTCACTTCATCAAAGCTCAATTTGGCTACTATTGTTCCTTCGAGGATAGGAGAGCTTTCTACCACATCACCCAAAATGGCAACGGGTGCTACCAAAGCTCCTCCAGCCTCATGTGAAGGTGGAGGTATCCTGCACTCCGTGGGAACGCCTTGTCGGTCACAGCTGTCATCAGCATCCAGTTCACACCCCTCTTCCTGTTCCTGACTGCAAGTTTGAGCTTCCGACTTTGTCTTCATGTCTGCCGGCACATCTGTCGCTGTATCTCTTAATTCACCGTGGAGCACTGCTTCATCTTCCGCCTGGCTGCACTTCTCTGACACATCTGCAGTGCTGTGAAAGATTTGTTCCTCTTCTTTTACATCAGGTGTGCTGCTGTGAGGCTCATTCGCCGGCGGCAAACCCTCCGACACAGACTCAACCTCTGATCCTTCCATCGCGCTTGCGTGCGTGTGTCTGACGCAGGAGCAGCCTGTTCCACGGCCCCTCTCTGGGCTCAATCCTAGCGGAGACAGATTGAGAAGCAGACACGGAGCAGAAGGAGAGACAGAGATGACGCAAAGACAAAACAAAATATTTGGATAACATTTTTTTATTTTTCTGTGAGGAGCCGGAAGTGGATTTTCTGGTAATTGGGTACAATCTTATCCTTGATGTGTTGAGTCTCATGTTAGTGATCCGCCTTCAAAAGGATCACATACCTCGAAAGACACACAGTCAGAGGCGTGGTCCTGTCAAGAGGTGCCACTTGTGGGCGTGTGGTGCAGAATGTCATTCCACTACCAAGTATTTGATAACCAAGCAACCTCATTACATATCATTTGTATTATCATTGCAAACACACTTTGGTGGATATGACAATAATGAATAGGGGTGTACAAATCTATGTTTTCAGCAGAGACATGCTCTGATATTGTCTAATGTGAAAAATCCTAAGGCAGCTCCTAAGAGCTGGTAGCTGACCGAATTTCAAGAATAAGAAATATAACCCTTTTCCTGTTCGTTTCATCTTACGGATAGGAATCACCACCAAAGCTGCGGGAAAGGTCAATAAACGAAGTAGATCTGTCGGAAACATCCAGTCATGGGTTGAACCTATTATTCACGTGGACGAAAAAGGGCTTTTGCCAGCGTCTATTGTGTTATTAATCACAGAGACCGGGAAAAACGAGTCTTTTTTAATACGGATCAATTAATGAAGTTATAGTCCTTGAATGATGATTCGTCACACCAACATGTTTCCCCATACAAAGACGATGACGCTCTTGCGACAGGTGTCATGTAGGAACGCTGTCATAGCAGTCGACGTGATGTCAGCACTCAGCCTATTTTAAAGATACCCATTATGTAGCCGTGCATCGGGTTGTTGAATGTGTAGTTAGCAAGCAGCAGGCCAATGTGCCATTTGGATTTAACGTGCTACGGCCGATTTATTAACACTTCGGCTAATTGAACGCTAGCCCTGCCAATGCTGATTTAATCTTGCTAGCCGCTTAGTTATCCGAGACATTGCATTAGGAACAAAACGTCGACGTTACTAACGTAACAAACATAAAAGGGGTGATTCAGATAAAGTTGACACATGCTGACTGACAAATTGTAGGGACGAATTGCTTACTTTAGCCAGCTAGGCTAACGTTGATAAGAGAGGCGTTAGCCCCACACAGCAGCTAGCGTGGCTAATGCAACCATCTAACATACATGACAAATGAAGCGTGGTAACATTTCCACTCACCGAATGCGGGAGCTCCATGGTGTACTCCAATGCGCAGAGAACCGGGGCAATAGTTAACTTTGGGATTTCTACCTAACCAGCTGATAGCCCCAACAAGTCACTTTGATATGACACATCAACAAATATGGCCACTGCGGGAGAAACGATGAGACGATATTAGCCAATCAAAAGCCCGGGGAGAATGACGTCAGTCGGACGTCACCACAGGACAGGTATAGTGCTTTTTCCTCCAAACACAAAATTCTATATTTGAACAGATAGCCACAGTAAATCCCATAAAATAATAAATAATATATGTTAATATATGCATAACAACTACACAACTTGTTTACTTTACTTTCTTCTCTGCCTTCACTCTAGTGCATTGATTTTTGTATTCTAGTGTCTCAATTATTTTAAAAGGATGGAAAAAGTTTCAATATGTATTATTTCAAATAAAAAAAACATCAAACAAATTAAATGTATGGATCAATTATGGATACAAATGCTGCAGGAACTAATCGCAGGACAGTAAAAATGAATTAAAAAAAATTAAAGGATGTGCCTTGAGACCGACATGCTTCAGAATTTACTTCATCCGGACCCTTTGACCTAACCAATCAAATCTATTGCGCATGTGCGACACTTAAACGTTTTCTACCGACGCGTGCAGTAAGGTGAATATTCACTGTGCAATATAAAAAGTACAGATAAAACTATCTTTGGGTTTACATTCTCAGTTGCGTCTCCTAGTATACCACTATTCAACGTTATGTTTTCATTGCTAATGTGAGTCACCAAGTGTAACGCTAGCTAATGAACTTAATTCTAAGCTAACGGCTAACCGCTAACGTTAGCTAGCAGTTAACATTAACCATTAAGTTCTTCTTTGGGCTTCGCCTTCGCTCAAAGCGACATTGTTGTAACGTTATACATCACGTAACAAGTATTTTTGTGTTACACTCTCTCCTTTTACACACAATTCATCACGCAATTCGTCAGCTGACACCATGTATCGGGCATTCTCTCCAAACCTGCTTCGACCCAACCTGCCCTTGAGGAAGCCATCATCGGGCCCCGTGGCTCTCTCCACCCCGAGGCCTCCGGCCCCGTCGCCGCCTCTCTCCTTGCCCGATGCTACGGCTGCGTGCACCGTGTCGGGCGCCATTGGAGACGGTAAATCTGTAACCATGACGTAACGTTACCTGTTGGACAACCGTGCACAGTGGATATTAACTGACTTGCGGTACGATTTCAAACCTAGAACGTGGCAATGATATCAGATCTGATACGTCCATCTTTGTTCCTCTTTTCTTTTGTTTGCAGCCCTGACGAATGTATCAGCTGGCAGGGATCAATCTGCAGTAAGTTACACAATTCTTTGATGAATAAATTGATGTAATCTGCTCAACGTTGTAATTTTCCCACAAATCTCTCTTATATTTTCCTAGTTCTTTGAATCCACACCACCACCCCTGACTGTAAATTTCTGCAACTACTGTGGTCAGCAAGGTAATATTGTCACCATGAAAGTCACAAGTTTACATACCTGTAAAGGTGAATGTCAAGTTCCTGCAGTCTTGCACCAATGAGTGTTGACAGTTTACAAGTGTTGGTCCTTCTCACTAAGTAAAAGGATGTAATATTTTCATTAAGATTATTAAATGATCATTTCAATTTAAAAGTTTGTTTTTGCCTCCCCAAAAGTCATCCCACATCAGAGTGCCAAGAAATTCAACATTTCTAATTAACCAGTATTCACTTGACAGGAAATTTGCGGTGCAAGCGCTGCAAGAAGATGCCTTACTGCTCCGTCGCGTGTCAGACAGAAGACTGGAAGGCACACAGACGCATGTGCAAGCCCTTTGATCCAGAACCTCAAATGTAATCTATGTTAACATTGAATAGTCCTCGCAGTCAGCTTGTGAACAATTTTTTAAATGCCAACAAAAAAACACTTTGTAAAACACCAGTCAGGAGTTTAATTATTACATAATGTCCGATATATAATTTTCCCTCGCGTGTTTTTCTTGATCCAAGTGAAAAACCTAAAGAAACTACAGCTTCGCCATTGGCAGGAGACGGAGGCAGCCTGCCTGAGTCAAAGGTAATCTCATTGTAATTCATTTTGAGATTCTCTAATGCAAAGAGGAAGTCAACCTTTTACGTTTTTAATTATTTCAAATAACCCTCAGTAAGGGATTTGTTATCTATGTTCAACCTTTGTTTACTGAAGCAAAGTGATGCATCCAGCCTCCAGAGAGTCTATTTGAAGGACTTGCACATGACTAAAATCATCAAGGGAGCCGACATCCAGGTACAACGAGCTGTTTGCTAACCGTTGCATCCAGCCAATGTTAAATTAGTACAAAAGCGCAATATATTTTTGCTTTGTGTGTGGTCTAGGCATCTGTCTTAGAGTTCTACAGCCCTGGCAGGTTTTTCCTTCTTGCCCAAAACCCCAAACTTCTGGAAGCTCTGCAAAACATCAGCACAGAGCTTCAGAAAACGTACAGCTGCCCATCGGTGACGACATATGTTCCCCATGTTGGAGAAGTTTGTGCGGTTAAGTTCTCCTGTGATCTGGTAGGCAGAGGCCTTCTCGAGCAGATTGATAAAAGACCCAAACTTTTAACATGAAACAATATTTTCTTTAGTTTTTGAATGTGCCAAGTTGTGTTAGCTTGTATTTTTTGCGTTCAGAACTGGTACAGAGGACTTGTCCAGACCTTAACTGCTGACCAGAAGACTGCTAATATCCTTTACATTGACTTTGGCAATGAAGAGAATGTCCCCGTGGACAGGATAAAGCCCCTGGCTGCCAATATCCAGCCATTTTCTCCTTGCGTGAGTGCATATTCACACACTTGAATTGTTTTAAGCGTGATTATGATAAAACTCCTACTACATTTACGCTGACCGTTTGATTAGTTGTACAAATGGCATCATGATGTGCGTCCATTCCTTTCAGGCAATGCAGTGCCGTATCAGCGGGGTGGTGCCAACGGCTGGCAGCTGGTCGTCAGAGTGTTGTATTTTAGTGAAACCGCTTTTGGCCGGCAAGATTTTGACCACTAGGATGGTGGAAACACATGAAGATGGTTGCACACATTCTGTGGATATCACACTTCCTATGGGTAGGAGTTCGGAATGCTGATAAACAATGACGTGTCGATGTGACAGGGAACCAGGCCATAAACCCAACTTTCATTCTTTCTTTTTTTTTTTTTTTTTTAAGGAAAGAATTTAAGCAGGTTTCTCCTTGATCACGGTTATGCAGAGGAGGAAGCTGTCAACACAGCACCCACTAAGAAGGAAATAGGTAAGCCATATGTATACAACCACACATGTGAAATCAGACTGCAGACCAGGGATGTGGCACAGCTTGGGAGAATAACTGCATGTCCATTGTAACGTCATACAGTTTACTGAAATGTGTTATTCCCTAGTCCTTTGCTAAAGTAATACAAGGAATTTAGCTACTGGCAACATGAAATGTGATTCAGCATCTGATATTTTTTGTGCTTTTTTCATTGATTTTTAAAACCACAAAACCTGTGTCGATCCATATATATTTGCTGATGTAAAAGTTAAATTCCCCTCAGACGCTATGGTGACTGCGTCTTTGGACAACTTCAGACGTCTCTCCGATGGAAAAGATGACAACACTTGGGCTCAGCTACCAGAGCCACTGACACAGGCAGTGGGGGACGCCTTCTACGTTTTGATCACCCACTTCCAGTCACCCAGCGAAATGATTGTACAGAAGGTCGAGAACGCCGGTGAGTACAGTTTTGATCTGGTAGGCGCAACCCAAGACCTGGACGTGCCCGTTTCACTCGAGAGCTCTTTGTCTTCAGGTGTGATTCGGGAGTTGCAGCTGAAGCTGCGGGAACACTGCTCTCAGGCCCCAGCGCCTCAGAACTTCAGGCCGGCCCCGGGCACAGTTTGCTGCGCACAGTTCTCAGGTACAACACACGTGAATACTTAAAACGTGTCACGCTTTTAAAGCCGCTGAGCGCCACACATATTTTTAAGGAAATTAGATGAGTGTTCAACCTGGTGTATAAAATTATCACAGAAACCTACGGATTTGCTGATTTACAATTTGTAAGTAAAAACATATGAAATCAGAGGGCTGTAAGAATAGGCTGTATTATTCACACGGTTTAACTAATTTTCGATAAATACAAGTCGACAATAACTTCTCATCTCGTAGGATGATGTCCAAATCAGGGAGTAAAAACAGAAAATCGAAATTGTAAAATTTATTAGATTTCCATCAAAGCTCTGATCCAATCTCAACTGGAACAGAGTGATCAGCTACAATAACTGACAACACCCGTGGGGGTTATCAGAGGCTGTATGTTATGATTTGAAACCAAAAACCCGCTAATTTGTAGATTCGATGGGAGTTTTGTTTGTGTCTACATTAAGCTTTCAACCCGGTGTCATAGAGTATAGTATCTAATTGGTACTTTTCTGTGGCGTGCTATTTAAATCCGAGCTAATCCTGTGTTTGTTTCTTTCAGAGGACAAACAGTGGTACAGAGCCAAAGTTTTGGGTTATTCATCAGAGGAACGCATCTGTGTTGGCTACCTTGACTTTGGCAACTCTGAGGAAGTGGACTTGGCCAACCTGCAGCCTATCAGCACTTCCCTACTGGCCATGCCAATGCAAGCTATACCTTGTGGTCTAGCAGGTAGCGTATTCAACTCCAAACACAATGTAACTGGTTAGAAGTTATACACATGGTGTTCATTTGACTCAAATTCCAAAATGCACATTTGTGTCCTTCTGAAACTGCCTCTCAAACATCTGTCTTTGGGCCCCTTTCCAGGTGTGCGACCAGTTGGGGAGAGCTGGACAGAAGACTGCGTGCTGGCTCTGCAGCGGAGGGTAGTGAACCGAATACTGCGCATCGAGATCACGGGAGAACATGACGGCAAGCTGCTAGTGACCATGATCGACGAGGCCAGCGATCCTCAGGCCAACATGGCCGAGCTGTTGAGCTCTGCTGGCTTCGCCATTCCGGTCCCCACCGTTAGTGACCAGCAGGCGGAAAAGACAGCCAGTGCTGCTGTGGACCCCCAAGGTGTGAGGTGTATGAAATCAGAGTCATGTTAATTTACCTGAAAGGCAAATTAAATCTTTCAACATTATATTAAATGTGGCTAGTAGTGTGTATTTTTAAGAAAATGTTATGATTTATCTATTTGGCTCTAAAATGCCGAGAGCAAGCGGGCGGACAGGAATGTATTGATGTTGATTTTTGTGTCATGAATGTGCTGTTCAGAGCCTACCGCCGCCTGTGAGCCTCTGGTGTGGTCTTGCACTCGGCTTCCCTGTGATGGCCAGACAGTGGCACTGCTCGCCAGCGTCGTGGAGAACCCTCAAGAGTTCTACTGCCGCGTCAACAACCCCACAGGTATGTGCGGTCTGTTCTTCCCAGAGAATCTTCATTCCTCTTCAAAATCTTTTGGAAAAACTAACATATTATACTGAGTTTGTGATTGTTTGAGATGTTTGGATACTGGCATATAACCTTTCCTCATTTTATGTGTCTCTTTTAGACCATCAGCAGCTGATAGAGCTGGGAGCTGAGTTGAAGGAGCATTGTGAGGCAAAGGCGTCACCTTTTGTACCCAAAGTAGGGGAGCCCTGTTGTGCCATGTTTCCTGGTGAGTTTATTGTACCACTTGTATTTAACACACTCTTAAGACGTGAAATACTTTGTACATTGGCATAGGAGTCAAAACAAGGTTATGCTTTGGGGTTGATTATTAATGCCAACGAGTTTGCTTTTACGAAATGGTGCAGTTGTGAATCACATCTGTAACACTGTTTGCCAACCGCCTTGAATCATGTTTTCTTTTGTCTGTTTTGAGGGATTTAGTTGTATGAAATGTCCTTTTTGCTCCACAGGCGATGGAAAGTGGCATCGGGCGATGGTGATGGGTCTGTCGGAAGACGTGTCTGTCTACTTTGTGGACTATGGTTACAGCATGAAAGTTGAAAAGAACCACCTTCGATCCATTACAGCCCGACTCCTGACTCTACCCTTTCAGGCTATTTGCTGCTGGCTCACAGGTGTGTGTGTGTGTGTGATGGAGGGTGAAAGTGTTAACTTCAGTTACTGAAACATTTTAAGGCCTTTTTTCAAATTAACTGCATTCTTATTCAGCCACCAAGAGATCCTCTTTGTTTTTTTCTGTATTGTGGTGTATTTAGGAATTCCTGACTGAAACTATGGTATTACAAGCCGTATTACACGTTCTTTGGCATATTCAGCCATGGGATGGTTCATGTTTTTGGCTCAAATTGAAATAATAAGACTCTAGTCTTGAATAGTTGGACAAAGGGTACCTAACAATACGTTTCTCACAAAGTGTGTGCGTTTGGTCTCAGGTGTGGAGCCTGTGGGGTCAGAGTGGACCAGTGAGGCCATGCTGTACTTCGATAGGCTGGTGGATGGCAAGCAGCTTTCTGCACGTGTCCTTTCCGTCACCGATCAGGGTTACGGTTTGAAGCTGGAAAGCCGTGGGAAGGATGTGGCAACTGCCCTCATCTCTGAGCAACTGGCCAAAGATCCTGGGGCGCTAGAAGCAGAAACTGTCTCTGGACACACGCACCAAGAAAAAGGGCAGGAAAATGACCACAGCCCAAAACATGCACACTCCAACCAGGCGACCGGAGTCAGTTTGGAAGAAATGCCAACCGAGGACCGGCTTCCAACGCCATCAAAAGGTCTGCTGGACGGCACGTGTCCTGTAGATGCAGTGCAATCCTTGACGTTCTGAGGACTCTTGTTTTAAAATTGTGTTGTTTTTTTCATCTTGTTTCAGCCCCTGGTTTCCCAGTGGACTGGAAGGCAGTGGAGCTGCCTCTCAACACCCCCTTTCAGCCTCGTGTTGCTGCTATCAGCGGCCCTTCTCTCTTCTACCTGATCATTCCCGTTCAGGGTCAGTAGGTGCTCAACTGGTAAACGTCCTGTGCACCTTCCGGTCGTAACTGCCGTGTGTTGTTGTGCAGTGGACCAGCAGAAGCTTCAGGAGGTGATGACAGAGCTGGCCGCCTACTGCTGCGACATTCCGGCCTCTTTGTCCTCCAGTGTCTCGTGCAAACCGGCTGTTGGAGCTGCCTGCTGCGCCCGGTTCTCTGGTGAGGAACTTGCATTTTCATAAATGCATTTTCGACATCATCAATAAAAGATCACATGCAGGAGACCGATCAGCCGATCCATCGTTGAGGCATCACATTCAGAAGAAACAGACGAGTAATCAGCCACCATGAATTCCCTCCTCCATCATCCTGTTTGTATGTTCCGTCTCTGACTGTTTGTGTTGAGCGCCCACCTGCTGTTGTTGCCCCTGCAGACGGAAGCTGGTAATTTGGTGGCTGCTAGTCGATGTAATTACACAGCGCGTGTTGAGGAGCGGTTCTTCTTTAAACATAGTACACAAGTAGGAGACTAGAGCCTGGCATACATTCCGCAGCTAACAACAGGGTTTGTTTTAATGGAGTTTTGACTGCTGTCTATGGTTTGTAGCAGGTAAAGGTGATGTGTTAACAGGAAGTTCATTTTTAACTTGCATCAGAATGATTCTGAAACAATACTCTTGACATTGTGACACATTAGCATTAATAAAATGCACCAGCAGGGAAAAGCTTAGTTTGATTGATGAAAGTTTGAGTGCGGCTTGATCTTGGTCTCCTAAAGCTGTGGGCGACCTACAGTTACTGGGCTAGCCTGGAATTGCTAGCTGGGTTAGCTTCACTTTCATCTCCGCTCTCCCTTTTTTATTCTTTTTTGAATCAGCCGACAACAACTGGTACCGTGCGGTGGTCGTTGAGGTCGGCGAGAATGAGGCGAGTGTCATCTACGCAGATTACGGCAACGCTGAGAAAGTGCCGTTCTCCCGTATCCTGCCCATCCCCATGAGCCTGCTGCAGCTCCCCTTCCAGGTCACCCGGTGCACCCTCAACGGTGACGAGTTCTTGTTATATTATTTCTCCGTTCAAGCTAAACCATAAGTGTATTTATTGTAATCGTTCCTCTTCGTTTCCAGGTAACGAACACTTGCCTGCAAACCTTCCGGACCTGCTGTTGAGTGGCTTCCTCGCCACGGTCCAGTCCTTCAATGGCACTGAAAACGTGCTGACACTCGCTCTGCCCACTGAGAACGGCGGGCGACTCGTCTCCGCCATGATCCGGGATGCCCCGAAGGCCGAGGCCACGAGCAGTCCTCGCACACCCGCCGCCCAGAAGGTCGACCAAACTGACGACCCGGCCTCTGCTGCTGCTGCTGCTGCTGCCGCCGCCGCCGCCGCCGCCGCCGCCACTTCAGCTGCACCTGAGGGCCTCCGGTCCAAATCTGGAACCCAAAAGGGGCTTGAAAGTACAGCTGCTGCCACCGGCCCCCCCGTGGATCCAGAGCCGGAACCTCAGACTCCGCAGCAGAAGAAAAACACGTCAGCTGTTGCGCTCAATGGTTGGTCAAATCAAATTTTTGGGCTAGTCTGAACTGTTACGTCTGCCAATGACCGCCAAACTCAAGACTAATGTCCCACACAACGCCCATCTGACTTTAGTTTGACTGATTTATGATTTGTGATGAATGACTTCTGTTTCTATTTGAACCTCAGATCCTCAGACGTCGAGCTGCTGCTGTCTAAAGCTGACCACAAAGGTCAGGGCAGTTTTCACTGTTTTTGGAAAGCATCTCGAGTTTGTTATTTTCCTTAGTGAAGCTATGAGTTGTTAACCGTCTTTGACATACTCCAGCAGGACACAACAATGTATTTGGCCAAAACTGAAGAGATGAAGTGTAAATGAATAAAAAAAAAATTTTTTTCACCACCCTTTCACAGATTGACGACTTGGAGCGGTTGATGCAGCAGCAGCTTTCTCTCATCAAACTGTTGGTGGGACAGAAAGAAATTAGATTTTAATTTCAATAAGTTACAAAGTTATTCAGATCAATCCTGTTCATTTGTTTCTTTCATGGAAGTTAACTTTCAATACAGCATGTCATTTTAATTCTGCCTACCTGGTCCACATACTGCCATCCAGGTTTTAATTTGTTGCTTTCATTTTATGTTCACTAAACAGTCACTCTGTTCTGGGCTTTTTATGTTTTTAACCTGTGGTTAAATTCCAGTCCTTTTTTTATTTAGATGCATCTCTGTAGGTTTGCAGTGAGTGTTGTTCTCCTTCAGCTGCTGTGCAGAGTTGCCATCTGTTCCTTAGTTCACTCCTAATCACCCGTTCAAGATGGGATGTCCTGCCTGATTTATGTTCAACATAAAAGCTTCTGTGACATCAAAGTTCAGTGTTGCGACGTTCTTGACCGAATAATAACTTTTTTTCTGAGTGCTCAGTTCATACAAACACAGTTCATACAATGCAAATACTTAGTCAAGTCAAACGCAAGTAAATCCAATGGGCAGCTCGAGCTGCTGTGTGCGCTTTGAGAAGACAGACCGCCCCCCCCCTGTACAGGTACATGAGAGGTGGGCTTGGCGAGGAGGTGGGGTCTCTGCTCGGACGTGTGTTCGCAGAACGCCCCGACGGATCACACCCGCGCGGGGATGAAAGCGGTGTGAGCAGCCGCTCCGAATCGCGACCCGTTGGCGCAAATTTAAAGGTCGTTTTTTACGCACCGCGCAGCGCAAGGTAAGAGAGCCGCGGGGGCGCGGCGTGTCCGCCATGGCGCGACTTTAGGATTTAGGATTGTATTTAGATTCTTCGTGTGTCGACGGATCCGCGTACGTCAGTTTTATGAATTGAAACAAACGCGATGACGTCCTCGCGTCTGATTCATGAGACGTTTCCACCCGAATCCGACGTTCACAGCGGGTGTAAAGCAGCAGGACGCGCTGAGCATCACTCTGCGGGTAAACCTCTCTGTCGGGGTCACAACCTCTGACCTCCCCCCTCTTAAACCTGCCCTGACACGGCCAACTGTGACCAGGTGTTGCACGATGACAATTTACAAGTTCAGCAACAAAGGGGGAAAAAAATAAACATTTAAAAATAAACCGAAGGTGTTTCAGGAGATGTGATTAGAAGTGTCTGTAAGAGCAGGACTGTGTGTGACTTAGTCATTTATATTTTCTATCGCAGACCCATTGAAACCCATTTCCATGCATGCCAGGACACTTTTAATTCTAGTTTAGTTCACATTTCTTTGATTGTTTTAAAAGTTGCTTTTTCAGGTGACTCACCCTGAAAGACCTCCAAGTACAGACTAGGAGATCCTGGGATATTTTGTATGATGTTGGTCCAAAAGCATTTCGCCATCGTTACTAATGACAGACTCCAGAGTGGAGCCACTTTCCAACCTGGCAACCAATCGGAGCAGGCGGCACTCTGAGGCAGGAAAGTCCCAGTTTACGTTTAGATCTTTTTCTCCTGTGGATGTGGGAGATCTAAGTGATAGCCCAAGAAGGGAATCCCTCAGATATTACCTGACAAAATGACCCTGATTTGGCATTTGTCACCATTGCTGGTGTTGACTCTCAGCGACGCCAGCGTCCCCAAAAAGACAACACAGCACTCTTATTTCAGCCAGGACCAAACTTGCAGCCAGTCAGAGCAGAGAGGCGTTCACTGCCAAGCCAAAAGGGAGCAGAATGGAGAGGTGAGGGTTGGATGTATCCAGAAGAATGCTTGTGAAGTGGAAGCCAATTTTGAGACAGGTGTGTGTGTGTGTGTATGTTTTATATGTGATGCAAGACTGCTCCTTCCCATAAGCCCGTGTGTGTGTGTGTGTGTGTGTCCCCTGGCAGTAATAAAAATCTCTCTGCCTCGTGACAAACCAGCGAGTGCACAAATAGAGCATCAATCGCTCGTGGTGATGTTCATCTTCTGCACGTCGGCTCTGCAGACACACAGACTCCTCTTTCTTTTTTTAAAGAGAGGCTTCGGCCCTGAATACAATTCTATCAACTGTCTCAGGAACGCACACAGCTGTACCTGTGGTGGGAGGAGGAGGAGGAGGAGGAGGGGTGGGATTCTCTGGCACGTCCTTCATCCCACCAAGACACACACGGGTTATTATGGCCGAGCTTATCAGCGGCCTGAGTTAATCAAACCTTATCTGCAGCCGTTGTTCTTCTGTGTACGCAGCAACGATCACACAAGTTCGTCCTCATTCAATATATGAACAGTTGACCAGGAACACCTGCGTGATCGAAGCGCTTTACATGTTGATTCATGAAAACTTTTCGATGATGTGTGCGTCAAACTTGTGGATCCGTTGTTGGAATACAAAAACATGTACCGGTGCAATGTGGAATAATCACCACCATCATCAATTATGATCTGATCAGTCTGATCTATTTAGCATCTGAAAACACGTTTAGGCAGATCTTAATTTGAAAAAAAAATCAGAATCAAAAGATGAGGGTAAAGAAAAAAAGTGTCAGTTACACAAAACTCTACTTTTCTATAATCTTTATTTTTTGGGAGTTACTGGGACTTTTAGCGCTTCAAACTTGCCAAAACACTTCAAATTTAAGTACATGTAAATGAAACCTCGCTCTCACGACCTTTGTACACACTCCTGTCCCACGTCTCTTTTTCTCTCATTGGTGTATTGTGTTGCATCTTCTGGTTAATTGCGTGCCCTTGTTTATCATTCCAGGTCTCTCGACATGCAGCCCGATATCCATCTCTCCCTCCTCTTGCCCCTGCTGCTTCTTCAAGGTTGGGTGATTGGTTTTTATTACTTTCAGCGGTCAGTTTCAGTCCATGACTTCCCTTTGTGCCTCGGCTACTCCGAATCCTCTTGAGCGTTTTAGGTTTTTTGTACCCATGAGGCTACAAATGTGTCCCAATATATTACGTTAAGCCGAAGACAGCCGTGTTGTTGTCTGGAGGTCGAGTACGTCACCTCACAAACATACAACACGTTACAGTGTCATCTTTAACTATTTTTGATGCCCTTTTAAGAAGTTACACCTTTTATTGTATTTACAAAAGGTTAAACCCTCTGGAAAATAACTTCGACTTAATGAAGTAAATTGTAAAGGCTTGAGGTCAAGCCTTCTTTGACCGCGTGGTGGAAAATGTCCGATGCTTAACGGGACAACTTGAGATTCTTTGCAAGGTCCTGCTGAAACTTGTCAAGTCTCCGGTCCCTCTTCAAAGTCATGCCCCCCCCCCCCTCCCCCCCAGCGCCTTCAAGTGCCGCCTGTTTTTCCAGACCTGTCTGATTGGCATCGATTTTTGCAGCGGAGTCGGTTCCTCTCGGCCACGACAGTGTCGGTATTTGCCGGCGGGAGGAGGCGGGAGTCACGGGGCAATGAGTTGTTTTCAAAAATGACAGCTTTAGCACCATCTCAAGTATTTATTACTGCTCATTGTGAGACTTTGAACTTGAGAAAACCAGACTGTTTTACCTCGTCAGGACGCCCCTTTTTCCTCCCGCGCCGACACAGATGAGCTGTTGAGCATGAATAACTATTCATGCAAGGTCGTCGGTCAAGTTCCATTTCACATATATGTGTTGGCTGATCACAGTTTCACCTTGAAGGGAAATATTCTCTATGAATCCCAGACTATTGGGGGATCAACACTTAGAAATAGACTGTACCTGCTAATGATCTTGCTCCTGGTTTTCGGATATGTTTTCTTTCACACACATTGGATTGAAGAAGATACGTGTTTATTTTGCTCAAATCTCATCCGATTGAATCTCGGCCCGTTTGCTCCAATCAAAAGATAATGGACTTTATGTAAAGTCTTGTTGGTCTAATGCAGCTTTGCAAAATGCATGATGCAATTAGACAGTTGGACCCTTCTTTCAGGAGTTTGTAGATTGTGTCAATTGGCCTATTGTTTATGACACACAAGCCACTATTCTCCCAAAGATAAGAACAACTTTAAATAGGAGCTGCTCTTTTTCAGAATGAATCTCTTAGTGTTGTATTTGTAGATTATTTTGTTTGTACGAGTCAACGTTAGAACAAAATGTTCTCATACAGAACTTGTTTGAAGACGTGTGTAAAAAGCACTCGAGCGCCGGACAAATGCCTGAGTGATCCGTCGGGGTTACCGGGGACAACAAGGCGTGTTCACATGGGTTTCTGAAGTCACATGACCCGAGCGGGCCGGACCTGAGCCTGAATAGAGCAACGGCCGTTCGGCGAATGGAGCAAAACAATGGTTTTCTTCACGTGTCCACTCACATTAGCTCTGATTACTTAATCAGCCAAGCAGGAGTCAGCCAACTGTGATGCCTTCAGGAACAGCATCCCATTCATTATTTCATATCAGTTCTCTGTATTGCTTTATAAATTACTAATGATTTTTTTAAATTAAAGCACTGAATAGACAAAGTTAACATGGAAATGATGTGAGGTTTACGGAAGTCTTTTTCATACTACTACTTTTCGTGAAAGTACTGTTTGTGTAGACGTTTGACCGACCTTTTGTTGTTGTCCCCCGTCCTAGTTCGGCCGGGCTCCTCAGTGCAGGAGATCCAAACAAGCCATGAGAACATCCAAAAGATCAACGCAGCGGGAGAAAGTAAGTGGACAGAAGGTGCAGGTAAATAAGGCGTTCGTGGTCATGTGATCTTACTGACCCGATGTCTATGTCAAACAGGACATGAGACAATGAGTGTGGTTGGACCTGGATTACCAGTGTATTTAACCGTGTGTGTTTCCTTTGGAAGTGATGAAGTGCTCAGCGGCCATGGATGTCCTCTTCCTCATGGATGGTTCCCACAGCGTGGGGAAGGGCAGCTTCGAGAGGGCAAAACACTACGCCATCCAGCTCTGTCAAGCACTGGACGTCGGACCAGACAAGGTTCGTGTCCCGACTTTTTCTTTGTGTCTCCCCCCCCCCCTCTCTCTCCCCCCCTCAATCACAATCGTGTGCAATCACGCTCTTGTGCAGGTGCGAGTCGGCTTGATCCAGTTTGGTTCCTCCCCTCGACTGGAGTTCGCCCTGGACTCGTACACCACCAAAGAGGAGCTGAAGAAGCGCATGAAGAAGATTTCTCACCGGTGTGTGTGTGTGTGTGTGTGTGTGTGTGTCCCCTCTCGTTTCATCTTCAGACGGTTCATCTTTTGGGCATTTGGAGTGGGTGGATGGATCCTTTTTTAAGCGGCTGGAGAAGCATAGAAGAGGATATACGAGCACTTGTGTTATCCACAAAGTGATATTGTTTAGTTTTATAACAAATGAAAGATGTCATTTCAAAAACGTGTATTTTTCTTGTTTTGATAAATGGAAGCCTAAAACAACAAGTGAACCTGTGGGAGAAAATTGGGTAGAAATAACAGCAATTTCCCTATGAATTGTCTCTGCATATTATAATACACTACTGCTAATTGTGTAACATATAATATTGTGTACATTTGACGTGTCTGCTTTGATCAGGACGTTTGTAGCTTTATCTTTTTTTATGCGAGCTGACGCTTGTCACTGTAGTTTCAGGAACACAACCAAAAGTAACCAGTTGGCAACGATGGCAAAACAGAGCAGCAACAAAATTGCAAACATGTTATCCATATGGTCGGACTTAGTTATTTCAAACATGTTCAGAAAGCTAAAAAATAGAAAAAAGTGTGTGTGTGTGCGCGCAAGATGCACGAAATTGCCATTTGTGTTATGAATTTCTTAGCTGTCACCTCAAATCAAAATCACATCGATTAGCATCGTAATATCGGTGTTGGTTTACTTCACTTTTTGATTCCCTTTATATAATTTGCATGACAAACACGAGTAAAGTGCATGCTTGCTTATAGCCGTACTGCAGTTAACCGTTACATAAAAAGTGTGCAAGAGATTCCAAAATGTCCTGTTTGTTTGTACTTTCGTGGCTAAATCCACTCCGTGAAATAGGAGCTGGGATAAAGTTGCCAGTTGAAGGATTTAGTCCATAAGGTTTCCTGTTTTGCTCAGACAATAAATGGATAAAAAAACGCTCTTCCAATCTCTGAACTCCCAGGGGAGGCGCCACCCAGACGGGCCTCGCCCTCAAGTACGCGCTGAGGAAGGGCTTCCCGGGCGGCCGCAACGCCTCCGCCGCGGCCCGGATCGCCATCCTCATGACGGACGGGAGGTCTCAGGGCAACACGGTGCAGGCGGCTGCTCAGCTCAAAGAGGCGGGCGTCGTCTTGTTCGCCGTGGGCATTCGCCACCCAAAGTTCGTCCCCCCTGGTTGGAAAAATGACAATAGGTCACATCACTTTGGTTTGCAGGTGCAGTCTCTAAAAAGCTTCTTTTTTGTTGTCTCCCAAAGCTGGGAGGAGCTACACGCTTTGGCCAGCGAGCCGGCGGAGAGCCACGTGTTCTTCGCCGAGCATCTCCGCGACGCGCTGAACGGCCTGTACACCACGCTGAGCGCCTTCTCCGTCTGCGACGCCACACCCGCAGGTGGGTGCTCGTCTGCCACACCTTTCAACAGCCACACCCCCTTTCTTCCAACGGCTTCCATTTTTCGTCTCCCTGATTAATCCTTGTCCCCCCCCCCCCCGTCTAATCCTCTCGCTCCGTTCCCCAGGCTGTCTGGTGGAGTCGTTTCCCTGCGAGAGGAAAACACTGGAGACTGTGAGAGAGATGCAGGGGAATTACATGTGTTGGAAAGGCTCCAAGGGGTATTCCCCATACGCGTCTCTGTGTCCACACTACAGGCAGGTGTACACAAACGCACCAACAACCCAAACGGCCTTGTTGTCTTCCTCCCCTGCAGTCAAAAATATAGTTTTTCGTGAGATGGATTTCTGAATTACTACTGAATTTGACAGTTTCTATATGAATGCAGATTACGTTCCTCACTCACCTGTGTTTGTGAGAAAACATCCAGAGAAAGCCAGAACGGACAAAGCGGGATCAGGGGATTAGGAAAGCAAAGAAGCTCGAGGGATACAGCAGGGAACGTTCCATTAATCTAAAACCGGAGACACAGGGTTTAAATACCCCGGGGAGGTGCAGGTGATTAGACACACGCGAGGGGCGGGAAGAGAAATGAGCGTGGCACACGAGAGGCAGGGGCATTTTACACAAAAGAGATAATCCCCCAAACAAAAACTAAGACGTGTGTGACACGGTAGCTGATGTCCGGCAGTAATTGAAGAGGCCCACGGGGACGGATTCATGATCAATACGTCGGCGTCAGTGGGAGGGTGTCCCTGAAAACAAGTGCAACTCTGTCACAACCTCCCAGGGCGCTTCAAATGTCCTTTTGACTAAATCCATTTCACAGCCCACTGCAACTTCACCACCGTGAAAAGGCCCGAAACTACTCAGGCATCGCTTTCCACCTCCGCTCTCACGCCGTATGTCTCATGAATCAACATAAAAACTCGACCGAGTGATTTAATATTCGTGTCGCAGGTACAACAAGGTCTACAGGAGGCACCAGACAGTCTGCCATCGTACTCTCTGTCCAGGTAACAGCGATGCTCTTTCTTCCTCTTTTTCGCATGTGTATTTGTGTAACGCCCTGCCACCCTCCCTCTGTCTCTCTCTACACTTAAACCGCAGATCCCTGCGACTCTCGGCCCTGCCAGAACGGTGGAACGTGTGTATCAGAAGGTCCAGAGGGTTACCACTGCGCGTGTCCACCGGGCTACGGAGGAGACCCACACTGCGGTCTGTACGCTGTGTCTCCTACGTTCTCCAGTTTCAGTTTAGGGTACCGGCAGTAAATGAAGAGGCCCCGGTGGCTGCATGCGACCTCTCAAACTTAACTTGACCACCCGTCCCTCTTCAGCTCCGGCGTTATCGCTGGACTGCTCCGTGGACCTGCTCTTCCTGACGGAGGCCTCCGCCACGCTCCCCTTGGAAGGCTTCCTCCGCCTCAAGTCCTTCCTGAAGCGCTTCCTGCGCACTGTGGTCGGGTCCGACAGCCCTAGCAGGGTCGGCCTGGCGGCGTTCGGGGGAGAGACCCGGGTCGAGGTCCCCGTGGGCAAGTTCAAAGGGGACCTGAAGGGTTTGCTCAAGGCCGTGGAGGCCCTTCAGCCGATCGGCGGCCCGACCCTGACGGGCCAGGCTCTTCAGCACGTCACGCGCCACGGCTTTGTGAGCGCGCCGGTCTTTGCCGACGTCACGGACGACCTGCCCCGCGTGGTCGTGCTGCTCACCGCCAGCCGCGCCGCCGACGAGGTGGTGGAGCCGTCCAAGTACGCACGAGACAGGGAGATCTTCCTGATAGGGGTGGGACCAGATTACCTGAGGGAACAACTGGACAACATGACAGGAAATCCCCAAAGGACCATCACCTACACGCCGCCCGAGTTAAGTGCCAAGATCCCAGAGCTCAAGGCCAAGATCTGCAGCGTGGATACACAAGGTACTGACATTAAATCCATAAAGCATCAGCTTCACTTCTTTGAAACCTTATGATCTCCCTTATCTGGCTCAGATTAATAAGCCATCATTTGGTGCAATTTATTCATATCCACAACCTCATTTTTCAGGTTGTCTTGGCCAAGCAGTGGACCTGGTGTTTGCCCTGGACGCCTCTGGTGGCGTCAGCCCCGCCAACTTCGGCGTCCTGCGCGACTTCGTCCGCAGCCTCACCGTCCAGTTCGACATCAACCGGGACGTGGCTCAAGTGGCGCTCGTGGCCTACAGCCGGAGAGCCACCACCGTCTTCAACCTCGACGCCCACGAGACCGGTTCTGCCGTCCTCAAGGCCGTGGACGCCGCCGACTACATGGGCGGAGTGGCTTCGACGGGCTCGGCTCTGCTCCACGTCCGGTCCGACGTCCTGACCGCGGCCAGGGGCGCGCGTCCCGGGGTCAACAAGGCCGTCGTGGTGGTGACCGACGGCTCGGGCGGCGACGACGCCGTCGTCCCAGCTCAAAAGTTGAGAGATAACGGCGTTTCGCTGTTCGTGATTGGCATCGGGGACGTGCAGAAGGAGCGGCTGCTGCGGATCACCGGGTCAGAGGATCACATGATCGCGGTGCCGTTTTATGAGGATCTCAAATATTTCGAGGATGTGCTGGTGCAGATGCTGTGTTCAGGTGAGAATGATGACGGGGGAACGTGACGCCCGATCCAGAGGTTGTGAATGTCACAGGCTGATTCATGATGCATTTACGTCTATTAGAGGTTAAGAAGCCAGTAAACCTGTGCAAGCCCAACCCATGTATGAACGATGGGACCTGCATCCTGTCCGGAGGGAGCTTCCGCTGCCGCTGCGACGGCCATGAAGGACCACACTGCGAAACAAGTCAGTGGCATTTATGAAGCTTCTTCATATTATCATCTCACTCAATAGACCTTTTCTTTTTATCAGTCAAAACCTTTTAAAGCTGGGATTGCCGCTGCGAGCGCATGAGTTTCTCTGTGTGTGTGTGTTTTCTTTAACGTAGAAAGCAGCAGATCACCATCCAGAGGAGATCTCCCGAGGCCCGCTGGTCTCAGGAAGAAGAGCCGGCAGAGGAAGAGTCACCGAGAGCTTCTGCATCTCTATAAACTGCACCGCAGAAGACATGCCGTCTGATAAACACACACACACACTATTCACAGTAACACTATGGACACTGGAGGACAAAGAATGTGTGCGGCTTCACGATGGAATAAATGGAAAAGTCAATATTTAAACTTGCACTCAAATGTATTTCTACTGAATTTTCTATTTGTGTCCTAGTTTGTCACTGTACTCGCTGTAAGATGTAAACTTTTATATTACATTATTATATACTTTGGCTCGATTTTTATTATTTTGTATAATGATCTCAAATGCCTTATACCTAATACTATTTTTCATGTTTTAATACGTCGTTTTTACAATAGGCCTATAATATATATATCAACTGATTTTACTTTTTTTATTTTTTTTTAGTTTAAAAGACTGTTTGCTCTCCCTGTGAAAAACCATTTCCTGATTAACTGCCACTGTTGTACACTACAATTACTTAATATCACTTTGATAATCAGGTGGGCTTTTTATTTAATTTCCCATGAACTTTGCAATTATCCCTCTATAATCTTTGATTTGTCAGTCCAGCTTTAGTAAACAGTATCTATATTATAATACAATTGGTCCACTCGTGAACACCTAACAAACCCTAAAATTACATATTTGTAATTAGAAAAAATAAAATTGTAAATACGAATCTTCATCGATGCCACCGATCTGGTTATCAAATTACTTCCCAAGTGAGAAGAAACCGAATTGACTCTATTTCGGCAGCTAAAAGGTGAATGATGCACATTTACATGCTTGAAAGCATTGGAACTAGAGACAGACAGGCTTGACTAACTTTAAAAGCAAAGGGGGCATTCAACTATTTTCGAGCCAGTATTGTTGTCAGAACAATTTTATTTGAATAAAAAGTGCATTTTTAGCTAACGATACAACCAAATGATGGTGTAAATATATTTACATGTTGGCTACCAGCATATAGAACCAAGCTACAATCTGGATTGTACAAAATTTAGTTGAGGGGTGTCTTTCTTTCATCAGGATCTTTAAGATCAATTGTTAGGCCGACCAAAATGCTACTACATCAACGTCCATCCTTTGCAAACTGAGAAAAACAACTACGATTATCCACTGGCGTTTGAGAAGACGGCTTGTGCATCTCTCTGATCGGCCTTTTTTATTGTCTGAGCAGGGAGAACGTTGACTCGTCTGTCTGGAGGGTTCCCGTTGTGGACACCCGACCACACCAAGAGAAATAAGTGGATGTGAAGGGTCAAAGGTCATCCAGCGTTCCCTCTACGAGGTGGACTTCTTCTCCCACTCCTGTTTTAAAGAAAAATAGAAATGTAGGTGGAATAAAAATTATCCCTGACGATACCACACGAATATCTTGTTCATATAATGCACGTGGGCCTTTTGGACTCACCATAGCTTTCTGCAGGACTTTGCCTTTGGTGGCCATGATGGAAACGGGTCTGTTCTTTAGCGCAGACGCAGAGTTGACTGGGTCGGCACTGACGTTGCTGTTGTGGGGTTGGGGGGATGATGATGATGATGACGAGGAGGAGGACATCTGGGGAGCAGGCAGGGTTGCTGCTTTATGCTGTAGGTAAAACCGTAGAGTTTAGAGAGGGGAGAGAAAAAAAGAAAACAGCAGCTCCGATCAGAGAGGGCGAAAGGCCCGTGGTCATCTCGGGATCCACCTCCCGAGTTCACCCGGATCACCCGTACACTAACCGCCGGTGAGTCCTGGAGGCTGCTGTCCAGCGTGGTCCCCAGTGTGAAGGCCCCCGACTCCACCTTCTTCAGGCTCTCCTTCACCTCCACGAGCCGCAGCTCCACCTCCACCCTGCGGCGCTCGGCGTCGCGACACGCCTCCTCCTTCTGCCTCAGAAAGGCTTCTAACGAGGTCTGCTGCTCGGGGTCTGAGGGACAGGGACAGCGGACCCTTCGGCTGTCAGTCACACAGGCCGCTGTGGAGCCTTCAGTGGTGTGAGGGGAAGAACTGGACCGTACCTTGGCAGGCGCCGAGCTCCTCTTTGGTCTCCCTCTTCTCCCTCTTCAGGTTTGCCAGAATGGCCCTCACCTCCTCCCTCTCTCTCTCCAGGCGCTCGCGCTCGTCGATGTAGCGGCGGACGTCGGCCTCTGTGCGGTTCTTGCCTAGTTTCACTTCGACCGCGCCGGGAGACCCTGGGAATCAAGGTTGAATTTTTGTAAAGTAAGTAAAACGTTTTCCCAAATCAAACTGTAACAAAGTACGTGACCCTCCCTGAAGCTGCGCATTTGACTGCAGAGGATGCAGTGTTTCACTAGAGGGGGCCGTGGTGATGTAACATTACTTAAACACCAGCGTTGAGGAAAACAATTGTCAGTCCATTTCCCCCCAAAATATGTGTGCGTGTGTGTTGAGAGTGATGAAGATGGTGTGTTTTGGTCTTCACCCATGGTGTGCGCCTTTGGCCGCAGGGGATGAGGACTTTGAGTGAGCCCGGCAGAAACCGGGAGGCCTTTATTGATCTGGGGCCCGGAGGAGCAGAAAGCCTGTGGGATCCCCACACTCGTCCTCTTGGGGGTCTCCTGGCTTTGGGGTAAGGTCTTGACCGCTTGGGTTGGGGGCTGTGGTTGAGCGGGAGTCACTGGGGGCTCTTGTTCTGGTTTGCGGGAGTGCGGACATGTCCCATTTGACACAGGTGTCGACTCAATACAGTCGGTGTTAATGACCTGGAAAATGAGGCATAAAACATAGAATATAGCACAAAATGTAAGATTCTATCCAAGTAGAATGTTACGACAATTTATTATTCATAATAAATACCATATTACCTCTTTAATTTGAGGTGAGGGGTCCTTCTCCTCCTCTGGTGGGACTGGGGAATCGCTCTCGAGTTCTGTGGAAGGGGCTTTACTCGCCCCGGGCGTATGGAGGAAGGAGCGTAGAGGGATGAGGCCCAGGTACACCCGGGCATCGGTGTCCTGCTCTGCTCCCTCCGGGTCCTTGGTGTCCCGTGCGCACGGTCCATTCTGCTCCTGAGGATTGTTGTCCTCACTGTCCGCCAGGCTGCTCTCTTCAGCGTCCTGAAGCAGGAGGAAGTGAGTGAGGAGATGGGGTGTGGTCAGATTGGGGGGGGGCGAGGGGGAGGGTCCATGTAAAAAATGAAACAGGAATTGAAAATGTGGTTGAAAATTGAAAAACAACGGGGAGCAGAAAGCTGCAGGTTTTTTAGTCCGAGAAACAAACGGCGCCCTAAAGGATTTACACCTTATTATTATGCATGAAATCGCAAGAAAAATGAGTTTGTTTGGATAAGACACCTCTGGATCAGCTATAGATGCCACGTCGTCATACAGCTCTTCAGAGTTGTGGGCGATGGAGGGCGGGGCGTCTATGTAGGTGTTTGGCTCTGAATACCTCCTCTGCATGAAGCTAGAGAGACACACAAATACACAGAGAAGTAATTAAATCGTGCACGCATACACCTTTAAAAGGGGCAGAACTCGGGGATCTCACTATAGGGAAGTCTTGGCAGCATTAACGATGCTCGAGATCCTCTCAGCGTTGACATAGTCGTATGTGAGTTCCTCGGGGTCCGTCTTGCTCCCCGTCTGTGACAGCAGGAGGCCCAGCCAGTGGCCCATGTCCGCCGACGTCTTGGCCTGAGAGGAGAGGAAAGACACCGGCTAAAATGAATACAGCGCAACAACGTGGTGAGTTTCAAACCAGCTTTTTTCGCGCCGTCCGTCGCTGTGCGTTGATACAATCATTTTCCAAAATTATTATTTTGGTGGGAGACCAAAACGTGTCAGAGCCTTGCAACTTTAAACTACACCTTAAACTCAAGGGTTTATGAGCAACATAAGCGCTGCAGCACGGCGGTACTGGAAACCTAATGGAAAAGGGTGTAACGTTAGTCCCCCGAAATCCCAGTTCATCCACACCCTCCCCGCCGACGTGTGCACACAAACACGGAGACCACCCCTGCGAGCTCACTTGTATTACACACAAGTTGGATGTCAGCAGAACAGGATTTCATGTTAGTGTTTCCTATTAGGAGTTGTACTGCAGTTCTCTTACGGAGAGTCGCCGATGGTTGTTTTCTCTCCCGACACGTTAGACTTGCGGTTATTTTTTTTTTTTTATATCAGCATCGACCCATCCTCCAATATAAATAACGCTAGAGTTGGTGTGTTAAACCAAAGAGGACAGCATTGCAAGCTACATCCCGTCCCGTGGATCTTTGAGAGATTACTTTACTTTTGTATGAATATTTTCTTTTGCTGACATTAGATATTAACACAGCTTACAAAAAAAAAAAGTAGTTAGTGAGGGTTTAAAAAAAATGTGTCCGAATGTTACGTGGCTTTTTGTGACAATGCCAAATAACAGGAATAATCTGTGTCCGGGTCGCTTGCCTACTAAAAAGACAACGGTGAAGCCCACGAGACAGAGATACTGTCTCCGGTTTCTCACAAAAACATTGACACGGCATCAAAAAGCCCTGTGGCGGTCTACCTCGAGGGTCGCCAGCTGCGTCCCCTCCATGTTGATCCTGAAGGAGTACAGGTGCTCGGGGCTGGGGTCGGGCAGAACGCTGCAGCCCCCCAGGGGCACGGCTGGCTGGCTCAATTTGTTCTTGCCCTTGTCCTGGTAGAACCACAGCTGTCCGTTCTTTATGAGGCACCAGCAGGTCCGCCATTGGCTGTTCACCAACACGTTGAGGTAGCCTGGCAACGCAAGGAGGAAACACGACGGAGGGCTGTGATGATGCAAGTGATCTGTGTGTGTTGACATGCTCGGTCTGGTATGAAGGAACCACACGTGTCAAAGAATAGGAGCTGCCCCCGAGGAGAAATCAGAACATTATACAGCATGTACAGCAGATCTCTGCTCACCTGAGGTGTCCACACACTTCCCTGGAATCTCCAACGAGGAGGGTTTTTTCTTGCCGATGTTCATTAGGTTGCTAAACTTTAACCCGGCACCATACTTTTTCTTAACTGTGGGCGAGAGAAGAATTCTTGATGTGAATCTAATAAATTGGTGCCGTTAATACTCACAGCGGCACCGTGTGCCCAAACCCTTATTTCGGACTGAGTGCATAGAAGTCTCACCTTCTTTGTTTTCGGGAGCCTCCGCGTGGCTGTCGGTGCTGCTGCCGCTTTCTGAGGCCACCGAGTATCTCTCACTAAGTTCTCCCTAAAGGTTCGGATAGACACGGTTGCCATTTAGTAGGCACGTTGGGTAGAACCAGTCAAAAGCTCCTACAGACCTACTCCAGGAGACCCGAATGTTCAAAATCAGCTTGCCTTTGTACAAATGAGCCTCGGGGAGTCGGACGCCGAGTGCTGCGGGTCACAGTTTTCCGCCGGCTTGGGGCTGATCTCCTGAATCACCTGATGAACGCAAAGGCGATGGTCAGGGTGGACGTATTTGATCCCGGCGGAACTGCCCGAGTCAGAACATTAGTGAACGTGAACCGCTGCAACCCCCCGCCCAGTGTTCCGGTCTCACCTTCAGCCACTGCTCCGTCTGCTCCTTGCTCTGCAGGCCCAGCACGATGGCCTCCCCTCCCACCGGAATGACCTTCAGCTTGTGCTCCTTCTTCTTCAGCTGCTTCTCCTTGTAGACCACGCTGCAGCCCAGCAGGCTCACGTCCAGCAGAGGCGTCTGCTCCTTGGAGCTCTTGTAGCACTGAGAGGGGCAGCGACACGACACTGAACATTACGACGGGAGAAGGACTGGATTGAAGCCAGATTAGAGTGAGTTTTGTAGTCATCTAGCTCTCAGAGCACGGTCACAAATAGAATGTGCTATTAATATTATGTATTGTTTTCATATTTTCCTGCCTTAAAATAACTGCCAAAACAGGGAAAGCACGTGACAGCTAAATCTCACAGTAAATAATCTATTCCCAGGGATTGTTTACTTAATTCTCTTTTTCCATGTTCAGTCACATTGAACCGCTGTAATAAACAAACCTCTGGTCCCCGTGACCTTAATTGTTGAACTGTTTAACCTCGCCGGCGGCTTTTGAATCAATCTTTTACCCACCAGCAGGCGATGGTCCTTGATGACACACAGCTGCTTGGCCCACTGGCCCAGCCACTTCTTCCTCCACAGGAAGGCACAGATATGAGCGTCCTTCATGAGCTCAATGGAGGCCTCGGCTGAGGGCCACTGGTGCTGCGCCGACGGGGACTTTTCCCTGGTCACTTCCTCCTCGTCGTAGGACTCGTACGAGCTGCTCACGGCATCCCCGTCATCTGAGGGCCAATCAAGTCAGAGGCGTGATAGGAAAACTCAGACAAAGAGGCAGAAGGCTGCGTGCGCGTGGCGGGTGGGGGTTCATGAGTAGCGACAACAAGCATCACGCGGTTAAATGAACTCGAGGGAGCAAATGATCAGTCAATGCCTGACTCCTTCTGATCTTGATGACATTCTTCAGTTGAAGAGGATTTGCCTGCGTATGGCGTATTGATGAAAGAGGATGACAGGAAGAAAAAAAAAAAAAGACACAACGAAAAGGAAAACGGCTAAATGAGCAAATTGATAAGATGGGATTGATGAGGCGCTTAAGGTCACGGGTCTTGGCATGAAGTTGTTCCTCCACATGCAGGACGCCGGCCATGCTGGACAACGAGGACCGAGGGCATGCGTGTTGGACCCGTGCACGCGGCAAACACAAACACGCACAACACGCAACCCGGAGATGGAGAGGTAGCTACCCCTGTTGATAACAGCATAGACCACACTGTCAGAGCTCTGTACCCGAATCCAGGGCCCTGAGAAGTGGCCAAAACAGTCCAGATCTACACAACGTCAAAGGAAACAGGGAGGAGGGGAAGAAGAAGGAGAAGGAGAAGGAAGCAAGATTGGGAAAAATATCCAAAGAAAATGAACAAAAAGGAAAACTTTATTTAACCGTATTATTTTAAGTGTTATAAATAAATGAATAAATTATAAGTGTGATTATGTCATAACGTGTCAAAACTTCTCAGTAGAGAAAATCTGATATTGTGACCCGTTAACAGACAAAACATGCTGCCTCGGACCGACACGCGACCTCACGGCGTCCCAGCGCAGCAATTCTGAAGAAACACCGCGAGCCTTTTATCTTTCGGCGCAAAGTTCACACGCAACAGCCTGTGTGTTGGGCAGCAGCATAACAAATACCGTATTAACCACAGGTCAACACACCACTGCACCGTCAGCGCAGACCAGAGGCTCTTGTAGAACGTCTCGGTTCGTGACAACTGGCGTGTGTTTGCCTCCGGGTGCACAATTCTCACATGCGTCAAACCGCTGACAAAAAAACCCTCGTACCTTTTACCCTGTGGATGGAAAGCATGTAGGCAAGGGTAACTTTCACGTCAGGCTATTTTCATTATGGTTCACAGCTCAGAGAGTGAAACCAATGCGTGGTTTGGGGTTTGCGAAAGTACAGCTTCTATTGATATGCTTGAGCAGCTCATCTAATTTTTCAACACGGCATTAAAAACTTTACCGTCTGCGCTACCTGTACTTTCCATGACGCATCAGTCTGCAGTAGAATTGCAGAAAGGAGATGATCAAGTACTTAATGTGATAATCCTGAAACTGGAAAAATTGGAAAGCCCGTGGAAATTTAAAATTGTTTTCCTGGGAAAATGAAGAAACCAGGTGATGTGATTTATTGAGGCCAAATAGACACAAAGATAAGGTTTAACCGGAGCGCTTACCATTGAAAGTTTCCTCGTAGGGCTGAGCCTCCTCGTAGTAACTCTCTGAAGTGTCTGTGCAGGCCGGAGCGGGCAGAGCGGGCAAAGGGAACGGCTCCCGACACATCGCACCCTGAGACGGTGAGAGGGGGGGGGGGGGGGGGGGGGCAACATGAGACATTTAGTTTCACTCATATGCCCTTTAACTGTAGAGCCTCCATCTTGGTAGGTTCAATGAATAAGGAGAATTTCCAGGTTAACATTCACACACATTCTCACACACACACACACACACACACACACACACACACACACACACACACACACACACACACACACACACACACACACAATAACACGTGTTCTTCCCCCCGGGTTGAACATGTGGCTCCGTGCACGTTACATGCCTTCAGGGAAGAGTGCACAAGCCTGTGTGTGAGCCGGTAGAAGAGAGTGAGCATGGATCTTATTTTGTGCGTGTGTGTGTGTGTGCGTGTGTGTGCGTGGGCACTGTGGCTGTCCCGAAATCAAACAGCAGTCTGGCTTCACTTCTGTCTTTCTTGTCATCTCCCGTGTGGTAACGACGGCCCGTCCCACGCGCTGGAAAGCACCCGACTCTCCAGTGAGTCCGTTCATTTACAATATCTCCGTAGTCGGTTACACGACCAGTAAAATGCTCTTTGGAGACATCTGTCACCACTCAGCTGTTATTTATCTGTTTAAATACACACTTTAAAATGTTAAACTGGATGTTTGGATTCTGTTTGTTTGACAGCAGACAAGATAACGTGATATAATCAACATAGAAATGCAACGAGCTTGACGAGCAAACGGAGAGTTGCCTTTTGTCAGGTTTGTGGTTCGTCGTCTATAGGACGCATTGCTGTGTCCTATCGACGTTTCACTCCCCCTCATACTGCACATGTCACTTTAACTGCAATTCATCACTTTGTCACTTGTCACTTTGTCTCTTGTCTGTTACTTGTTTGTTAGTGCACTTTATGCTTAATATTTTTCAACTTTTTAATATTTAAAATTTGTTTAACTTTATTCCCCTGTTTTATACTAACCCATAGCCTTATTCTTACTAACCCATTGCATTAGCATTTCATTCCACTTTATTTTATTACCTGTGCACTGTTGTCTTGTCTTGTCTGTCTACTGTCGCGCACTAACCGCCAAGACAAATTCCTTGTATGTTTGACATATTTTGGCTAATAAATGTTTCCTGATTCCTGATTTCCTGATTTTTTATGCTTTAACCCCCCACACAGTCTTTGTGGTCAGGTGTATTATTGTTCGTGGGTTACAGTTTTGTTCTGAGATCACACCAGTCACATTATCAGGTGTGTTTATTTAAGACAATGACCACACTCACTTTCTGACTCGGTATTTCGAAACGCAAACTTTCCACCATCTAAAACGTTTCCTTTTTTTTTGTAACCTACTCAACTACCGAGCCATCATATCTATGGTGCCAAGCAGAACATGGGAGGTGTGCAAGTTGTTGGTAAACACTAAAACTGAGACCAGAAAAAGGCCGAGCAAGATGATATCAATGCGTTCCTCCCACTGAAGATCACATGATGACGCATAGAGATCGATGATGGAGACCGAAGCCCATTTCATCTAATCTGTTAAAAAAAGTTGCTGAAAAGTCTTTCAAAGAGTTTTTTCTCAAGTGAACTCTGTGAAACCCTTCAAGTCGAATGACGACAAGGGGTTTGTGAACTATGTCTAATTTTTCCTCCCACCACTCATGTCAATGTGTGTTCCATCACATTGACTGTATTTCCCCAAACGCTGTCACATTCTCTGCAAGATCACACGAAATGTAACAGCACTTTAAGCAGAGGAGCTGCATTTATCATGCAAAGCTTGCCGGAGGGAGGCCGAGTCTGTGGAAAAGAAAGTTGAACATCTTTTAAGTATCTCATGAGATCAAAGTTGTATATCTGGGTTTAATTAAGGGGGAATATTAGTTGGTCAAAGCTGCTTCTATTACATTTTTAGACGCGACAAAAGCTATTCCGTTCCTGCAAAAGGATGAAATCAATGTTTTGAGTTTCATAATGTTTAATGTGTAGCCAAGCTTGGTGGTAATAGAGATTCACAGCTCAACAAAAATCACAAAATCATCATTTTCCGACGCGGGCTGGCCTCCACAATAAACAGGTGTTTCCCTGCTTGGGAGCCACTTTCCTATTTTTATAAATGAAAAGTATCAGCAAATACAAACATCAGAAGCTTAGTTAGCTGTCTACTAACTTACTGGTGCACCGAAACCTAAGTGGAGCACAACAACCGTTTTCACTTTTCATTTTCACTTCTTCGGCTCTGACTGCGGTACTTGTATCCAAGCATCTCAGCTAATGTGATGCTTAGATTGACGCTTTTAGCACCACAACCAAGCCCCATAAATACTGTGGATAAATCAAGAGGCTTCAATAGAAGGATTGAGGTGAGTTGTGTCGTGTTGTTTTGATCAGAGCCATTAAAAGAGATTTTAAACAGCCACAAACACCGACAGGAACTTTGCAAGAAAAAGACTGCAAAGTATTAGTGAACACACACAACGGCACCGACGGGGTGAGCTGCTCCTCTGTGAAAAAACAGCAGTTCAGACATCTGTTATTAATTAAAACAAAGAGCCAGGCATTCCAGAGCAGAAGCAGCTCCCCCCCCTCCCTCCCCGACCGCCCAACCACCCTTATCTCTATCTTCTTTCGTTTTCTCTCCCTCGTCTCCCCCAAAAAATAAATCCTCCTCTTGTTTGAGCCGAGGCCAGAGAGGACATTGAGCCATTCATCGGAGCAGCTGGACTGATATCGAACATACCAGGTGTGTGTCGGGTCACTTCGTTTTGTCCCAGAAACACTCTCCAACAGCCCCTTTAACGCCTCCCTCTCTCACACACACACACACACACACACACACATTGTGTAGAAGGAATGGATCGAGGACTCAGAGCATAAATAACAAAGTAAGGAGTCGGGGTGTTGTGGAGAGAGGGGGGGGGGGGGCTTTGAGTAAAGAGTGGGGAAAAAGGGCCCAAAAAGCGAATAGAGTCAGAGGAACATGGAAAATCCCTGGTTCCCATGCCAGGAATCCGGCACAGCGAAATCACACACACACACAGACACACGCACACGCACACGCACACACACCTACACACAAAGTGTATCCGAGAGCCTGCTGGGAGCTGAGGAGAAAGAAGTGATAAAAATAATCAGCTTTGGAAAGTTAGATTGAGGAGAACTCTCCGGGCCTTCTGCTGTCTCTCTTGTATCATAGTGGCCGTTTCATTCTGTAGGACGGAAACTGTCGTAATAATATTTAAAGCATGAATGAAAATGGAGGGGAAAAAAAACAAGCCAGCTCAGAAAAAAGAAAATACATACATCTCAAATATTCAGAAATACAATCATTATTTAATCTGGGAACACTTTGACCTCCTCTCATCTCAACCTCCCAATTCTGTTGTCATTGACACAAAATGTCCGACTATAAAAATAAATGTAATAAACATGTATCAAACTGAAATAGCCGTCATGTGGATTAAAAGGGGCAGTGGTGGCAGACGTCGTGAATAATGCAGCAGATCCTGTCGACCAATCGTATTGCGGTAATGATAACCACCGGTCGCCGCTCAGTGTGCATGTCAACAGTTTCCCCTTCCCTGCGTGACGCCTCCGAGCGGCACAGCTGCTATCTTTAGTACCGCTCTATTTTCAGACCATGCCGACAGGACGCAATGGCCCCACAAACCTTTATTTACCCCCCCCCCCGCTCACCCCGTCCGCCCCCTGCAGTCCTCTGTAGAAAACGGCTGCGCCACGAGGCCCGAGACGCACGCGCTGCGTTGTCACTCGAGGAGGACGCCAGAACCCGGGTCTAAGAGACCATGGAAGCGCCCGAGGGCCCGGGACCCAAGCGGGACGGTGACAGGCTTGACTACTCCCCCCTCTCTCCGGAGGACGGAGGTCGGCGGGCGGCGGGCTGGCTGAGGGTGAGGGTGGAGGAGAGCTGGTTCACCGTGCGCCGGGCTTCGCTGGCGAGGTGCAGCAACTACTTCCGCGCCCTCTTCCGCTCCGGGATGGCGGAAAGTCACCGGGACGAGCTCTACCTGAAGGGAGGGGTGCGAGCCAGGGGTTTCCTCATCGCCCTCGCCGTCTGCAGGGGGGAGCCCCCCGCAGTCTGCGACCCGGACGAGCTCGTAGAAGCCGTGGAGTGTGCCGCGTTCTTGCAGGTCGCGTGCCTGGTGCGGCATCTTTGCGACATCGTCGACTCGGACAACTGCCTGTTGCTGTACCACGCGGCGTCCATCTACGGGGTGCGCGCGCTCTTTCACAGCGCGGCTCTCTTCCTCCGGGACGCTCTCGACGACTTGAAGGACGCGGCCGAGAGCGCGATTCCCCAAGAGCTTCTTCGATACGCCCGATCGTTGCCTCCCGCTACGTACGTTGCTATAGGCACACACTCTCCTTCGATGGAGCTGCTGCAGGACTCCTTCAGGGTCGTTTGCTACCTCGACGAAAAAGAAGGAGACTGGAAGCATCTGACCAATCTCCCAACCCTCTGTAGCACCTCCATGGCGGGGGTGGCGGTGCTTGACAATCGATTGTACATTGTGGGCGGAGTGTACGGTTACGGGAAGGACGCAGTGGACCGCAGCTTTTGCTACAACCCTGACTCGGGAGTTTGGCGTGTTCTCCCAGGGCCTCAGCAGCCGAGATACGACTTCACCCTGCTGGGCCACGAGGGCCGACTCTACGCCATCGGCGGCGAGTTCCAAAAAAAGACCATGGCCACGGCGGAGAGTTACGACGTGGATACGGGGGAGTGGGCATTCATTCGACGCGCGCCGAGGCCTGTGGCGTCTGCGGCGTGCGCCGTGGCGAGGCGGCGGATCTTCGTTTGCTTCTGGAAACCGCCAGACACCACCGACATCTACGAATACACGCCAGCGGAGGACGAGTGGAAACTCGCGACCACCATGATCAGGCCTCAGAGCTACGGCCACTGCATGGTGGCTCACAGGGACAATTTGTACGTGATGCGCAACGGGCCCAGTGACGACTTCCTGCGCTGTCGGATGGACTGCTACAGCATCACCACAGGCCAGTGGACAGCGATGCCCGGGACATACATCAACAGCAAGGGGGCGCTGTTCTCCGCCGCGGTAAAGGGCGACTCGGCCTTCACGGTGAAGCACATGCTGACTCTGGAGTACGCCATCACTGGGGAGGGATGGAAGCCCCGCCGGCAGATGAAGGGGTTTCCAAAAAGTGGTTCGCTGTGGACGTGTTTGCTCAGGCTTCCCACGACGGGGCCGGTTACGCCGCAGTTGGACGCGGAAGGGGGGGAAGAAGAAAGGCCTCTGCCGGACAAATCCGGGGGATTCGTGGAAGCTCTTCCTCGAATGTGATGATACTGCTAAGATAGATGTTGTCGTTTCATGAGGACGAGAACAACGCGCACCACAACCTGTACAACCGCAGCGTGTGCTTCTGGAAATGATCACTGATATTTAGGATTACGCAACACTGAAAGAATGGAAAAAACGATACGTTTTTTTAAGATAGAATACAAGTCTAAGAATACAAAAATGATAATACTAACACTGAAAAACTCAATGCATTCACTGCATAAACTCACACACACACACACACGTGCTGACACTACTCATTTGTTCTGATTAGCAACAGCTGGAATTGCAGTTTATATATGGCGAGGCCACTGTGCATGTGTGTGTGCGTGCAAAGTTCAAAGGCTCTGACGGGATGTTCTAAAACTCTCGTTCTCTACCATTTTCCTGAAGTCACACTGGGCCAATTCAGGAACCACCGGCCTCCCAGTCGACGTAAAACACACCACGGCTCTCTCGCACGCTCTCGGATACTCACTTTCGCAAGGTTTGCTGGCCCGTGACGGATTAAATACCTGTTTCTGTGGGAGAATACATTTCACCTCGCCTTGAGGTTGTGACCACTGCTTGTGGGAAATGTCTTTGGCTTGTACGACCACAGACTGCATTTTTTTTGTTGTGCATTAAAAACCGATGAAATGATCTGCCAACGTGCAAAATACTTCTGATGCTTAGTGATAGTGAAGTTCTTTCTGTAACAGAAGACCAAAATACTTTTAGCTACATTCACAGTCAATGAAGGGGTTCCCTTTGTGTACCTTGTATAATTTCCACTGATCTTTCCCTCGTACTTTGAGTCGCCTTTGTTACCGTTCCCAGCGCAGTCGCAGAGGATCAAAAAAATCGAAACATTTAGACGTGTTGATTCACTCCGACCGCAAACAAACTGGCCGTCACTTACTGCTCTGGGGGGCGGCAGGTTGGGGAGGCTCTTCTGTGGTACGGGGACATTTTTTGCTCCTTTTCCGTTGACCAGGGCATCCGATCTGTCATCTGTTTTAACAAAGTACAGAGAGGGACCTCAGCAAACAAATAATAGATTTATATTTATACGCTCAACCACAAAATGCTTTCCACTTTTTCATTCAACAAGATTTCCAGATGTCCCCTGTGCATATTGGCGCTTCCTGCCTGAGCATAAGCCTTGCAGCAAGAGCCCCTTCATTGTTTATCTAAACCTATTGTGCAAAACACAAAGACCAAGAAGAAGCTTTGCGTCCAGTATTTCAGAACTGGGCTTCCCTTTGAGTCTGCTACTTCATTAACAATGATCAGTGTTAAACTGCTCTTTACCATTGAGGACTCAGAATCCCCTGAATATCTTCAAGCCCGATCTCAGCCCTCGATTACCTTCAGTCTCTGTGAAAGAAAACTTGCGGCTTTGCAAGCGTCGCTGCTGAAAGTATGTGTGTTAAGTCTAGTGCTCACTGCAACCACATTCTTCAACACTGTCCAAACAAAACAGGTCAGTCTCAGATGGTGAGTAGCTGCGCAGAGACAGACAGGAAATGGTGAGAGGAGGGGAGCTGTGGGGGGTTTACTGCTTGCGGTAAGCTTGTTCTCATATCTGCTATTCACTTGCATTTTGTCAAATCAAAGAGTATAATATGCAAGGGCATATCAAGTATGCGTTGGTGTTTGAGCGACTCTGACAACTTCAAAATACCTAAAGTACAGCACATAACATTAGTGATGAGGATGTGACTGATAGTTTTAAAACACTTGAACTTAAAAATAACTTCACACTAAGTGTTTTCTCACAGTTCTTTGAGCTGAATAGTAATATCAGCATATTTGCTCCTTGCAAACACAAAGCCAACATGCTGATATTTAGCAGGCATGGGTATTTTGGACAAAGTATTTGACCAATTGTAATTTTGACAAGCTGGTTTTACCAAGTCGCGCCATGCAAAGTGTCTGCACCATTGATATCTGCACTCAATTGCGTGGCAATCCGTGCATTAGTTGTTCAATGATTACAGTCTGCACCCAAAATGAAGATTATCATCCATAGAGCCACGCTGGCATTGCTAAAGACGCTCTATATTATCACCAGCCCTGGTTACTAAAAAGAAAACAACATGCACACTGTTTCCGCTCAAAACGTCAAGCTCACACCTTTGCAGCTTCTGTCCTTACCAGTAACAATGACTTTGTTCATGTAGATGTACTCTTCATCAGCACCTGCACGGAGACAGCAGTGTGGTTAACAGTTGACATACGCATGTTCCATTTTACAACAAACAAACACGTTGTGTTATGCTGAAGACACTAGAAGAAGGTGTTTGAATCCAGCGTGATAGAACCCCATGTATCACATTGATGAATGGAACTGTCCAAAGTAACCCATACAGTTATTATAATATAGAAAAATCTCAATTTCTTTGTTGAAAGTTGTTCTAAACCTCAATAGAACAAAGTAATGTAACTGTATGTAATACCAGCTTCCATATTTCTTATTCCTTAGTGCCGGACTAACTCTCATCATGTTTGTCAAACATCCAGGATAAAAGGGGGTAACTCGCCCCAAACAAGTGGCCTATTGTGTGGACAGACGGGCCCATTATTGACACCCACCCTCACCGTGGTCGGCATTCATCAAACATTGGTCAAAAAAGCCCCTTTCTGCACAGATATTGCACATATTGTGTCGCTTCTATCCGGCAGCTAAATACGCACGTGGCTCCTGAAGTTGGTCCGTCTGCTACGACATTATAACGTAAAGTATGGTTTGGGTTGAAATTGGATTCGTTCTTGCATGGAATTAATCTTTTCAACCGAGTTATTTGGGCCATAGAAAGTCAGAAAGGGAAGCATTTGATTCAAGTCAAAATAAGAAATAATCTAATTGAGTAATGGTTTCCTGGGAGAACAGTTAAAGAGCAGGAAGTTCTGCACATAGCGAGAGAAGTTAAACATCGCTGGACAATTAATCAGGGCCGTCGTTTGTTTGAGACGGAACTGACTTCCACTAAAATGTAAATATTTACGAGTCAGCGCGAGCAACGGTTATCATTAAGGCAATAAGCCGAGATGATGAAAGCTCGTGACATCCACCGATGCTGAAGTCGGCCCAGTGAGAAAAGCACTGTGTTTTGTTCGAGTCGGTCTCAGCATGGTGGAGTAATTACAAGCTGGCGAAAACGTCGCCATGACATCGCCACATAAACAGTTTGAATGGATGTCTTTTCTCAGACAATAAACCCTGCGGTTTGGGTGCAGAAGGCTCCAGCTGGTTACTCTAACCTGTTATGGGAATTTGCTCCGGAGCTGCAGCGCAGTTTTGAGGAGGGTGTTTTTAAATGAATTCAATATTCTAGCTGACTAAGATTATACCCCGAGAGAAAAGCAAACACAACTCCAACCTCGGGCGATGCTCTGGAGAAGCTTTGCGCTTTGAAATAGATATCGCTAGGTGAAACCAAACAACAGCGGATTCAAACTATGTTTTGCCTGTACAGTGGAAACAGATTTTTGGGGTAGTTGAAATGCTATTTTTAAGCTGCTCAGAGGAAGTGTGCGTCCCAAGAGGATAAATGCAGCTTCGGAAAAATGATACAGCTTGGAGCCAGGAAAGGAAGTGAGAGACGAGTCCAGGACCCGAACATGGAAAAGCACCACTGCATGGGTTGTGTGTGTGTGTGTGTGTGTGTGTTGTTGAGCTTCGTCAGTGTGTGACAGACTGAGAGGGACAGAAAGGGAGCGGCGACGCTCATGCTGGCTTTTCCAATTCAAAAGTGACAGTGGGCACAAAAGAATTGGTAAGATTTCTGTATACCTTTGCCAAGATCAGCTTAAAATAATGTCCAATCATTTTACTGGTTCATATTTTCATCACTTCAAGGAGAATCAAGGAGCAAATTCAATATTCCCAATTAATCACACACCTCGCAACATTTTACAATGAAGCAATGAGCACTTTGATTATTAAGTAATTAATATTCACAACAAATAAAATGTTAACGGGATTATTTTGGGAAACAGAAATGCAGGGAAAGAAATATGCAATTCAGCCACCACAAAGTGGTTATCAACCACCGAAATGTACCACGCAAGAGTACATTTATTACATGGTGGCTGCTGAAAGTTTAAAATAATACCAAGTGGTTTGTTTGATAGCAGACCATCTAAGATCATTGAGTTGTTGAGCAGGGCATGACCACATTTCACATAACGTACTTTGCATAAAGGCAGACTAACCGCCATGCGTGTTTAAAGATTTGTGGTTCACACAAATACCACACCACGAAGAAAAATAAATAAATGGAGGAAATGTTTCAGACTATTTATTTTGCATCTCTTGAGGAAAAAGTGGGAACTCAAGCAACGCTGTTTTAGAATTGTATTTCTTTATATATCTACACTATTTGTTATCTGCCACGGCCTTTTTAATGCATTCAAGTGCACTGTACATCCACGACTACAGTATTTCCCTCATACCATTGGATGCTCTGTAGGACTGCAGGAGATCGGAGAGCAAGCCCTTCTGGACGGTGGCGTTCCCACTCAGGGCCTCCTTGTCCAGGATGTGCAGGAATCGGTGGAGCTCCATCAGGAGCTGGTCCAGCACTGGAGGACACAGACAGACAAGACGGTCTCAAAAAGGAAAACATCCTAAGAGAATATCCCCTGATGCTAGATATTGCTAAACATTTCTTGCCGCGATAAGGGTATTAAAATGACGGCTTTTGGAGCAAAACTGTGGGAGTTCCCATCATTGAGACAGAGAGGAGCTGAGAGAAATATAAAGCCTGGGGAGTTTCCAGGCAGAATGATACTTCAACTCATGGAGGACATGTAGTTAAAATCTAAAGACCCGTCAGTTTGTTAGCGATTCCATTGTCACTGCCGGGCCTTTGTGCCTCATGCTACGCCAACATTTAACACGGGGAGAGACTCTTCAGAGGTTCTCAGCTGGCGACCACTTGATTTCCATTCAGGCTTTGTGCCATCCAGTCATTACCCTCGCCCCACTTGCCATTGCCAGTTACTCGTCGGTTTGAGCTTGTTTTGGTAGCAGTCGCATGGGTTTAGTTTAAGGTCGAGTCCGGAGGAGGGGAGGGGAGGAGTCCGGGCCCGGAGTCGGCGGGGCCTCTGTGTCTGGGTGCAGCCCACACACATCCTTCAGGGGTCATCGCTGAGCTCACGGCTCTCTCCGCCGTGTGGGGAGCTCTTTGTGCTTCCCTTCACTGTCTCTTGGCCTCATGAATAGGCCTCCTCGCGACAGCGGGCCTCAGCGTGAGGATGAAAAAGGGGGGATTTTATCAAAGGATAAGGTGGGGCTGATATCAGAGGGTAGGGGGGGGGGGGTGTCATACTGTTCTTAGATACTGGAATGTCAAAAGCAGTGTGTGATAGTAGGCTCCTGTGTATCGAGTTATTCAGCTCTATATTTATAATTAATGAATTTGTCTTCAAACCCAGCATCAAACATAATATATGGAATAAGAACAAAAAACACACATCTGAAGCTATTTGTTACTTAGAGTGAGACGAGCGGCTCAATTTAACCCATGTTTATATATTCTAGGCCCTTTGGAGCCGGTGAGGATTGATGGATAGCTGAGCTCGGTTTGTTGCAAACATATTGTTTAACCCTACCTGTGAGTGCACATGGGATAAGGACAGCACACATAGCTAAACACAACAGTGGACACGTGAAAACACCTCGAGTTGAAACTGAAACTAAAATGACAGCCAAAGGTCTGACTCCACTCACGAAAGCTACTCCATATAACTGGAATCATCATAATAAAAGCTATCACATATCTATGAGCTTTCATAAAGATAGTGAACTGCTCCTCTGAACTCTTTTCAAACAGCCACTCACTCTATTTTAGAGGCTCCTTCCGGCTCAAACGGATGACTATCAGGGCCCTCGCGGGGTAGAACATCCGTGCCCTCTCACCTCCGTCCTACACTCCCTCACATCAAAGGGCCAAAGCGCGGTACACGTTTCTGCAAAATAAGGTGATCGGGACCCTGCACGCCTTTCCCCCCCTCGGAGATGACGAGAGGCTTTCCCAGAGCGACAGCAAGCTGGGCTGTTTTTAATGACTCCTGCTCAAGCTGAGTCAACGTCTGCAGAGAGGCCCCGCGCCATGGAAAACATTACACGTTTCGACACACACACACACATGTGGTCACGTAGAGTAATTAAAAATGATGTTACTATAATGATCCAAACTCATTACATTTCCACTGGTTGTTTGGCTGTTGAGAAGGAATCTAAACATTTTTCCAGCTTCTCCTCATTGTGTGTTTGCAGAGATTGACTCTGATGGCCTTTTGGAGTGGAGGACCCTGGGAAAGGGAGTCAGCTGACAGGACAGGGAGGTCTGTTGGGAGGCGGCCTCTGTGGGCCACGGGCCGGCCGGGCGCCCTCTGAACGTCCAGCGGGTGACCGCGACATTAAACGGTTCAATTCTTTAGAATGGCCGAAAGGAATCGGAGACGCCGAACGGCTGCGCTGTCTTCATTTAAGGGAATATGTGCCCGGGGTGCAACAAGGCAAAGTAAAGCAAAGAGTTGATTCGATGGTTACAACATCAAACAAAAGGGAAAGATTATAATTAACAAATGCGTCCTGCGATATTAGTCTGTGCTGGTCTTCATCTGCCTGACCGCTAAAGACAACAAACATAATGTCTTTGCATGCGCGTCTATCTGCGCTTTTATCTGTGTGTCTGAAACACAAATCAAGCTTTTTTTAATCTTTAACCATCTTCCGGCCCGGCTGATCACCTCCTGCATGCAATTAAAAGAAACGCAAATGTGGTCAGCAAATGCAATCGACAAGAAATAGATTGCGTTCAAGAGGCCCATGTCCAAACCGTCAAAATAAGACGTGACGGATTGGACTCGGGTCTGTAACGACATGCATGTCTTCTGCAACAAGAGCGTCTTGTCAGACTCATGGCATCGTTTCAAGCAGGGGCTTGAGGTCCTGCATCACCACTTACATCTTCACTTTGTTAAATCAACGAGGCAGGCATGGCCTCTCATTTCAATCACACTAATTCCATGTTAAACGGGCCTCCTGATGTACTGTTTACTTGGACGGATCAGCCGAGAAAACATGCCAGGCTATAATAACCTGACAATAATCCAATTAGCTTTCCCTCACAACAGCAATAAGTAGCTACTGACTGACAATGTTTGGAAAGGGCATTTTAAGAAGTCAAGTATCTACTTATTTTGTGCTAAATTGAGCTTTGAACCTTTGACTTGTGGCATCAGAGATAATTCATCAGCAGCATGTTCGGAAAACCCATAAATAGACGCCAAAGTCCTTTAAAAAACAAACACAAACCTGTGTGACTGGTGTGCACTTCTACCTTTAATCTTTTTCTCTCATTTTCAAAATAAAACTTCAACTTTCATGTTTTTTCTCATCCTTACATCATCTTCTTCCAGTCTTACTTTCAAAACAACTCCAGCATATAAATTCATGCTCCAGGAAAATTTCTGTTTTCACGGATGCATATTTATGCTGTTTTAAGGCATGCTCTTGCCTTTCATTAATAATAAAATAACTCTTATTCACAACATTTCAATCTGCACACAAAATCTGTTATTAATCTGAAACTGATACAAATGGCTTCATTGGGTTGTTCAACAAATTAAAATGTTATTAGTTGTTCAACAAATTAAAATGTTATTAGTCAAATACTTTGAACCAGTATTATACACGTTTTACCAGAATGCAGATTTATAGTTGAAAAATCTTTGATTTTAGTTCTATTTTAATTTAGGTAAATAAGGCCATCGCTAATATAGAAAACAAAGACAAATATTGACTTGCTTGGTCTTCTACCCATCAGCAATGTGCAAAGCTTACATTGTCCCCAATTCTATTAATTTGTGTACTTTGGTAATACATATTGGATTAAATTCATTTTTTTTCATCTTTTTTTGTGAATAAGGAAATATACTCACATAATTCCATGTTGAACGAAACCAATGATTGGTCAAGTAGTATCAGTCTGACACTATTTAATGTCACCTTGTAGATAACAGACAGCGCTACAAGTTCACGTAAAAGGGAAGTGGCAGAAAGAAGGAGAATTGCAACCTGTGGCCCGAAACGTTCTCACACCCTGACGGATTAAAGCGGTTTCTGCTTCAGCAGACGGGAAAGACACTGACTGAAACGAAGCACATTCGCTTCTTATCCTTTGACTCCTGCACGCCGAACCTCCGTGGAGGAAAAACACCCCGAATGACATTGACCGTTGCTCAGTGGGTCAGATTTTAATGCAAAACAGCAGCGAGAAGGAGCCACGTATGATTGGTTTGTTCCAGGCCGGCCTGGCTCTGCTGAGTGTGGCAGATTATTTTGACAGCTATCGACAGACGCTGGTTCCGTCTCCACGCAACGCGCTGGATTCAGCTGCAGTGACATACTGCCTGGATTAATCCAAGCTGTGTTTTGTTGTTATTGCCGTAGAAACCTGAATACAACCCCCCCCCCAAAAAGGCGGGGTGTCGACTTGATGACCTCAGAGACGGGGGGGCCGCCTATGTCCGATAGCCGTGCTGAAGGGACTGTGGATGAAAACAAATGAATTGTCAAAGTGACACGAGGGAGGGGGGAGAGACGTGAGAGCGTATATTGACGGAATGTGGAACAACAACGAGAGAGAGTTAGCAAATATTGTTATCAGCTGAAAATCACCGACAAGGAGGAAAACAACCGGGACTTCGCCCCCGTAGGAAAAGTAAAGACCAGTAAGATATTGAACTCCTGAGCAATCGCAATCCGTTCGTACGGAATTTATTCTTTAAGAAGTGTGGCATTTTATGTCGCTTTAGGTTGTTGTTTTACCCGATAAGCCCATTAAGAGTTGGTGTTCTACTTTTCTGCTGCCTGAACTGATTTCCCTCCCAAAGCCCCATCCAGATGATTGAGTGCATGGAATATGGAGTATATGATGCAGGATGAAGATGACGCTCTTTAATTTAGGATTCATATTATGAATATTGACTATTTTAGTAAGCTGGAATAGTGTGGACCATTAACATGCAGCATCTTTCGTTTCCCGACTCTCATCTGGTCGCGACTTCCTTGTCTTCAATGAAAAAAGCTTTATAGCAGCGTGTCAGTTCGTTCCGCTTCGGGCTCATTTTCCTCCCCCACGTACACACCATGGAAACGACTTTGACGTGGCTGGAAAAAGTGGTTAAAAAATAAAATCGGTGTCAGTCGTTGTTGACACTCGAGGTCAGAAAGGAGGTCGCATGCTAGTGACAGGAAGTGTCTTTGACACTGTGGGAAAAAAAAGTGCGGTAGGAGGAGCTTGAAGTTGTTCGGCAGATTTTGTGAAGCGAGTCGCCCGGTTGTAACGCCGCGGTCCGCCCGTCCGCCCTGTTCGTCACAACTTCCACCAGAGAAGAGGAAGTCGGTGGAATCGGTTACTGTACCATCGGCCTCACAATGAACTGTTGGAGCATCCTGTGTCTACTGTTCTGATCGGTATAACTCGAAGCTCCTCCTGGTCATATGAGGAGAACGTTTGAAATGCTTAAAAAAACTTGAAAGCATGAAAGTATAGACTAGAGTATAGTGGCATGTTGCAACAATAGCACGGGGATGATGCCGAGCCACAGGTTGAGAAAAACAATCAAGCTGTAAAGGAGTCACCTAAAAAGCATTGTTCCACACTCTGTTTCAAGTTTTTCCTCTTTCATCTTCCCTCCATGCATTATTGAGCCTCGCCTTTCTTCATCTTACGCTTTATCTTTCTTCACATCCTTTTTTTTTTGTTGCTTTCTTTGGATCTGTGCCGTCCTATCGAGGCTTACAGCTCGGCCCTTGGAGAAACCAGGCTTTTTTTTTTCCGTAGCTGAAAAATGTTAACGCGCTCGAAGAGTAAATCATTTATTATTGTGTGAGAGAGTATTCAAAGATCTGGGAAGTGAGAAAAGGTATAGAAATCCAAATAAAGTTCTGCCATTTATTCTGATTCACAGAGAGAAATTCATCTCTTTAATACAATAACAATGACCAATGAATTTTGCTTTCAGCCGGCTCAGTTTAATGACAAATGTTAAAAGCTGCTCTAACGTTCTTATGTCAAAAAAGGATCAAGTGACTTTGTGTAACATGGGGACCAGTTTCCTGCTGAAGGATCATCCTTCCTTCAGTCTTCCTCTCCCCGTGCATGTTGCCTCGCTCCACAGGAGTTGAAGCGTCACCCTTTAGATGTTTTAAGCCGTGCATGTGTCTTCATACCATGCGGATTCACATTCACACGTGAATGAAAAAGGGAAACTCTGCAAGGCTCCAGATTCGTGGCTTGATGAGAACGAAAAATCGACAAACTAGAAGCGGTGGCTGACAAATAAAAACTAAGTAGCAATGCCGCCTCAAAGTCACCCACATAAAAGCTTCTCTGCTTAGTTATTATTCCACAGATAAGTGGCCAGGAGGGCTGCAGGGAAAGTAGCAACTAGTGAGCGTACATGTGTATGTGATTACAAGAGAGTGCAACTTCCTTTAAAAGAGTACCTGGTGAGGGGGGGGGGGGAAAGCCCCACACACAATGCAGGTTTTATCCCGAGCTCCTGTACGCCATAAACAAAGCCATGTTTGATGTGTTGGTAAACGAACAGGAGCGAGGCCCACGGGGCAAAAGGGGGCCGACGCTCCCACGGAGCGCTGCGCTCGCAACACAGATCAGGAAGACCGTCTTTTTCTTTTGATCATTTTCATAGCCCCGGCTTCCTGAGTTACCCGCACTCGGCTCGCTCCCCATAAAGCCTATGACACACACACACACGCGCACACAAACGGGAGACCCCATGCCGGCGCTGAGGGCCTTCATCTCAGCCGGCCTGTTCCTCAGCTCACAGGGAGGTCAAACACACCGACTGTGTCGCATTGTCGTGCTCATTTTCAACCGATGTCACGAATCATTTTGACTGGGAGTCCTTTGGATGGATATGATCCTGCTATTAAGACCCCGGCAGCTCTGAAACTACATATGGTAATAAAAATGAAAATCACTTTTTAGGATCAAGTGGTTTTTGTTTTTGACACAAAACAACATCAAATGATACTTTGCACAAAAACTATGTTATGGTTAATACCCGTAACCATAGAAATGATACTGAAGTTGCATTTTTTACAATATCTTTGTTTCCTGTCCCATCTGAATCCAATCCAAATCTTCCTGCCAAAACAAATCATTAGGCCAACAGATTTAGTTGTCGAGTGGTTGGATGTGACAAGCGAACAATTCACTGTCCATCAATGCGTCTGTCAGTCCGCCTCCAGTTGTCCCGCATTTTATTTTGGCAGTGATCGCAGAGTTGTCGGAGGAGACGGCAGGCGCCCGAGGCGAGTTGAAGGAGCCGCCGTCGCGAGTCCCATCGCTGCTTTTCCTGAGTACCGTCCAGCTGCAGAGAGCCTGCAGCCAGCACGGTGGATTCGACCCAGAGACTGGTGGGATCCATAATAACTTGGAATGCAAAAGAAGCAAGGGCACGAGGAGGGAGCCACTAAACACTTGGGGGAGGGGGGGGGGTCTTGTGAAACAAAGCAAAACATTTCCTCCATCGGAATATTTATGGAAATTACACTTTCATTTATTTCGATATATGTACTTGTATAGAATTTAGGCTGTTTTTCCAAAAAATGGTGAAAGTAACCAACAAGCAATCAAATGCATTTTAAAAGAAATCCTCCATTCATGTGATTGCTCAGCCACTGAAGTACGTCCAATGCGGCACCGATGATTCTCAAATATCACGGCCCAAAGGACTCTGAAACCGAACACGGCTCCGGGTGGTTTCACTAATCCGATCCTCATCCCTGGCAGAAGGTGTGAGAACCAGCGACACGATCTGCTGATACTCCTTCCTCTCGAATGAAACCTGCATGGGTCGGCTTCGAGTGAAATGGAGCAATTTCTAACAATGCCTCGCCTTGTTATTGGCATCCCACTGACTTTTCCCTGGAGTCCCTTCACAGGGAATGTCATCATAATAGCCAAGACCCACATATATTCAATTCACAATCTTGCAAAAATGAGAAAAGGCTGTGAAGCTTCACATTTGAGAATCGAATTGAAACCGGGTAATTTATGCTTGCAAATGATTCAAACATGGCAAATGAATTGAATGAACAAGCTTCCACAATGGTTATTTACCCCGGGACGGTGTGGGAGTAAACAGACTGGGCTGTCCAGTCAGCTGGGGAGCAGGAATGCTGCATCAAGAATTTCAAATTGTGGTGATCCCATTCCAGTCGCTCATTGTTTTCAGTCCAGAAAATCCACCCATTTGCCGGACCAGTGACGGAGAGGTGGATTCGTAATGTGTTTGTGCCGTTCCACATGTTATGTTGATCCCCTTATAACTACTCTCTGTGCCTGTTTTGGGGATCAGATGGCAAGGTGAGGTTCACTGCACGGCCGATCATCCTACTGACTATTTGTTTATGTCAATCAGGAAGTATTAAGAGGCCTTGCTCATCCCTCATGGACAAATAACTGCAGGAATTTTAGGAATGCTGTGAGAACAATGTGGCTGCTATTTGAACTCATCAGTGGCCACAGTGTAAACTTTTTTTTATAGAACCCACTTGGATGGCAAGGCGGTTATGGGATGAGTCACACATCTTCATATCTTTGGTGACACAGGATCCATTCAACAATGACAGTCCGTCCGTTTAGGTAGGCTTCATTATTTCATTTAAATCACAATAATTAGAGGAAGATGACCCGGTAATATCCAAGCCAATGTGTGCACAACAGTGACCAATCGCAACTCAAATTAACTTAAGTGATTAATTAACAAATTAACAAAAAAAAAGCATCTCTACCCGGATCTCTAATGCATCCAAAGTAGATAAATGTCCACTTGTTGTTTTGAACATTTCCTCTCTACATCGAGAAGTCCGCAGTTCATGTTATTGCCACAGAGGTATAAAACGTTTTAAAACATAATAAATACAAAGAATCCTCCGCTTACCTTTGTGCTTCTCCATTCCCTCGCTTTGCTCCTCTCATGCAACTCGAACAAATCCCCAAAAGTTTTCCCGACAGCTTTGCGAGTGAAGAGAACGGCGGAATTGCGCGGAATGCAGCAGCGCCGACGCTCCCGTTTGCGACCACACAACACCGACTGGCCGCGGTGACTTTTGACGCAACAGCAGCGCTCTCTCCTCGCCTTCCTATTCTGCTTCTGCCGCACCTCCTCCTCCCGCATGCGGCATCGTGCGCAGCGCCTTCAGGTGTCAGCGAGAGACACTCAACCCTTGATGTGAACGATCCCTACGACTTCAGATTCAGATGATTGAATGACACCTGGGCACATTTTTGTCGGAAAACCTAAAAGAAAAAAAACACACCCCTCCTTGTTCTACATGCGCGGGGGGGTCTTCCGAAGCTCTGTGACGTCATATGCATCGCACATCTGTGCATTTGAAAATGTCTGACTGATGCAATTAAAAAAAAAAAATTGTCAAGTCAACGACTGAACTAAAGTGTCTTTAAAAGCAGCGATGCTGCAGAAACAACAGCGGGAGGATCGAGACGTGACACTGCGGGACCTTCCAGGTATGAGAGGTGTGTCCCGCGGTGTGAAAGAAAAAATGATTAAAGGCATGAAGAGAAGCCCTTGGTAGAGGTTTGGTGTTGCCTGTTGTTGTCCCAGTCACGCCCATGACAGCAACAGGGCACTGGCAGTGACGTCATCCGCTGCTGGTTAATGCGTCACCCTTTAGGGTCTAATGGAGGCCCCGCTTTAAGGCTGCTGTTGTCGAGTTTTACACGTGGCTCGATACTCACAGAGGACTTTGAGACATGTGACTGTCCAAGCGTCCCTCAGTAGTCCCCTTGTGAAGACATTGTGTGGTTTAATTGATCACGTGTCTGAGTAACATAAGTGCGTTCGGCTCTTCTAAAACATCTTCGCCCATCCTCTTGGGGTCGGGGTAACGGCGGCGGCGCAGACACCCCAAAGAAGGTGCGGCGCCCCAAACTCGAAGGAGACACAACAGATGTTGCGGTCTTTACATCTTTGCCCTGTTGTCACACTCCTTTCTTAACAGACGTAACAACTGGTGACCTTTCTAATCTCACACATTTGATGATCACGAATAGTATTCTCGTCAGAAGTCAAGAAGGTCTCCCCGATGTGACATGATTTTAAGATATTTAATCTTAAAAAAATAAATGATATTGGTAGAACTGATCATATATTGCATGAGTTTCTTTTACGTCGTGCAAACACAACGTCCCACAACTAGTTCCTCTTAAGCACGTTATTTTATTCAAAAATTGAATAGTGTTTTTGTTCAAATCCCAGTGCACACATTTTCCCAGCGCTGATTTACAGCTGCAAACCCGTCTGTCATAAAGTTACAACCGCTGCCATTAGGGATCTCTCCTCTGCTTGTTTTCTTCCCACCGAAACACGTACAAATGTGTGAGCACTGATGCTTATGTTTGTGCAGTGCATGTGTATACCTGTGGGTGTGAATGCACAATATGATGTTCCTGAGTTCCTGTTTTATGTCTATTTTCAAGGTGTTGAGTTCTCATTCTAAAGAAAAAGTCCTGCTCGTGTCTTCTTCGGTTCTTGCTACAAAGGCTGACGCTGAAACAAGGCGTTTGTTCAAAACAGTGGAATTGATGTATTTTTCTGTCTGTGTGTGTCGACTTCCTGCCTCAATATTTTGTGTTCGTTGTTGTGCACAAAATACAGATGAAAATTTGCACTTGAGGAAGTTTTTCTCAACTACGAGGAAGAATGACTAATGATTCAATTCCTAGCCTTGAAGCTGTGTTTGCACACTCGGCTAAAAGCCAACTGGTGATCTAACCTTTTTTTACACTTAATGGTTTAGCCGTGAGCACACAAAGTATGAGCGTAAGTCGGGCATGATGGCTCGGCATGAATTGAATACGAGGGTGGTCTCCGTCTGTGTCCGTCTTTCCGCAGCAAAAGAGACGCCTTCTTAACCCAGCCGGGGAATTCCTATTGTGCAGCAGACCTTCTGGGAGTCTCCGGCTACACGGGTGATTTCAGGTCTTGAGCGTGCAGATTTGGATGATATCTGCTCATCGAGCTTTACCCGTGTGTGTGTGTGTGGCACAAGGACGCTAAACCTTTCTTTGTTTTTACAAAATGTCATTTCTGAGTCAAAGGTGCTTCAGTGGAGTCGGCATCTCTGTCCTGCTGCACCACGAGGAGCATTCCTCGGCTGTGAATCGAGGGGACAAAGGTCACTGACTCCACACCAAATTAGCAGTCGATCCTCTTTTTGATTCAGGGCGCTTTACAATGTTCACAACGAACCAACCCCCTGACAAAATAGCCCCCCCCATGGATTTAGGTATTTTCATCTAATCTGGTCTAAACCTCTTACTGTCTGGGAATTTCCAAAGAAAGTTGAATCCACTATTGACTCCGCTGTGCCTCCTTGTTGTTTTAACAACGTTTGGATGGAGAATGTGTGAGGGCACTGGCCGCAGACACACCGCACCTTGTGAAGATGGCTCTGGTTTCCCTGCACCACGGAGGTTCCCGTGCACCTGACTAAACGTCAACAGGTTCTCCCGTGGCTTAAGTAGGAGAATGTTAAGTCAAAGTGGGATAATATTGTGTTTGGTTCAGCAGCCCTCAGTGGGAAATAAAGGGAGGTTTTCAAAGTCTGTGCGGATGAGTCGTGTGAGAGCGGACAAAACGTTGAGGCGATAGCTTTTGTGAAGGCTTAAATCTTTCCTGCCTGGCAGGTTGTGTTTGGGGAGAACTGAGGCTGGTTTTAGATGTCTGGTGTCTTTATGAGATCAAGGAGAGGACGTGTTTCGATGACTCTCCAAACACGCCCAAAAGAAACACATCGCCTTGCTTCTTTCTCACTATCCGTGAGTCATTTTGTCTTAAACATTGGAGGATTTGGTCAGTAAAGTCAGTGTGTACACACAGTCAATAACAATTATCTATATTATGTAAAGTCCCAACATCAGGGGTTGTATTTGTAAAGTCTGTAGATGACTTTTGGAGCTGAATATAAGTAGACGAATCCAGCCGTGACACAGAAAACGTCTGTATCCCGCGCGTGACATCACCGTGTGTCACAATGACCAACACTAGTTGTTCCATTAGTTGTTATCACCGTGTCTGCAATGCTGAATTGTCTTTAGTCTATGGAGAGACTGGTTTCAATTTACAAAAAGAGCTGAGCTGAGAAATATTTAATCATGAAATGATCCAAAACATAATTTTAAGATGAACCGCCCCATTAAATGATTTTAAAAGTAGTTTTTTCTTTCCTCCCCTCCTCTTATTCTTGTATTTCTTCCTACAGAGTCTGCGTTGATTCGAAACTTAATTGCTTAGTTGCTGCAACATCGCCGCCTAGAGGCGTAGATCGAGAAGTGTGGACGGCTCCAGATAAACGGTTAATGAATGAGCAATTATTGCTTACTTAAAATTTAACGATGACTTTTCTGTTATTTAAAGTCATTATTTATTGTAACAAAACAGAGAAGATGAAAAACTCCCTTTTTCCCGTGTCTACTGTAAGCCGGGGTCCATTCGCAGGTGTTTCACATCTGTATGACAAACACAAATATTTGCCTTAACCCCCGCTGCTTCACCAAATATGACCCCGGCAGCAGGCCGCACTCTGACAAGCCTCATCTCACAGCCAGATAAGTGGTCTCTCAGAGCGACACACTGCATCTGATGTCAGAGCACAGTGACGGCGAGAGGCTTTATTAAAAGGCGCCCGACTCTCCTTGACCCGGCCACTGAATTTCTCAACAGAAATTTGTGTCGAGTAGGCCTACTGAAATTTCGTGAGATGTGCCAGGACGTCAAGTGCGATGCCAACATCATTTCCACGGGAAAATTTACATGTAAAATCATCATCCAAATGCGGAGGCAGAAGTTCAGCCTTTGCTTTGGTTCAGCAGGGTAATCGTAGCTTAAGAACCATGAGGGTGACTTTCATTAGTAGTGTTAATGAACATTACACCTTTTACCAGCCTCACTTTCATACCACAGGGTACATTGTTCAATGCTTTGATGTTATTTTAAAAAGAGTGATATAGAGTTTTAAAAAGTGATATAACTAAATAATAATAACAATGTATGTAAGACTGGAGGGCTAAATACTGAGAAGTGACCTTTGCTTGTAAGATATTAACACTTCAAGGTCAAAGAACAAAGACAAAATGTCACAAAGGGTGTTCAATTATCAAAAGCCTGTGAGCGTGCGTTTGGAAAACCGTTGACCTCAAAAAGACGCATCCAGCTTTTAAATGCCGCATAGAACCGCTCAGGGTTTTTCTTCGCGACGCTGTCCCTTTAAATAACACTGGTGTTTACTACGCATGCGCAGCCCGTGTTTAGTTTTCTCCAACCTGAGGATCTGACTGATGTGCCGCTGCGCTAGCAAACCCATCGGGGCCGGTTTCTCGTCCTCTTTTTGAGAGCAACAGCGGGGGCTTTTTTGTGTTTCATTCTCTTTCCTTCCTCAGCGGGGAATACGAGGAAACAGCGTACTGCTGTCAGCGAAGGCCACGTTTAAAGGCGTTCATATTATTATTTTTTTGTTTTGCTGCCGGGGGGAATAGACCAGTGGGGATCAACAACAGTTCAAAGTACTTGCTCAATCCGTCTCCCCCCACCCCTCCTCCCACTCCCGACCCCCACCTCCCAGTAGGCAAGAAAAAAAGCGCTTTCCAGTTCTCCCATCACACCACATCCATGTTGACTGCGGCAGCCTTTTTACCGGGTCCAGGTCCGACTACAACGCCGCGACACCGTCGTTCTCCCGCGGCGAAGATCCGGCTAAATTTGTGAAGCGGGACCGTCGCGCGTCGCCACATAACACCCCCCCCACCCCGGTGTCCGGTTCTGGAGGTCTGTTTACGCGTTAAAATGGCTGCTGAGATGGCATTCGGACGGGAGAGAGGGTCCGGATTCAACGACAGTAACGTGTCGTTACTCCGCCGAGGCCAAACGGCCAATTAGCTACGCATGCTAAGACGGTACGTGCTAAGCTAGTCGCGAGTTAGCCCGCTCAGTTAGCTCAATTTAATGCTCGCCTCGAGGGCTAACCGTTTGCGTTTTCCTAGCACACAAGCGCAGCTTAGCCGGGATGCAGATATGCGCGATATTCCGCTAAATATGCGGGACTTCTAAGGGAAACAGCGTGAGTAACCGACACCCTCCTCCCCCCTCAAAACAAAAAAAAAGCAGACGTAACGGGCCCCGCTCTTTGGTCGAACCCTGGCCATTAAAATGCATCCGGGGACGGAACTGTTCATTGTCGGAGCCAGACCCGCCGCCCGCGGCGACCTGGGGGGCATCAACAGATACCTGGTGGCCTACGTCCTGCTCTTCTACTTCGTGCTGGTCACCCACGCGACCCCGCAGAAGCCCTGCGACAAGAACTGCCTCTCTGGGAAATGTGTCAACGGGTCCTGCGTGTGCGATCGAGGATGGGTCGGGGACCAGTGCCAGCACTGCCAGGGGAGGTTCAAGTAAGTGCCGCTTCGGACCAGGTTGCTGCCGGATGGGTTGCGTTTGTGAATGAGCAAAAAAAAAACGGTCCCAAGTGACAAAGACAATAACTGCTTTTTGCCCTCCATCATCATCGACGAAGCCTCTACTGACCTGAGAGTTCTGAATGGATTCATCACTAGCCAAAGCTTTGATGATGGGGAAATCAAGCAAATCAATCATGTTATATTTGGTGTGTTTCTGACACATCGGGTTGTTATTTTCATCATGGTTTGATCTATAACATTTTAGAAAAGGTTCCATCGTGATGTCCTAAAACCCAAAGTGACTCATTCAATGTACTTGTCCAAAACCACCAATATAACGTCTTCGCCCGTAGCCTTGTTCAGTCAATTGGATGTTTGTGATTTATGCGTTTTCTTTAGATAATGCATTACCCCGCATGTCTGATGTTTTGTGATTAAAGGGATGATTGTCTTGACTAAGTGAGTGATGAACCAGAAAATCAGGACTCTGACGTATACTGTTACAGTTACTTACAGCCTGATACGATTACATTGACTCCAATTAAAATCCTTAAAATAATCATTTTCCAAAGTCGTTTAGAGGAAAATTCTGCAACCAATTGATTCAGCCTTGCTGCCTACATGGTGCTGATGCGTAGTGTTGGAATAAATTGGAAGAACATGAGGGTGCAAGACATGTCGACCCCACATTTGTTGCATTTAGTTAACAATTGGGTGCACATAGGTAACAGGGTAACACTGTAAGAATAAACGTCCAACTGCTCTGTAATGATATCTTGAGCGAGACTCCCTTGACAGGATCATTCTAATGGCTTTCCAGTCCACCTGAGGTGCTGCAGAAGCGCTTCGATCACAGTGATTACCGCTGGCCGTGATGTGGGTGAGGGTTCGAAGGGGTTGTCGTCAGCAGCAGGGAACGAGCTAGAGACAAACAGCCGTAAAATGTCCCATCTGTCAGTGGAATGAGGAACTGCATCACGGTTAATACGCGGTCAGGTAAACATTGCTGCATAAAAGACCTGTGGCTTCCATAAAAAAAAGAAAGAAAAGCGTTACGATAAATCCTATTTCCAAAGGTACAGGGTTGCGTATTATTTGTAATGTCTGATTTTAAATGGAGAGGGACCGGACTTGGTAGGCAACCTTGCGCCACTACAAAAAAAACCTCAAAATTGAAAGTAATGTCGTACATCAAACGGACATGAAAGGTAATAAATTCAGTGCCTGTGTTACTCTGACCTCTTATCAGAGCCGCTGTGTGTTTTTGTGAAGCTCGCAGAGTCAGAAATAAAAAAACCAAGGCTCTCTGCCTGTCTGTAAAGACGGGGACATTATCAACTGACAGATTCATAGAGTGTTGTCCCAACTTTGACATCCAAATGAGGTTCTTTATCAAAGAGTCATCCGTCTAGAAAATGCCTCACTGTGTCGAGACTATAGTTTGTGCTTATTTGTCTCCTCTTATCGCTCTTCCTTGTGATTCATTTCGATTCATCCCGGGTGTACTTCATTTGGGCTGTCAAGCTTTCTGCCATCTTCCATGCTGGTGATTTAATCATTTATTAGTTTTTCATTATTTCTGGTTCATAATCAATCACTCTTCATTTGTTCTTTTTTTTTTTTCTTCTAGTACCTCCAATATCTTCATTTCCTATTAACCTTTATATTTAATTATGTCTTATGCCGTTGGGGATAATAATGGCAAATAATAGACAGAAAGGGTTGAAGGCTTGATATAAATTATTCACAAGGTGCCACCATATTTTAGTCTGCTTCTTTTTCCCGTTGTGGGTAAATAACCTGTTGGACTTGAACCTTCTGGTCTGCAAAATGTTTCGCATTGCATTCACAGAAAGGAGCAGACGACCCTTTTTAAGAGGCAGATGATTGAATTGTTTTATTCATGATTGAATAGATTTGACCCAATATACGGACATATACATTTTAATCTCCGAATGTGACGTTGACATATTCACAAATTCGATGATCGCTTTTGGTCAAAGATCGGACCACATCTACTTCCATGGCCTTAACTGCTGACGGCCCAAAAATACAGTCTAGCTCATTTATTCTTCGCACTTCCTGCCATCGCAGTCTGGATTTAAGGTCCACGTCTCTCTCGTGACTCCACATATCCGACAAAGGGGAATCGTGCTCTGACTGTGCCGTCGTCTGCGTCATCTTTCAGGTTGACGGAGCCCTCGGGATACCTCACCGATGGTCCAATCAACTACAAGTTCAAAACAAAGTGCACCTGGCTCATCGAGGGCTAGTGAGTACTTCAGTAAATTGAATTATCATGAACTCATTGATGCAATGAAAATGAGCCGACGTCGCCGTCAGATAAAGTGTTCTGTTATGTTTCTAAACCTGCGGCGACACCGAAAATGATCTAAACGTTTTCCACTGTTTCCTCCGCAGTCCAAATGCGGTTCTTCGGTTGAGATTTAACCACTTTGCCACAGAATGTGGTTGGGACCACATGTACGTCTATGACGGAGACTCGATATATGCCCCCCTGGTTGCCGTGTTCAGGTGAGAGCGTTTTAATACGTGCGTTATTGGCTGAGGTGCTGAGAAACTGGTGCCAATGAATTTTCTGCGCTTGTTTGACAGCGGCCTCATCGTGCCTGAGATCAGAGGAAACGAGACGGTTCCTGAGGTTGAGACCACTTCGGGCTACGCGCTGCTACATTTCTTCAGCGACGCGGCCTACAACTTGACCGGCTTTGAAATATTTTACTCGTAAGTAATCCGGTTTGATCTTAAACTACGAGAACAACATGACGCGATAGAACGCTTTGTCCTTTCCGAACATTGCGGTTTGGCTTCAGCCACCTGTGGGAAATACATTTTCCAGGCTTTTATTGATTTGACACATGTGGAGTTTGTCAGGCCCGTTGACTTCTGCTCCCTGATTGTTGGTAAAATGCTTGCAAAATGAAAAAAAAAAACACAGTTAATTTTGAGTGACCTGCTCACTCTTTTTTCCTGTCCCTTCTGCCCAGGGTCAACTCTTGCCCCAACAACTGCTCCGGCCACGGGAAGTGCACCCCCGGCAACTCTGCCGCCAGCCGAGTGTACTGTGAATGCGACAAGTACTGGAAAGGCGAGGCCTGCGACATCCCGTACTGCAGGAACAACTGCGGCAGCCCCGACCACGGCTACTGCGACCTGACCGGAGAGAAGCTGTGTGTCTGCAACGACAGCTGGCAAGGTAACACCCCGATCCCAAACAATGGCTCCATCCCATTACAATATCTAACTGCTCTTTCCAATTCCCCCCCCCCCCGTTTACATTAGTGGAATAATAATGATCAGATTGTTTTTTGTAGATAACCGCGACAAAATATTTGAAACGTGAAGAAAGAAAAACTGATTCATGGCGTGTAGGATATGATTCATCTGGATTGTAAAACGCCGCCGCTCCTCCCGTGTCTGCTGCGGCGAGTGATGTCGGAAGATGTAATGGAGGCGGTGTCAGCAGACGAGCACAAGCCGCTGTGTTGTTTTGTGTCATGATGCAGATGGGTAGCGCGCCAACATGAGCCGCCGGCCGGGGAGAAACAACGCTTTCATGTGATCAAACCTGACACCGTCATTAGCATGTGGCATGTATCATTAGCGCGTTGTCATTTTCTTTTCTCACTCCGCCTAACGTGATCACACCTCCCTGCCCGTTCGCGTTTGGTTCGGTGGTCGTGCTTTCGTTCAGGTTTGAGCTCGCCATGTTTGCTCTTCAAAGTTTCCCCCGAGCGGGAACAGCAGTCCGTCCCTGAGAGAGATTCAGCGTCGGATAAACGCAGCGCTTTGTTTGAACAAAGAGAAGTTTTTAATGTGAAAGAAATGTCGTGCGGTGAACTTGGGTGACATTCTCGCCGCGCTTTCGTCGTGCGCCTCGGGCTGAAACTTGTCTCTGGCTGTTGCCTTGCAGGGCCGGACTGCTCGCTGACGGTGCCTTCGACCGAGTCCTTCTGGGTGATACCAAACGTCAAGCCCTTCGGCACGTCGCTCGCCAGGGCTTCCCAGAAGGCCGTGGTGCATGAAAAGGTCATGTGGGTGGTGGGTGGATACACCTTCAACTACAGCTCCTTCCAGATGATTCTAAAGTAAGTCGTAGCATAGCGTTTCCACAGGGCATTTATTTACATGTTTCACAGCAATGGAGGGATTTTTAATTTGACTAAAAGCCCCCCTCCCGTCTGCATGATGTCCTGAACACGCATGAACACTTTGAATTATAATCCAAGCAAACAACACTCAGATTAAGTGCGGAGAAGGTCCTCCTTGTCCCGTTAGAAATCGATAACCTAGTGTACGGCGAGCGCGAGACTTCCGGTTTCAATGGTGTGTTTTATGAATATAGTGGTGGTGCATTCACTTAGCTAAATTGAGAAACACCAATACCCTCTGTGACTGGAAGAATAAAGCGCTGCCCGTAGCAGCATGAGGCAAACGGCTTCCCTTTTTAATAAATGTGCTCAATGTGTTTTCCCAATGCGTTTAGAGTGTAATGTTTTGTTGCTCTGCAGCTACAACCTGGAGAGCGGCATCTGGAACACGGTTCCCATCAACAGTGGCCCTCTGCCAAGATACGGCCACTCACTTGCTGCCTACCAGGTAAACGCTCACACACCGAGATTCAACTTTCCCTGTCCCAAAAGGGAAACCACATGAATCGCTTTGAAATAGGAAGGGCACATTTTTAGTATTGAAAATAACCCTCAATGTCTTTAAACACAAAGCTTAAAGCAAGCCTCTTTAATAAACTCAGCAAGCTGTATGACTACGGATTTCAAAAAAAAAAAATGTTGTTCGAAAACCTCAAAAAAGCAATTATCTTCTTTTCTGCGTCTGGTTCCACTTGCTTGAACACGCAACTCTTTCTCTTTCCAGGATGACATCTATATGTTTGGTGGGAAACTGGAGGCCGGCTGGGGCAACGTGACGGACGAGCTGTGGGCGTTCAACGTACCCAGTCGCACGTGGCAGCGGAGAAACCCCGCGGTTGGCCCGCCGGCCCAGGCTCAGATCTTCGCCGTGGAGGGTCACTCGGCCCACTGTGTTCTGCTGGAGGATGGCGAGGCCCTTATGCTGGTCATCTTTGGCTACTCGCCCATCTACAGCCATATCAGCAACGTTCAGGAGTACAACCTGAGTGAGTCGCAGCACTGCACACATTGTTTCTCACTTATATCAGCGGACCAGATTTGAAAGTCCCTCCCATCGCATGACTTCATGTAGATCGTAACAGGTAGCATGGGACCTTTTACTTTGATACATTGCAGCTTTTATTGTAAGTGATATGAATATATGAATTGTGTTGTTTTTATCACATGTGTGCTTGATTCCAAGTATGGTTGTGGTTTAAAAAGCAGGCATTTCAACAAAAAAAAAAGACATTAGAAAAGTTTGTACTACGGTTGCTAAGGACGTTGTCTTTCTCCTGCCTTTATCGCGCCCTATACACGTGTCCTCGTCAGGGTCCAACACGTGGCTGGTGGCGGAGACGAAAGGCGCCGTTCCCCAGGGAGGTTACGGCCACAGCAGCACGTACGACGGCGCCAGCGGCAGCGTGTTTGTTCACGGGGGCTACAAGGCGCTGCCCGCCAAAAAATACGGCCTCGTCGACGACCTCTACCGCTACGACGTCAACACCCGGACGTGGTAAACCCAACGCGCCCTGACTGCGCGCTCGTGTCTGTGCACGCGGCAGGTAAGCGCGTCCATTAACACTTGTCCTGCGTGTGCTCCAGGTTCATCCTGAGGGAGAGCGGCTTCCCGCGGTACTTGCACTCGGCCGCGCTGCTCAGCGGCACGCTGCTCGTCTTTGGCGGGAACACGCACAACGACTCGTCCCTCAGCAACGGCGCCAAGTGTTTCTCCGCCGACTTCCTCGCCTACGACATCGGTAGGCGTCTCGTAGCATCCTGGACACCATTTTGAACGTTCGCCCACCCCCCACAAGCACAAAGTCAAACCCAATGCTCCCTGACGCCTTCTTCCCCGTGCTCTTCCTCAGCTTGTGATGAGTGGCGGCTCCTGCCTAAACCCGACCTGCACAGGGACGTCAACCGCTATGGTCACTCTGCTGTGGTCAGCAACGGGTGAGTCTCTCTGAAAACAAAATGCTTCAGAACACGCTCCCTGTGGCTGCTTGAGGCCTCAATATCACCTTGCATTTTACTGCCCTTTTTATGATGTTGTTTTTGCCAAGTTTGTCTTAGTCGACGTCTCCCCTCGTTGACCGTCTGCTGGCCGGTTTTCTTGCAGGTCCATGTATGTGTTCGGGGGCTTCTCCGGCGTGCTGCTCAACGACGTGCTCGTTTACCGACCCCCCAGCTGTCGGGCCTTCTCGGCGGAGGAAGCGTGTGTGAACGCCGGGCCGGGGGTCCGCTGCATCTGGAGTGGAGGCCGCTGTCTCCCCTGGGAACCCAGCATGGCTAACGGCAGCCTTGGTCCCGCCCCGTTCTGCCCCACGAAAGCTGGTGAGAGAGACAGACATCCAACATTTTTTGGGGTGTTCATTAGCGCTTTAATTTCTGGTAGATTCCTGGTTCATACAAAGCGAATCTGTGACACCACAGTAATTCAGCCTCTCAGCTATTCTGAATGACTTGATATTTTTATCGTCGACTTGTGACATTCCAGCTTAGTTAGATACAGTTTCATACCTTATTCCCTTGGAACTATTTCCATCTATTTAAAATGAAATAGTGTTTATATATTCAAAAAAATGGTATGCTTTTGGACCATATGCACACTCACCACTGCTGTTCTTCATCTTCAGTCACGGTGGACGAGCGGTGCTACCGGTTCTCCGACTGCGCCACCTGTACAGCCAACACCAACGGATGCCAATGGTGTGATGACAAGAAGTGCCTCTCCGCCTCCAGCAACTGCACCTCAGTGAGTGGTCCACCAGGGGGCGACGGAGCACTTCTGCTCTTCTGAAACATTAGAGCCGAAACGCTCTTTGCCGCCCTGTCACTTCTATTTTCTTTTTTTTTTCCTCTTCATCTGTAGAACGTGAGGAACTTCACCGAGTGTCCGGTGCGGAACGAGCACGTGTGCAGCAAGCTCGCTAATTGCAAGAGCTGCTCGCTGAATGTCAACTGTCAGTGGGATCAGAATCAGTCCGTGTGTCACGCTTCGCCGGGTGAGACGGACACCGGAAACACCAGCGCATTTCCATAAACACAAACGCACAACATCTGATTGAACGGTTTGGGTTCAGATCGGGCACAATCGATGATGCTGTATCTGTAACGCTTACTGTTTACGTGATCTCCTTGGTGCTATGGGTAGAGTCTTTCTCTGCGGGTTAGCACCTCATAACAGAGTAGGCACTTATGTTGCCAGATAATGTTGGGTCGACTGTAATGAATGCCCCCACTGAGACTGTGACCCGAAAGGGAATATTTAAACAGATTTCCATTAAGTTGAGGATTTGTACAGTGTACTGTAAACAACATTTTGTTATTTGCAGGGATGTACTTTTCAAGCTGTCATCCCGATGTTGTTTATCAGTTCTGGCAGATTATTAAGTTTACCTCTCACCCTCCCGAATGTTGACTCAGACGGAGTCTGAAGAATTGTTTGCAGTCGCTTCATAATTTCACTTGGTGAAGCCTTGTCGCCTGAGGGCTTGTTGCAGCAGTGGAAGCTGCACACACACACACACACACACACACAGACGTACTGTGTGTGTGTGTGTGTGTTTTATTCCTGGAACGGGTTCAAAATGGATACATGCATCTAAATGACAACCACTATATTTCAATGAGAAGCAATAATTTACTAGTAATTTGGCTTTCAAAAACAATCTAATATCTAATGTACCTTTTTATTGTTCTTAACGTGGTAGCGTGATTGTAGTAGCGCGTGGTTGAAAACGTCCTTCTCTTTCTTTCTTCCAGCCCAGCAGTGCAGTGAGGGATGGAGCCAGGTGGGGGAAGCCTGCCTGAGGATCAACTCCAGCCACAAGAGCTACGACAACGCCCAACACTACTGCAAAAACCTCAACGGGAACATCGCTTCACTCACCACCTCCAAACAAGTGGACTTTGTGCTCGAGGAATTGGAGAAGCTCCAGCAACGAGACAAGGTGAATATACATTTAACATATACATATATATATATATTTTTCTATCAATTTATCATCAGAAGCCGGCTGATGGGTGTGTGGCGTTCAGCAGACAGAGGAGAACAGGGAGTGATTTTCTGCTCATCGAGCCTGTCAGTAGCTCTGATGACTTATGTATTCTGAGATGATTTTCTCCTGATGAAAGCTCTGCTGTCCCGTCTGATTGCGGCTCTGCCTTTTTAGCTCGTGCAATTTGTGACTTTTTGTGACTAAACCATTGTCCCCCCTCAAATTGCTCAAATTGTTTCCACTTTGCGCAACCTACGCGCTTTGTTTTTGACTGTGATGCAATTACAACTCGACAACAATTCCACGCTTGAGTTTCTGAGATACAAACACGACTATGCTAAGCCGCCCCTCGCTCAGTTTTGTTTTGCCGTATAGTGAAGTGAAGCCTTTTTGTAAAACCGCCACAGCTTCTTCTCTCCGTTTTGGCCACATGCTCTCTGTCTGTGGGCCCAGCCTGCTTTCACTTTAATCCAGAGTCGTGAAATTCCTTCCACCCAATAAGCACCCATATATGAACACATTAACGCAGTATTTGTGATGCAAATTCGGAATGTGTCCGACCCGTACTGTGATACGCCGCAACTAGAGATGTCGGCCCAGCAACGCAGTTGACCACGGCGCATTAATCAATCGTCCCAACAGCATCATGATTGAAGTGTCGCCATCCTTTAACGGGAAATGAGCATTTAAACTGCTCATCTGGCCAGAGCTGCACACCCACCTCACGCTGAAAGATCCTGCTCTATTCCTTAGCACATCTTTTGTTGTCATGCTGCCGGACTGAAATGTGCCTGTTTTGTTCCAAACCGAATCGTGGCACGCTATTCATTTCCCATCATTGTTCCATTACGTTACAAGACACATCCTGAGGGCGAAGAAGTAATCACCTCTCCAGACGTTTATTAGCATTCTTGGTCCCTCGGTGTAAATGGCACGCTGGAGCTGAAAGCGCGTGGTCCGGCGTTGTGATACGAAATCTTCCATCCGTGACCCTGTTAAGGCCTTTTTCCGTGTTTAGCCTCTCGCTCCGTCTCCACAGCGGCTGTCCCCCTGGGTGGGCCTGAGGAAAATCAACGTGTCGTACTGGGGTTGGGAGGACATGTCTCCCTTCACCAACAGCAGCCTGCGCTGGCTGCCCGGCGAGCCCAGCGACTCCGGTTTCTGCGCGTACCTGGAGGAGCCGCAGGTGTCCGGCCTCAGGGCCAATCCGTGCACGGCCGCGGCCCGCGGCCTCATCTGTGAGAAGGCCACCGGTGAGAGACGCTGGCGCGTGTGTACAAAATGAATTAAAGAGGAAAAACCATAGGATCTGTAGTCTGAGTACCTTCCTCTCGTTCTGTTACCTGTCCAGGAAACCCCAATCAGAGTACCCGGCCTGCCTGTAAGAAGCCCTGCTCGCTGCACACCAACTGTGCCAACTGCACCAGCCAGTCCATGGAGTGCATGTGGTGCGGCAGCACGCAGCGCTGCGTCGACTCGACCACCTACGTCATCTCGTTCCCCTACGGCCAGTGTCTGGAGTGGCAGACTTTGGACTGTGTGGGTAAGGGCCTTCTTTACCAAACGTAATCCCCAGGAGCACTTTTTGAGTCTGCGGTCCGGCATGAAAGCGGTCAGAAGCTTTCAGTTGGTCTTCAACGTTCATCAACTGCAGGAAAATAGGGGAAGGCGTTTGTGTCAGTGAAAAATGGTGTCAGTTCCCTGTGATTGGCTAAGGTAGCTTTTTTAAATAAAAATAAAATCTTTTTAATGTGTATGTATGTAGACCCAACTGTTATATATTCCCCTGTTGACCCCGATGCTGCGGAGGGACTATCACTGTTAGCTCGTCGTAAGAGGATCAAACGCAGTCTCTTAGAAGCCTACAAAACACAGAAGGAATGGCTGCACGTACGGTATAATATGTGTGTAAAAAAATATGAGCAAATCTCAGGCCATCCCAATTTTTTAACCATTTATTGCCGCAGTTGTGTGAGATTGTAAAAAAACAAATTTAGGGAGTGTGCAATAAATTTGCGTTAGCTGGTGTTGTGAGATGTTTCTGCACTCTTTTTTGGCTTTTTTGGCTTGAAGGACAAAAAGGGTGTCCTATAAATTCTTTGTACCGGTACTTTCTTCCTTTTTTGCTCTCTCCGACTTTCACGTTGGCTTTAAAGGATTCAACCAGCACTTGAGTGTGGAATTACCTCGCTTACTTTATTCCTTTCCTGGCAGTGCACAGAGGCTTTCTTGACGCAGAGTGCTCAGCACACATGTACTTCAAACCAAACATAAATGGCCCATTTGGGCTTTGAAAATGAAATCTGACATTGCAACAAAAGTTTTTTTTTTTTTTTTTTGTGGCAATTTACTCTCAGCTGGTAGTTTGTTTATTTGCTATTGAGAAGAGCCCTTTCTAACCGTGGTTCTACCTATCTGACTTCTACCTCACCATAAAAGTAGCGATCCAGAATATCTCCCAGATCAAACGCGTCGGCCTCGCGTCTCTCCTGTGAATCCGTCTCCCCGAAGCTGCACGTCCTTCAGACAGAATTTTAAACGCGCACGGTCGAGTTGACTTTCTCTGTTTTCCTCGGGGCTTGATTGGCTCTTTGATAGCAGCGCTGGCCTGGAGGGGCGGGGGGGGGGGCTACAATGGCTCAACTGTACTGGACAATTGTTCAGATAGTTGCTTCAATGTTTTAGTCTTTTTGGGGAGTTTTTTTATGCCAAAAACGCAAATACAGTTTATTGATCAGAAACTGGTGTCTGATCCGTCACCAATACGACACCCAAAGCTCGGGTATCTCAGTGGGACGGAGAAAAGATGGGAGAGGAGCACCTCTGATTAATGATGATTGATTAATTCATTAATCTGTGACTTCTGGGCTGTCGGTGTGAGGATGTTGCTTTGGGTTCTGGGAAGTTATGATTGTTAATTCACACTTAAAAAAACAAAAAAAAAAAAATTATAACGCAAATTAACCAATTGTGAAGATGCAACCCTTTTCTTTTATTGTTGTTTTTTCTTTCATTGCCAACATCTTTCTGTATTGCGGCCATCGCATTATTCCCAAGTATGCTTTGGGCTTTCAATCTAGAATTCATTGTATTTTAAGGCGCCCAGGCTCGACTGCAGTGTAGAAATACTGAAGGTGTTTTTGTTTTAAATCGCTCTGGGCAGTTATCAGACACTGGTTTTATTTTTATGGAGTCTGCTGAACACCAGGCCCCACATTTAGTCATTCGAGCTTGCACGTATTGATTTATTGTCTGGATTTAGTTTTTATGGCGGGTTTTGTGTTTCAAAATGCTTCTTTTTTTTTTTTTGTCTTTCGTCCTGCTGCTTGAGTGAGAGATCTGCCACTCGCCAGCAGTCGTCTAAACAAACCTAAATGGCTCTCAGTACTTTGTACTGATTGCTCTCCGCCGTTGCCATGGCTTCACATCCATTAGAGGAATAGCTGTAGATTTGTTTGACATAAACTGAGGTAAAAGCACTTGGTGTTTGTCTCCTTGAAACAGAATGACCCCCCCCACTCCCCCCTTCAAGTGTCTATCTGGCAGAGAGGTGGCGGCGTGAAACTTGTCAGTTTGGACTTTCAGGCCACTAAATTGCTTGACAGCACGGCATCGGCCCTCTGGGCTCAGAGCGAGGTGCCACTCGGCTCATCACATTTAAGCCTTTCACTGAACTTTGCTCTAGTCGTAAAACTTCTGCCTCATTTCTCTGCCTTTTTCGCCTCTCAATCAACTGTTAAACGCTCCTCCGATAACCACCTTGAGGTTTTCAAAACACCTTAATGCTCCTTAATCTGCGGGTCCTGTTGAGCGATAAACAAAATACCAAAGTTGTCTTTTTTTTTTTTTTTAAAGGCTTTCTGAAAAAATATAACCCTGAGAGCTAGAATAAACTAGAAGATAACTAACCAGGTAAATACAATGAAAACAGATCGACAAAGGAATATGAAAGAATATAGAAATCCCTTTTTTAAGATAAGATAAAACGGTAAGAAATAAAAAACAAGTCCCTCACACTTCATGCCTCTTTTTAATTATTTTTTTCCTTTAGCCCAGAACTGTTCGGGCCTGCGGACGTGTTCCCAGTGCCTGGAGCAGCCCGAGTGTGGCTGGTGCGGCGACCCCAGCAGCACGGGGAAGGGACTGTGCACCGAGGGGTCCTACCGAGGGCCGATGAAGAGACCGCTGAAGCAGGGCCAGCAGATCTCGTCCGGGGACATGATCCTGGAGCCGGGCGTCTGCCCCAAAGACAAGGGCTACGAGTGGGCCTTCATTCACTGCCCCGGTAAGGGAATCCACTTCCCGAGGGTCCGACTGAAATCCCTCGATGGTTTTGTCACCAGCGCGTGTTCCTGAGAGGTCGTTCTCGCCCATTGACTGTCGCGTTCTTATCGAGGCTTCATGTTACAGCTTCCCCCGTGCAACTAATCCCTCCCTCCTGACTCTGTGCAACCTAATGCTCGTGTGCCATTTAATGGCGTCATCGAGGCCACGTCATGTAAGACGAGGACGTGAGGAGTGCTCGCCGACTCAGTGGTACCAGGAATGCGTAAAAAACGTGCTAAGTGAGCGACATGTGAAGGTGTTTTGGTAATATTTTTCCTTATTATGGGTATACGCCTTAAGTTGCACACCTTGATGTGTCTTCAAATGAACCATTTGTCATTTCAATGGTGGATTTTGATGGTCTCAGTTCATATTTAATGCAACTGAAAATAAATTCTGACAAAGTTTACTTATCTTACTTTAAAAAAAGAAATCACTTATTTGTAGTCGTCCTTTTTCATTAGTTGTTGAGTCTGTATTTTCAACAATAGGAGAAAGACATACAGGCTAATTAAACAAATAATAATTAAATTGTAATCAATGACGTGGCAGGCACAAGCTATTTGACAGCTCTGATGGTGCCGCTGCTTTTTCCCTGGAAACGATAACGACATCAATCACATTAACATTAAATTCTATTGGTCTGCTGTGAAATCCTTGCAGTTTAGAAGCACGATCAAAACGATTGTGTGACCCGGACACAAACGCAGGATAAAGCCGCTTGTCACCGCACCGCTGATTTGTTAAAAATAATAATCCATGCCGGCCTCGGCGTGACCGCTCTCTGTTTCGTCCTCAGCGTGCCAGTGTAACGGCCACAGCACGTGTGTAAACGGCAGTGTGTGCGAACAGTGCCGCAACCTCACCACTGGTCCTCACTGCCAGACCTGCATGCCCGGTTACCATGGAGACCCCACCAATGGCGGCAAATGCCAAGGTGAGTGCACACGTGAGACTTAATAGATTTACTTTATTTTACTTTATTCGGACCATAGCTGCAGTGTTGGTTTAGGAAAATTAAAACTCTTTAATTGTTGGAATGCATTAACGATGCATTCCAAGTATTGTTCTTCGAATCTTTATTCTTCAGCTTCTTCTTCTATTTCTTCCGCGGCACCTTTCAACTCCTTCACACTTTCAGCTATTTAAACCGTTCAAATATTAAAATGTTCAGCTCCTTTCTGGCTTGAGGGCTATGACTTTTCAGCTTTCTAGCTCTTAAGCTTGAATTTATATAAATCAATAATCATTAATATTTTAACATGGTTTTCAAATGGAGTTTGCTTTTCAAATCCTCTTCAACTTCTTCAACTTTCAGATTTTTCAGCTTCGCCAATCTTTCAGCTACAGACACCATTTCAACTCTCAAATGCTGACACAAGTCTCAACTATTTTATGAAAAAAACTGCTTCTTGATATCTATTGTACTTTTTTCATAATCACTGATTATGTTTCACTAGTTCTTCGCTCCGTTTCTGACTTTTACATGAGTGTGTATTGCGTCTGCTAGAGTGGAGAGCTCGAGGCTAGAGTGTGGGGCATCGCAGGAATCTGGTTAAAAAAATATGGAACTTTTGTCCTTGCAGCCAAAGTATACACTCTAGAGGCTTCATTTCTTCAGATTAATGAGGGTATGGTTGTGCTGATTGGATTAATGTGTTCATGGAATCCCAGAGTTTTTTAGTTTTGGCGCAAGGAGTGTTTGAGTGACACAACCTCTGCCAAAAGCCCCATAGGCTCCAATACAAATCTGCCGACATATTTCTCACAAAAATCCACAAGGTACACGTTCTGTCAACGGCCATAGGAGCCGTATTTATTACCAGACAGACATAAAAAGCACATCCACGCGTTCGGTAGAGTCTTGGGTCTCATACAAACGTAGTATTTTTTAGATAGCTGTTATAGTTTTGCACTGGTTCTCATTTGTTTGAGGTGTGGATTCTGTGTAACTCGCTGTCCTGTGTCTGCCCTCTTGCAGCCGCACAGGTGCGGCGTTGTCGTGGTTACGAGCACTCACATGCTGCAGGATCTGTATGTGGCTCACAGCTGCTCCTTGTGACCTGATTAGTGGAGTCACATGACGCAGCTATGCTTTCTGTCAACAGACCAATATGATAAAGACACTCGCCCCCCCTCCCCCCTCCACCCTGACCTCTTCTCACTGTTAATCACTCAGTCAGTCAGTATGTCTGTCTATTTCTCCTCCTCTCTTTCTCCCTCTATCTCTTCCTCACCACCCCTCCCTTCCTCACCCTCTCACCCTCCCTCCCTCTATCTACACCACCCCACCCCACCCAATCCAATAATTTCAAAATAAAAGCCCCATGGAGGGAATTTTTACTGTAATGTTTGTGATGAGGCCTATTAATTAAAAACTTCTTAGTTTGAATAACAAACATTCTGTTTCCCAACCCCCCCTCACCCAATTCCATCATTACAAACTAAAAGCTTCAATGATTATCTGTACCTTAACCATGAAGCGGTTTCGTTGAAATACGCATTGCTCTTTCAAATACTACTATAACCACTACGAATATTACTAGTACTTCTAGTAGAACTACAACTGATACTTCTACTACCATACTACTAGTATTTCTACTGCTATTAATACAACTACTACTAATGTTATTAAAAATACTACTATGGCTAATAGTATCAGTATTCCAGCTGTTTCTACTGCTATTGATACTAAACCGACTTCTACTGCTAGTACTAATACCCAAATTACAACTAACATTACTACAAACAATTTTAAACCTCTTTTTATTCATCTCAGCTTTTGTTATTTCTGTACTTTTTAAAATTCATTTAAGCTCCTGCAACTTCTGTTTTGCAATATTTCACATTTATTTCAGCTGTTTTCATTTCTGCTTTTTCAGCAAATCTATTGAAATTCCTTTCAGCTTCTCCCATTTCTGTATTTTCAGCTATTTCAAATTAATTTCAGCTTTTCTAATATCTTTTATTTCAGCAAATGTATTCAAATTCCCTTCAACTTTCTGTATTTTCAGCTATTTTTAAATATTCAGCAAATGTACTCAAATTCCCTTCAACTTTCTGTATTTTCAGCTATTTTTAAATATTCAGCAAATGTATTCAAATTCCCTTCAACTTTCTGTATTTTCAGCTATTTTCAAATATTCAGTGCAGCTTTCAGCTTTTTGCATTCCAACGCATTTTCAGCAGGAAATGCTTTTTCTAGTTTCTTTTTAAACTTTGATTAGTACACAGTGTCATAGATAAAAAGTAGTGCAACATCTTAACCAACAGAGGGCACTATTGTGTATTGCTAAAAATTGATGACAATTGGTCGGTCTTGTTTGATTAATGAGAATATTCCTCCTTTTTATTGGGTGTTATTAACCGACGTAAATGATGTCTTAAACCGACATCTCCTCCCTATTGGTTTACTTGTTAAATATGAAGCGTTTTCCCGACATTAAGAGCCGAGGTGAAACACTGTGGCAATTGTAGATGAAGCTCAAGGTCAAATATGGACGCCTCTGTTTTTTCAACCCCTGAAGCCCTGCTCTGTTCAAAAAAGAAACACGGCTCTTAATATCGAATCGAGAATACACACGGACGCACGCATACAAGACTGTTGAGCTCTTGAAACATCGACAAAATAAAGGCATGCTACGAATTTTTGACGCACATCCCTACTGATTTAATTGTTGTACTAATTGTCAAGTTGTTGTACTCGGGTTGTTCTTTCTGCATATAAAAGTGTTTTGATTGAAATTTGGATTGCACATAATGCAGATTTATTATCCGTGTCTCCTGCTCGCTGCAGAATAAATTTGCTGGAGTGACTGCGAGCCATAATTTATACTGCATTCATGTTTACAAAGCAAAAGCGCGTAATGCTCGCTGAATTTAATGTGGCGAATGGGTGTAAACATTAATCTGCTGGCAAAGGAACGGGCCTCTAACTAAATATGTAATAATGCTTTGTGCATTTGATAGCTGTCACGGTTGCATTAGTAAGTAGATATAAGATGGTGTGGTAGCTTCCCTGTTCATGGGGGGGGGGGGATTTAGCCGCCGCACTGGCCGCTTATGAGACATGAATAGCATTCCTGGGAAATTGCAAGGAGGCTATTGTTTGAATTGCCAGACTGTGAGCGCGACTCCCCCCTCTCCTCCCCCCCCATAGACCCCGATAGCATTTGTTAATGCACGGGCTATATCTGTAACCCGTAGGGAGAAACTACACAGGTGACCTGTTAAGGGGGATTATTCCTCCCACTCATTCTGCATTCAAACAGACGAGGAATCCATCGCATATTCGGCCGCTCAGGAAGCCGCTCCGATCCAGTGTGACTTGCACACAGTGAGTGCAACTACCTCATTGTTTCGCCAGCGGTGACGCTCCGTTTAAAAGCCGTCCCGTCACCCGAAATGTTCCTGCGTAGCACCTTGGGGGAAATCTGCCCGAAGAAGGATCCGCACTGTGTGTCTACTGACCCTGCTGTAATGCACCTTCTCGTTGTTCTGAAGCTCTGTCAACCAAACACGAATAGGTCCGTTTTTTTGTCGCCTGCAGGCGCAAACCTGAAAAGCTGCCACACTAGAAGCACTCTCAATAGAGAGTCCTCTCAGACAACTATTTGTATTCCACACGCAGCCGATGCCTCGCAGGTATCGAAGCGTCCCATCTAGAGGGGGCATATTTCTTTTTTCTTTTTCCAGGGTCAGCCGGTCTTTTGGGAAATACACTTGTTTTCAGTATCTGCTTCTTTTCCGCATGTTCGGTACAGCGGAGGAGATGCCGCTAGCCTAGCTTAGCACAAACACTGCAGGCAATCATGGAAATCACTGACTGGTCTCGCTCTCGCTCTCTTTCTCACACACACACACACACACACACACACACACACACACCTCATCCATTGCTTTGTTTTTCTTCGATGCTAATCAACCATGTTCTCTGTTCTCCATTTCTGTCTGTGTGTCGTCGCCTCCTCCAGCCTGCAAGTGCAACGGTCATGCCAATGTGTGCCAGGTGTTATCTGGCAAGTGCTTCTGCACCACCAAGGGGATCAAAGGGGACCAGTGCCAGCTGTGAGTACAACACACACACATTGAGAAACGGACGAGGCTTGGACATTTTTTGGTGGATCTTTAGCTCGTCGCCTTCTCCGCCACATCTCATGGTTTTTATTAAATAGGTCACGGTCATTTCAAGTTGTTCTCAAAAGTTCCGACCTGCAATCGGAGGTAAAGAGAGAGCGACGGCGTTAATGTTCCATCTGAAAGCCACTGACTTGAGTTAATATCAATCTAAAGTCTGTCTCTGGGTGGCCTGTAGTCACGATGAAACGCTCTGGGCTTTTTAAGGGAAACCCGTTTTGACAAGTGAGACTGATGCGGATTGGAGGGTATTGCGGGCCGTGATATTTTGCCAAAAAGAAAATTTGACATTGGTTCTACAATTTCATCATCTTTATGAACAACTCTTTCTGAATATTTTAAAGAGCATATATACAGATTGAAGAAAGATGGAGTTGGCTCCTTGTTTTAATATAGCTGGTCACAATTATATCACAAAAACATGACATTTGAGCCCATCATAATAAGGTAGAAGCCGCCTAGAGCTTTTTTACTTTAGCAAGCAACCCTCTATTGGAGTGTTGTCCTGAATGATTCAGAAATACAGTATAGCTAAATAAATGTTAAAAAAGTTCATATCAATTCATGCATTCATTCATTTGATTTGAACTTTATTTTGATTATTGGTCAGAACAAACAAACAAAACTTAATTCATTATTTCCTTCATCCGTTGAAACTGGGAATTGTCTGACTTCACTGAGCCTTTTCTTTTAATTATGTAATGGGATTCACAGACTGAGGTCACAGGTCAAGAGCATTGATTTCCTACTCATACAAGGATTGGGCTGCGTGCTGCAACAACAGAAAGCCGTCAGTTGGCTTTATTGGCCAGGAACCCCACCTGCGGCACTATTTCTGCTGATGCGGTGGATTCCTCTGGTGTGGGAGGACCTTTTTCACTTAGCTGTCTGCTTTCCCAGTTGTAAGCAGAATGGACTGATGTTTTTTAATTCCCCTAATGCGGTAGGAGTTATGAAAGGGTCACTGGCATAACACACATGCCCACACACACACACACACACACACACAGACCATGCCTTGAGTGTTTCCGCTCTCTCTCTGAGACCACATCCCCAATTTTCTCTTAACATGTTCGGGTTTGTGTTTTGTCATCACTTTGTGTTGCATCTAAATGAACCGGAACCCTAATGATTAAAAATACAAACAGTTATATTTAAAAGTCAGTCAGACTAGATTCTTTTGACACGTCGTCTTCTCGCTGAATAAAATGCGGTTTAGTCACGTAATCCGTACGTACGAGAATTGTTGAAGTGTACATTCTGTAACAATGTGGATCGTTTTCATCCAATCTCACCATTTGGTCTTTCCTTACCTTTTGTTGATTGTGTAGTGGGACCATACTGTATGTTTTAATCACAGGTTGGTATTAACTTTAGTAATCAAATCTCTATCTGGTTGGTGGTGAAGTTGCTCTTCTATCTTCTAGACGCTCAGTAGATGAGAAAGCTGTAGTGTGCCGTTATGGAGCAGTGACTCATCTTTACCCACTAAGTGGGTCTTAGTGGGACGCATGACGTCTTTGCGAGAAAAGAACTCCTCTGTCTACAGCGCACAATGCTGCGCGACACCTCGGGAGCAAGTGGCAAAGACTGAAAGTCTCCGCCCCTTTGGAACCGGAGCACCGCATCAATACGGGGGGGGGCGAGCGAGCCCCAGCCGGCCAATCATCAAATAGGCACATATTCAGCCAGAACATGAGCCTAGTTGCCCCCCCACGTCCCTCCCCCTCCTCCCTTTTGCGTTTTCCCATTCAAACCTTTCGGACATATCACGTTTCATCCAAGTCTAATGTGATTTGTGTGATTCGTGTCGACTGACTCTTCCCCTTTTTTTTGATAATGCGATTTCCGGTGTCTCATTACATGTAATCAGCGCCAGACACCGCCCCCCCCTTCACCTCCTCAGCAGCAACCCCGAAACAAAGACCTCCACCCAAGGGTTCTCCTTCATCTCTCCACACGTGCGCGCGTTCACACATGCGGACGCCATTAGGCCCTCAAAATAATGGTCGCCGTAATGAAGCGAAGCGGCTCCATCAGTGCAGAATAAAATTGATTTTGAAAAGAAACAATTGATGAGGTCCACGCTGCATTACAGCGCGGGGAGTCAAACGAGCGGTCAGGGGAATATTTCTTATTGTGATGCCTACAAGTATTCTGGATTATTCTTGTCTCTGTCGAAGGTTCTGAATTGAGTGTAGATCAAATTAAGATGCAACGGAGGGACGCTGCATGAAGTTCAGACGCGTGCATGCAGGTGTAGATTAAATTAAGATCCTGCGTATGTTGGGTTGCGTTATACACTTGTATTTATTTAAATGGCCAAAGAGGCGGCGTTTGTCCCCGCGTCCTTTGCACCGCAGTGAAAGAGCACGCAGCTCATCTAGTACGCATGCTCACGAGCTTCCTGAAACCAAACCAGAGCTACAGCCACAACTTTTCTTTTTTCTTTTATTGCTCCCCTTTGATACTTGAGGTGTCAGAACACGTCTTCAGTCTCATGTGACTGACAGTGTTTTTGTGCGATGCCGTCAATAGAGAATGCCGTCTGTCCCGTGAATCCGAAATGCGATATTTTTAGAGGCAGAGTCACTCACTGTAACGGTTCTTTCGGCCTCCTCTTCCTCCTCAGGAGCAGCGTTGGTGTCTCTGACGTTTTTCATCGTCATATTCTCTTGTTTGGTGCACTTGTAGTTCTTCTCCTTCCGGCAGAGGGACGACGAGGTTCAGAGTCGATTGTGGACGGGTAAAGATTGAGGGAGGGCGCGAAAGGATGCATTGAAAAGGAGATAAGCAACATTTTAATCCAATGAACCCGGCCATATGTTCATCCTCATTACAGGCCTTTTGAAAGCCATGAGCCTCATTAACACACGCGGCGGGCTGATGGCGCTCTGTGAATGTTCAATTATTGTACTCGCCAGTCTGTTTTTGATAACGCCGCGATGTGGGTGTGTTTTTAAAGCTGTCGTGGCTTGAACAACACACGTGACCTTACGGGGCCCCATCGCACCCCGTCCCCATCTACTGATTCAGTAGGTCCAACGGTCTGAGTTAAAGGCTCTTTTTAAAAACGTGTTGATTTTTTTTTTTTTTAAACGTGTCAATCCAACTTAGCAGAAGCGTAAAGAGGCTGCGGTCTTAAATGGTGAGCGAAGATGTGCGACTTTTCCTCGTCAACAATCAGTTCATGTTTGTGTTTTTCTGTTCTGTTTCAGTCGTGAGGTTTGAGGCTTTAGATTTAGTGTTTGCCAACCAACAACAATGGATTCCAGGCAAATGGAACTTAGTAATTGTCCAATTTTCCCGCCGTGTTTGGCCCCGGGTCAGGACACTCATTAGCTTGAGTTATGGATTCATCGGCCTCGGGCGTTTTGTCATTTCACACTTGCTACAAACACAAACTGTGCGAGGTAATCATAGTTTTTTTTCCCCCTTTAGGAAATAACTAGTTTTTGTTTTCTTTATTAGTCACAGTTTTATATTTGTGTTATAAGACATTTTTTGCTTCCCTCACCAGCTCTTTAAAGGAGAAATTAAACTATTTCTTTCCTCGTGAAGCCCATTAGTGTCCTTTTTAATAACTGCTTCATGTGTAAATCCATCTGTATAACGGCGACAGTGAGGGTCTAGAATGCCTCAGAAGTAGTGTTTTTTTTTTTGTACGTCATTTTAAAGCTTCTTTTAGTGAAAGAAATGTTGCCATATATTTACAAATCATTTATAAAGACATGAATGACAAGTCCGTTGACGTGCTCCTAATAACATGTTTATCGTTCAGCTTTTGTTCCTCATCAACATTGTTTAAAAAGAAAATGTTAACCGGTGTCACAACAACAATTAGGAAGAGATATTGTGCACTTAAGATGACTTGGATCCACTCAACAACACGGTAATCCCCGATCTTTCTGGGCATTCACCCTTAAAGCGGAACTTTAAGAAGGCGACGAATCGAGGGGAGGCGACGAAAAGTGACGCGCCTTTTTTCTCACCGAGGTAAACAAGTGAGAGTTGGGAAGATGTTCACTCTGATCACCAAATGTGAATAACATGAGTTAAACTCGCCCTGGGCTTTTTCGAACCTGTTCCCAAACTCCACATCCGGCTCAGTCCCATCTGATCATTTCCTTTGATCTCTAGCTTTCACCTCTCAATGTGGGATCACATTTCTCAAATAATCAAGCAGGGAGTCATTTCCATAAACTGTGCCGTCTGCTGCGAGGTGCCCGAGGGATTCAACTTGGTACATTACCTTTTTAAGATGCCGCGCTCTGGGATCAGCACTGTGTTGCTTTGATAACCCCCCCCCCTCAAAAAAAAACAAATTCACTTTTAAGTAAAAGTAAAACCCTTGATGAGTCGCCAACAGCAGGAGTTAATGCGCTGGCGTACACCTTCTCCCTCTCAGTCTGTTAGCACTCTTCTTCATCTTATTCGCTCCTTCTCTTGTTTTTTCTTCCCTTCACTGCAGATGTGACTCAGAAAACCGTTACCTTGGCAATCCACTCAGAGGGACCTGTTACTGTGAGTAATTCTGCATGGGGGCCGTGACACACACACACACACACTTCTCTGCTCTCTCTACCTCCTCTCATCCGCTCTGAGCAGATGGAGCATTTTAGCACTTTGGCACCAGGGGCGCTTGTTCAGTGACAGAATGACTCGTCTTGAAAATGTCAAGTGCATCAGAAGGAGTGAGTGACTGAGCTAATCAAGGAGACGGAGGAATGTAAACTGCCCCCTCCCTCGACCCAATCGTTCATTGGTTTAGAAGGTTGACTAACTGTTAGTTTGTCGCGAGTGGGAAGCACAGATGGATCAAGGTGAGCGGCGCGTGAAGCCGCGTGATGGAAATAAAAAGCGGGAAGCACATGAAAATGGACAGCCGGGGCCCCGGTGGTTCCTGTGTGTGCTGTCCTATTGTTTGTTTGTGTGTTTGCACGACGTGGCGTCCTTCACGGTGCTGCGGTGTTTTTCTCTTTCGACATTCTGCCACTGACAACAGAGCCTCTGCCAAGTTCTTTCCTTTTTTTCCTCTTCTTCTTCCAAATGCCACAGCCTGACAGGCAGCTCAGCGAAGGGGAAGAAGGGAGCTGAAAGCTCAGAGCTTCCTTTGACCTCTGCGCACCGACGGGGCTTTCTAAATGGTTAAAACGGGACACCCCCGACCATCAGAAAGGCCACGCGGACTAGGCCGATCATTGTGACGTTATCTCTCTCTGTGTGTGACGTTAGTTGGCTTCTCCCTTTTTCGATCTCCAAAACAGTTTGTGCCGCCGCAGTCGTGTGATGGGAACGATTAGATGATATTTAATGGAGCGACACTCATTATTATTTTCACCTGATTTTAATGAGCACGAGTAAGAAAACCTTTTTGAATCCACGTAGTTGTTTTTTTTACAAACTGCTCGGATGAAAGACTTATTTATTCACTATGAAATGTCCGCTGCAAATAGTCTATTTCTACGGCGCTGCTTCTTTGAAAACCAACAAAAACCACCCGTGGTACAAATTGTAAACGAGGATGAAGTGAATCTGATGAACATGTGCCCGATATCGGTGACTCATTCGATACTTTATTAATCGCTCCGGGGGGATTATCGCCGCCCGCTGTCAGCGTCCGGTATTCCTACTTGTTCCCCACTCGAGGAGAAAATTGTAGCCCCTGATTGCCGCCGTTGATTACAGACATTTTGATTTCACTCGTCTCCACCAATGCCGTCTATTGCTGGGAAGTTTATCACCTCATGGCGTACTTCCATAGCGCATCCACGTCGGCCTACCAGTAGCCCCAGCTGGAAGCGCATACTGTTTACGTTCTGTCGAATGGTGTGAAAGGATATGAGACCTGTCCCTCCTGTCCCCTCCCACAACAACAGACAATCTCCTGATCGACTACCAATTCACCTTCAGCCTCATCCAAGAAGATGATAATCACTACACTGCCATCAACTTCATGGCCTCACCTGAGCAGGTAACTACACCCGAGAAATGAAGTTATGTGCTTCCAACTATGATGCTCCTGTGTGCTGTTATCACGTTAATATATTCTATTTATGTTCTGTGTCTGAAGGCCAACAAGAACTTGGACATGTCCATTAATGCCTCCGAGAACTTCAACCTCAACATCACCTGGTCGGTGGGATCAACAGGTACTTTTCGCTTCACTCGGCAGTTCAGTCGAGTCCTTGACGAGGGCTAAACGTCCAGGAAATCCTCCCTCTGTGAAAACACACTACACATGGGGACAATCTAAACGTAATGACTTCGGTCACGAATACCATCAGAGATGTAGAAGGAATTTGGGTTGTAAAATAAAAGTCAGGTGTGGTTTTTATTTTATTCATCACTTTAAACACTTCGACACTAGTCGTACATAGTGAAATAATCCCTTTGAAAAGAACACACACATATTACATAATAGGTCAAAACTTCATAATTCATTTCATAATTTCCAGTCAATTTTAGGAATTGTATACGATAAGAAAATATTTCCCGTGTTGCTGTATGGACGTCAAAACATTTGGTTTGCTGCCTCTTTAGATGTCCGAGCCGTCACACATCGAGTTCTTCCGTGTGGGCAATTTGCCCATTCTCAAATTCAAGTTTAGTTTTTGTTGTCGTAAATGTGCTGCTGTTTATTACAATAATAATAATCTATTCAGTCGGTACAGCGGCTAATGAAGGAACGATAAAATGTGATGTACCTGCTCTTGTCAGTATGTTCTCTCTCACTTTTGAGTGGGTATTAGAGGTCCCCAGATGAAAGACAACCAAGGACACTGCAGTGGTCCAGTGCCACTGTTTACACCCCCCCACCCCCCGTTCCCCTCGTCCCTCCTCACAACACTGACATTTCCAACCACTAAAACAACGTTAAACCCCCGCGCGTCCGCCCTTCCTCGCCTTAACCTTTTTTTTTTTCTTCTTTTTTTTTTTGGAGCATCGCCATTAATATTTGAAACTGCCCCCACCCCATCCCACCCCCACCACCCCACCCTCACAAAGACATATTGTGTCTCCGAAGGAACGGGAGCCTCTTCACAATCGACAAGAGCGTCGAGGCGCCTTTGGGTGGGAGGAGGAGGAGGAGGGTGATTTCAATTAAGATAAACGTGCTCACGTAGCCACACTCAAGCTGTCATTTCCAGTTCTTTTGTTTCAGGGCTGTGGGTTGGAATGTCAATGCGGGGGACCCGCTGACACGAGGACGAAAAAGAAGTGACTCGCAACGTGGAGATAGATCAGAAAATAGACTTTGGTTGGAGATGACTTTTTTTTTTTTTTTGTCCATGATGGGTATTTGGAAACTTCATTTTGAAGTCTATCGAGTGAAGCGTAAAATGAAACGACGCCCCTGCTGACCATGAAGGGATACGAACGCGTATTTCAAATAAGTAAAAGTGGATCTTTGCAGATATTTGTTGCTTATAAGGGTTAAGGGTTAAGGGTTATTATATGCTATTCTCTAGGTCTGAGATGTACTAAGTACATCAGCTGACGGCGGTGCTATGGATTCAAACGGTGACTACGTGTTAACATGACTCGTCGTGACCCGTCACTCTTCGCTTTTTCTCCCACTCCCATTTAACTGCGAAAAACTGACAGCATGTGTAATTACAGAATAAAGCTCTGCTCTGTTTCACGGGCAACCGGAATGAAGATGAATGCACTTAAGACAATGATAACAATAATTGCTGATGAGACATTTTGCCCGACAAACCCATTAATGGATTCATAATGATATGTTGCTGGCGGTCCAGCGCCATCCATCACTTGTCCGAGCGCCCCGACGGCAGCGTGCTTAGCGTGAACTCTTTGTCCCGACAGCTGGAACCATTTCCGGGGAGGAGGTGCCCATCGTGTCCAAAAGCAACATCAAGGAGTACAGGGACAGCTTCTCCTGTGAGAAGTTCACCTTCAGGAGCAACCCAAACATCACCTTTTACGTCTACGTCAGTAACTTCTCATGGCCCATCAAGATCCAGGTAAAAGGCTGACGTCGCCACGCGAGCCGATACGCTACCGCGTGGTGATCATCGTGCTATTGATCAAGCATTGATCCCACGTGAAGTACATAAAGAGAGTGTGGGGGTGGGAGGGCTCGTCCATGTTGCCGCTCAGGGTGATTCCAAGTGCACTTTATTCTAATTACAGATTTAATGAGCGATGGTTAGCTTGCTTATAGCTGCACAGCTGTTTTTTAGCTGGCGAAAGCAAAGCGCCGTTTAACCCCTGCGAGCCCTCTTTTCTGAATGGTGGCGATTGAGGCTTTGATGCGGCGGATGGAGCGAGAAAACAACCGGGTAGAAAATAAATGCTGTTTGTTGTTCTACGTTTGGGAAGAGCTGTCAATTAAGCTGTTGTCGAAACAAATACACCGTTTAGTCTTATAGAGGACGCTCAATGAGTGCTAACGTTCCTCCATTATTTGCAGGATGTTTTATTGTACATAAATGTTCACTTAAATATTTGATCAAGCGCAGGTATAGATGACGTGTGCGGTAATATGTTTATGCCAAGAAATGAATGGAAGCCATTCAGTCTGCAACAACTGTGTTGTTGTGTGTCAAAGTGAGACACTTACTGAGAAATATCATGGACAGAATTATTATTTCTTCTAATAGCACACCGTTCCCGATTTGGTAATTAGTCCACTTCCAGGTATTGATTTTTCAATTTGTTGTAGGCATCTCTTCCATGGGGCAGATTGGACCCCGGTATGGCGATGATATCTTTGGGGTCAGTCCACCGGTGGAGGTGCACCAGTAATAGTTTTCTATTAGATTTCCTGGCCAGCAGTCACTTATTTATTATGGACTGGCCCGAGCTGTTAAAGCAAATAGCTTTTTGTAACAGGATAAGGTCTCTGTATGGCAGCGCGGAGAGCATCGACCTGGACGAGATAAAGCAGAATTTGAGAATGCACTTATGAGCCTTGTTTTTATGGGTCTTACCCCGTAAAGCAAACATTCAGATCTGACATCACATGACATCACTAACCGTTGAGCATAATTGTTACCCGTGAGGACCGCTCGATGTAATAAACTAGTACATTCTCAAATCATGCTATCGATCGTCTCTGATAGAATTGAAATTAAAATAACCCCAAATGTATTGCTTTGACCTCATATTACATGAAAAGAAGGGCTGGTAACACTCAATGCAACTGGCCTACTCGCTAGAAAATTCCACAAAATATCTGTGTAATGTGTCCTTTTGAGTCACGGCAGCCATGTCAGTGAGCATCTCATTTCAGATCAGTGGTTCTTATTTTCTACTTAAAGTACGGAAGAGCCAACGGTGGGAGACGTTTAGGAGGACGATGAAAATCATCTATCGACGTCACTCCACTGAAGACTCTGTCTGGCCTCATACATCGCTTGTCAATTACTGATAACGTACACATATTAGTAATTCTTCTCGATTTTCTGCCTCATCCGCATCATCAAACATCAGTCAAACGTTCCAGCCCTAAGAGCACAGACTGTGCCCTATTACCCGAGGTTGTGTTTTTGTGCTTTGAGGGCTTCTGAATGAGGAGGCCTATCACAAGTAGCTGCCGTCTTCTTTGCTCTTCTTTTAATAAAGGTAGAATAAATGTTTCAGGTACATTAGCTCTCCGATGACTGGCAGCATTGCCAGAGAATACAGTATATGTTGTTAGAACGAAAAAGCAGGCGGGTTGTTTTATCGTTTTTGTCAAGGAAGAAAATCACAGAATTGTAAAAAAAAAAAAAAAAAGTTATGTTTTATTATTAAATGTGTTTTAAATAAAAAGTACTGAAGTTTTGGGCCACACAATTTAAAGTCGAAACTCTGAGAACAAAAGTTAGGACTCCAGTAAATGTTTCACATGAGGCCTTTTTCCTGCCCAGGCTCCCTGGATCAGAATTTAAATCCTTTAAAATGTATTGTTGCAAAAGTTCAGAATAATTGAGGGGAAAGCAATCATTTTTCAGCAGTTGTCGATAAACATAAAGCGTTGTGACCTTTTTAATTATTTAATTATTATTATTTAATCACTTTCCTCCACCTTCAAAGAGACATTTCTTTCCCACAAGCAGAAGCGGTCGCGTCTGTGACCTTTTAGCTCGTCCATTCTGCTCTTATTGCCGACTGTAACTCACGACACCATATTAACACGTTGTCTCGGTTAAAGAATTAAATCATATTCTTGACAACATAGATTTGATTGTTTTTTAGTTTTCCGGTACTACTGTACCTTTTTTTTGTTTTGTTACCAATGTTTATTTAATATTGGCAGGTAAATATTAGACTTCTCTTCTAAAGTGCTTCTAAAGTGCAAGGACAGAAGCCTTTTCGAAATAGCACCAAAAACTTTTCGCAGGAATGACGAATCTCAGAATAATGTTTTTTAAAGCTGTAGCTGGTAAAGTGTCATTTTTATCATTTTATTTAAGTTAAAAAAACGTGTTCTATCAAGCTCTGAGATGTGGTGGACTAGAAGTGTCAAACACAGAAGAAAAATACCCCCGTAATGTACAAAGAAAGGTCCAAATGTCCACCGTCTTTAACGTCTCCTCCTCGTCTCTTTCTCAGATCGCCTTCTCCCAACACAACAGCATCATGGACCTCGTCCAGTTCTTCGTGACGTTTTTCAGGTAAGCGTGTGAACTCCGCGCCTCTTAAATACACTCCGGAAGCATCAGCCAGAATCCTGTGGGTTTGATTGGTAACAGGTAAAGCAAACGGGATCAGCTCTCTGACGCGGCCCTTTTCTCGCAGTCTTGGTTGCATTAATCGGATAGTTCTCATAGTAACTGACCGTAACCGCGTTTGTTGAATTCATTTCTAGGTCCACCCCCCCCTCAACCCCCCCCTGGTGAAGCCCGATCGACTTGGGTATTATCTGTGTAGCTGTCAAGGTTGGAATATAAGACAGCCGGGGCCCGAGGGCCCTGCCCGTCTCTGCCCAGCCCACAATAACGTTCCATATAAGCTGTCACGCAGTCGGTTATCTTCTGCCTCCATCCGATCAAATTACAGTGGAATTGCCCCATCCAGGACTTGTTGGAAGGGAAGGTGGAGAAGGGCCAAGCTTATTTTGTCTGAAAAAAAAAAAACCTGTTGCTGAAGGCTTCTTGCATCCATTGCACAGGGAAGCATGTTAAAAAAAGTTTGTCTTTTTAAAGCAACATACACACCCGTGTATGTTGCTTTAACACTGTGTAACACCGTGTAACACTACTTCCTTCGTATCAGTCATCATCAATTTCTCTCCGGCGCATCGTAAGTTGTATTCTAGTGCTTCCTAAATCTAACGTAAATTAACCACAACAACCCAGCACAGCGTCCCCTGTTTGCAGCCTCATTTTCAGTCTGCATCCTGTTTATTATTATTATTTTTTTCTATTGTCATGCAGATTCCAATAATTATTTTGAGTGTTTTCTGTGTCCTTGCTCCCACTGACCCACAAACAAAGGGGGGTGTGTGTGTGTGTGTGTGTGGGGGGGGGGTTGGAGGGGATGAACCTGCGGTAAACATAATCAGCCTGATGACAAAAATGTCATATCACCCCACAGGGTTTCTAGACCTCCTTGTATGAGAGATAGAAGGAATGACGGCATGACTGGGAACGAGCGCTGTTTTCTCCTTCTGTTGATTTCTCCTTTTATTCAAATACCGACTCACCCTTTTCACCGCGAGCTGCTCCCAAGTCATTTTTAATTCCCCTCCCCCATATTCTTCCTCACGGATTCTTATACAATACTGACTCGCAAAGCACCGCCTGAGTTCCGATCTAATTTGAGTCTGACGGTTTTCTGCCTTCTGATGGGATGCTGTTGAAACTTGCTAATTGGCTGCTGGGAGCCTCGCGGCCTAATTTTATACTAATGAACCAGTGTCATTCCGCTCATATCTGTGTGTTTACACCATGTATGTGCAAAGAGAGGAATGCACTCCAAACCTCCTACATCAAACGGGTTGGGTGAAAGAAGAGTAAACTAAAAGTGCGTAATGTCCGTATGCCTCGGGTTTCAGCAGCCTCAGAGGCCAGCAGGTAGCAGGTATGGATCCATCCATCCGTGTGAGAGTCTTTAGTGGGATTCGACTGAGATCCATAAACTCAGGAAGTCATAGAAAGTATCCCAGCTTCCTAATGTCTTGCTTTGCTCAAAATAAAACAGGGAAAGTTCGCACCTGCTGTAACCAGATTTACATTTACTGGATTTACAAGTACTTCCTTACGTAAATAATTTCATATTTGTCCTTGAGGCGTTGGGACTCTTCTATTCTAACAGGAGAAGGAGAAGCAAAATGGATTAAAGCTTCTTTACTAAAATCCAAAATAGTGAAAGCCTCTCTAAGGATGTTTGTCACTTTCACAGCATGTAAATGTCATTGAAGCCCCCACAAAACTCCCTTTCAATCACTGTTATCTTCAAAGGCTGCGATGGTCCTTTTTTTTTTTTTTTGCCGTATAAAGGACTGTTTCCCTTCACTCAACACTTTCATCCCACTTTCCTTCTTTTAGCCTGATACACCCCCCCCCCCCCCACGTCCTCACAGACGTTATCGCCCCCTTCAAAGAATCTTGACCTCAGAATCCAGCAGGTGTAGCCGGGCAAATTGAAAGGGCACTCAAGTTAAAATATCAAAGAGACGGACCCGTGAAATCAGAGACCGGTCCCTGGTGAAATGGGCTTAGTGGACCAGGCCGCCCATCCCCAGGGCAGGGTGGGGGGGTGTCGACGTCGCTCATGTTACAGCGTGGTTTTCAATTCCAGATGTGATTCATTGTTCTCGCCCATCAGGAACAGGGCCGTGTTCCAGTGTAATTCAGCAAGTAGAGAACTATTACAGGGTGACGCTGACGTGATTGATTATTGGGAATGAAAAGTTTTTTTTAATGTTGGGGCCATTAGTTGGGAGTTAATCACGCCCCCCCCCCCCCCCCATGTGCTCCCTAAAGCTCACAGGAAGCGCTCGGGTGTCTCTCTAGAGCCCGGAAACAATGTCAACGCTCATCTGTCACGAGGATAATGAGGCGGAAGCTCTCGATCAGTCACATGCTCGTGTCCCAGTAGCGCTCGGACCTTGTTGAATTCCCCTTGACTAATGATTTTGCGTTTGGGTTATTAATCGAAGTAATCGGCCAAAATATATCTTTTTGGTGTTCAATCAAACTTTATTAGGGCTGCCCGGGTTGGGACAGAATTATCGTAGTCCTTTGAATAACTTGAGAAAATACTGTGAATAAAGACACAACTGAGATTTAAATGCTGATTTTCTGGGTTGCAAAGAACACGCGTGTGAACTTTCTCTGTGACGGCCGCTTCGTCTCGCTTGACATGGTTTCCTCTCTTTCCCTCCAGTTGTTTTCTATCGCTACTGCTGGTGGCTGCAGTGGTGTGGAAGATCAAACAGACCTGCTGGGCGTCGAGACGCAGAGAAGTAAGTCCATCAAACGTATTCTTTTGACGCGTTGGATACACTTTCAATGTTACCCAAGGCCAGTATTTGATGATGCCTTCCCAGCTTTTAAATAGTTATTTTCCATATCTTGAAAAGTGCAAAATGAGATTTAAGCTCACATTTGCATTTAAGTTTAGTTGAGTAGCGGAGGAGGTTTGACGGAAGCAGATGCAGCGACGCGGAGGGAAAGGGAGGCGGGACTAGTCATTAATATTCAGCGTTGGTATGAAAGCGAGTTGAGAAGAGCTGGACGTGAAAAGGGTTGAAGGATGAGATGACGGGCATTGGAAATGAATAAATAAAGGTGAGAAGAATGTGGTGCAGAATATTGACGGATGGAGCAAATGCATAAGAAATTCACCCCCTTTCGATGAACCCAAAAGCCAAACGGCATCGGGTGGTTCCTGGTTTCTGTAAGCGCCTCCATCATTTCCATTTTCTTCCCCCCCCTCGATGCCTTCTGATACCCAAGAGCAGGGAGTTTAATTTGGTGCACATCCAGCCTCGGGACCGGCTCTCTACTTATAAAACTCCCTCAACACATCTCCCCTTTGGGGATGACATCGAGATGCCTAAGATCCCGGTTTTATATCCTCTAATTGATATATGAAATTGAGGGTGTTTATGCTCTGCACTTGAGTCTGCATTCCCTGGAGTCCGTCGATTCAAAGTGTTCACCGTGTATTTTTTTATTTGAATCACGGCACCTGAAGTTCTCCGGGACCATCCGTCACTGGCAGCAAAGGCAAAATGATTAGAGGTTTGAATGGAATAAATGCAGAAAAGCCTGAGGTCAGACCGACATTGTGATCACTTGTGCAGTTAAACCCTTCTGACACAAAAGGTTTCCACCACATGGCTTCATGGACCTGAGAGAAATAATACCTTACGGTTCCTCGTGGCCTTTTCAGCTGCCCTCCTTTCAAGTAGAATGTTTCTCTCCCTGAAAGGTGTAAAAGCCTCGAGGACGACGAGGCTTTGCGCCTCATCTTCAGCTGTTTGTGTGGCTGTTCTGCAGTCCAGATTTCTATAATGGCCAAATCGGTACAATCGTCTTTATTATTGTCTGAAAGAAGGCTTACGGTAGTAGCTACGATGTCAGATGCAATCGATTGTAAGCCTTTTACGTTCATCCAGACCTCCAATCAACCAGCGTTTGTTCTGATAAAAACCTCCCATTCAGGATCACTTCAAAGTGACGCATTTCACAAATGGATTTCATTTCTGTGCGGCTGTGGCAAAATCTAAAATGGTTGAGGTGTGAAACAATGCTGTGAACAGCTTCCGGCTTGGATCCCCTTTTGTTTGATCAACTCTTTTATCAGTGTCTGACAGGTGCAAACATAATCAATCACTTCAGGTCTTCTGTTGGTAGCATCGGCTGCTGAGGAGGTAATTACGCGTGAATCCATCTCCGTGTCGCAGAAAGGACCGTCTTTGCTTTGGTGTTTGTTTCTTCCAAGCGAGACGGCCCTTTGGAAACACACTGCCCTCCTCCTTCAGAGCGCACGCTCGCCTTCGGATGCAGGGTTCGGCTGTTCAGCAAAAGCAAAGCCGCAGTTTTGAACAAGGCTTGCGGTGGGCGTCAAAAAGGATAACGCAAGTAACGGATGGATTTTGGGCCGGACGCCATCTAATGCTCACCGGCCCACATTTAACACAAGGACACAGAAGAAACGAGCCTTAATGAGGCTTCTGGAGACCAGTCGCCCATCCAGCCGAGGGCCACATGGAAGGCTCGTACCGATTGAACTTCTGAAATGTGTTTTTTTTATTTGCTTCCATATGCATTTGTGCACAAGTCAGGGTTGTTTGTCATTATTTCGGTGTTACGCAGTAACTGCAGAAAGGCCGTCTTTTATTTTAGAAGAAGTAGAATAGACTCGTTCCAAAGGGGCAGCGGTTGTATTTGATGAGGAGAGGTGACCAGATGTGTGTGTGTGCGCCCGCGTGCTGTAACAGCTGTAAATGCCACGGAGGAGGACGCGGGCTGACCTCTTTGAAGCTACCTTTGGGGGGGAACGGGGGGCTCTGACATTTCACAAGACTGCCACACTGAAGACGTTTCACACGCAAAAAATGTGTGTGTCTCTCTCTCTCTCACTCTCTCACACACACACACACACACACACACACATACAGACACGCAGATGCACACTTCACACATAACTACTCGTGTGCTGACCGTCATGCAGAGCGCTGTTGTTGTTTTTTTTATTCTTTTTTTTACCCGCACTCTAAAAGCACTCAAAAGTGTTATTGAGCAGCGGCTGCCATGAACCGACATGTTTAAGCATTCCATTTAGTAAATCCGTCAGTAACTACCTGTCATCTGTTTATGTAACGCCGTCCTCGGCCCGTAGGAGCCCCGGCGTCGGCCATGAAGCGGCCTGTTTTCGTTGACTGGGAAGAGACGCTGATGGACGCGAAGGCTTAAAGCGTCGTCCATAATGGTGCCGCGCTGAAGTAGTTCACCTCTTATTGTCTTGTAATTTATTCAGCAATGTTTGATTTTAGGATTACACCGTCGCTCCGTCGGACTGGCACTTTTGATTATTACTATGGGATGGATTGTTTTTTTATTTTAGACTCATCTTTTCATATCCATAAAATGAATGACCCGATGACGGGTCAGAAATGGCCTGTGATAATAAACATCTACTAGACCTTTTTTTTTCTTCTTTGTTTAAAATATGCTTTTACTTTTAAAATAAAAAAAAAAAAAATTTTTGGATGAACACTGCTCAGCCGTGTGATTTCCTGGATGCTCGCGCAAATACAGCTAAGAGAGCAACACATTACACAACTGAGAGCAACACAACCGGTGTTCCACGCGTCCCCTGAACGGCTCAATCAGCAGACATCGATCGCCGCGATAAGATTATCCTACTCCTAAGCTGCCGGTCACCTTGATTGTCCGTTATTCCGTTTGCCGCGTGCATTCCAATCAGAGACGATTGAGCCTGTGTGTGTGTGTGTGTGTGTGTGTGTGTGTGTGTGTGTGTGTGTGTGTGTGTGTGTGTGTGTGTGTGTGTGTGAGAGTTCAGTTCAGGATACGAGTTACCGTTTGGAACGTCAGAGGCAGAATTATAACATTTAATGGACATTTTATGAGAAATCATCCTTATTACAGATGTTATTAGCACAGTAATACATATTGTTCCTATTGCTAATGAGCTCTTTGTACCGCCGCCTACACCAAACCACTCAACCACACCGTCATATCTGTGTGTTATGCAGCTGCTGTCTACTACTCCGGACTGTCAAAGAATTTATTGTGTCTTATTTATTTTTGGATATGTTATTTTTTTTCTTCCACAAACCAGCGTCTTGTGTGCACAGCCAGTGAACTGAAAAAAAGGACAAAGTGACCTGCTTGGGTGTAAACTGGGCTCAAAGACGGGGTGACCCTCACCCTTTCATACCATCAAATGGAGGGCAAGAAAGGCTGTGTTCACAAAACGGATCATTTGTGCACCCACTTTCAGAATGAATCAAGTTGCATAGCAATGCGCCGCGTGTCCTCCCTTATCACGACTCTGAATGGCTCCAGCTTGTATCCCTGAAAAGAATCCCAGCGCTCTGCACAAACCGCAAATGCTTTTGCAGACTTAATGTAGATTTTTCCAGCATCTTCCCTGGTATTGTTCTGGCTCTTTTCGAGCACATTTTGATGATGCCCCTTTTCCTTACTTTCTGCTTCGGCTCCCCTCCTGTGCCCTGTTGCTTTAAAGGAATTCTGCAACATGATAAATAACATTACTGCTGTCTGACATTTAGGATGAACGATGTTGTATTTGAAGCTCTAGAGTTGGAGACCATAATAAGCCGTGAGCTGTTTTCTTGTTCTGCAACAACCCCGCCGGGCCCTCAATCCCGCTTTTATCTTTTGGAAAAGGGCAAGAATTTCTCATTTTGACCCGCGGTGGCCCGGCAGCTCAAATCTATCGGTTATGATGTTTAATAGTAGAGTTGTACAGCAATCTAACATCGGCCCTCAGATTTAAAGTTTTAAAATCTGAGCCGCAAAAAGGAAAATCGATCAAGTGATCAATCTCAATTTCAAATGGCCGTAGGTTTTTTCTTTTTCTTTTTCTTCTCGGGTTTATGTCCCCGAGGGAATGTTTTCAGAAGGGTCCTTACATGGAGATGACCGCCACTTTTCCCCGACTGTACAACCGGCCTGTAAAGGAACGTTTGACCACACAAGGATTGTGTATTATTTCTATTCCATTTGTACATTTATGATGCATAGAACATAATTAAAACTCACTGCCCACATTTGTCCTTTCAAGGCCTTTTCAAACATGTTACGCAAGAATATATGTTGCACGTGTGGTATGCACATGGCCCAGCTGATGTGTTTTATTGTTTAATAAAAAATCTGTAGATGTCATGAGGTCATTTTACTGCAGTTAAATATTAAGGGGGAAATACAAAAGGCTAACTAATTGAGTTTTATGGTTGCTTTCCATTCAACATGTTCCAGACCGGTCATAAGGGCATTTATTTTAAAGGTTTTCAGAAATGCTGATTTGATCAGCCTGTTCGTCCTGGTAATGGGTCACTGTTGCCTCTCAAATATCTAATCAAGGTTTTTAATTGAATACCACCATTTCCATCAGCTTTAATGATTTCCTGTGTCCACCCTCAGCAGGACGATAATGCGTGAAAGCGGTGCTCTTTTTTTTTTTTTTTCTTCTTTTTTTTCTCTACTGCGTCCCCCAAGACGCTGACTTTTCCCACTTGTTGGATAGCACAATGCTATCAACCTCTCCAGCTCTTCTTAATTTTGACAATTAATATCCAGACTATGAGTAGGGGGGGCGGGGGGGGTCTGGTCACCAGAATATCCGGCTTTATTATTACACCAAGGACAAATCCCCATTGAGGACGGAGGCCACGAGAAAGCTTCCCATTCAGTCGCTCTGTTTTACGTGTGATCCAGTGACGGTATGAGACAATTGGAAACCGCTTAAACGCTCTAATCAGTCGAGTCTAGTACTTCTGAAATCCCAGGTTCCCCCTGAAGGGCCCAGTTGAAGATGTGCTTCTTGCCATTGTAGCATTTGATTTGATTTCGTCTCTTGTCTTCTGGCCAATTGACCCCTCGCGTAGCTGCACCCCCCCCCCATGGTTACCGTTGCTATGCTGCACAAGCAGCGCACAGCGATGACGGACGACCATCTCTGACGGTCACTGGCCGACCTGATCAGCTGTTGCTCGCTAGCTTTCTAAGCTACCGTTAGCTCCATGTGAGTTGAGATAACCGTCTCCGGCTGACTCTTTATATAATGTCCACCCGTTGCATTTTATAACAAGAGCCCCATGAATAGGATTGTATGTATGCGCAGCAGATATATGTATGTATGCATCCGGAAAAGCAGATTCCCATGTAACAGAAACCGGAGTATGCGGCAGTAAACAAAAGGAACCCACTTTCTTTGTATTGCAGTGTTGAGGGAGTTGGTTCAAAGTTAGCTGATGAAATGCTCCTTGGCCCTTTGAAGTCACGCTGGGCTGCAGTGTTTTATTCAGTCGTTGTTGTTGTGTTTTGCGGTTTTCGGGAGGCTTCAAAAAAAATAAACTCCTCACACTTCCCTCCAAACTCTCTAAATGGCGGATATGATTCTTACTACAGGTGCATGCAGTTCGCCATGTTACGTTGCATAATTTTTGCTATGTCTCTATAGAAAATAATAGAATCTTTCTTTTGTTCTGCACTGTATAAAGTGCATTGGTTTTACTTTTTTATGGATGTTGGTGCCTCATTATTGCACTTCGAAGCTGTGCAGAGAAAGGGCAGGTCTTCAGGCCAATCATCAAGAAGTAATCTAAAGTACAATTAGACCCTAATACAGCACACTTAAACTCATCTCGAATCCAATATCAATCAGCGGTGTCCTTGGTGCTAAAATGGTGGCCTGTTTAGATATTGATCAGACACGGAGTTGCTGATGAAAAGTTTGTCGCGAGTTGTTTTACAATATTGATTTAATGGGGCTCCTTCCGTTCGGTCCCGACAACAGAAACCGTGTCCCTCTTGGGTGATAAACTGAAAACACGTACATTCAAATAAATAAGTAATGTATGCACAATGTTATCCTTCCATCCTTCTACCTGTTGTCTGATCCCACTAACCGCTCACCTGGTTTGATTGTTGCAGCAACTGATGAGAGAGCGTCAGCAGATGGCCAGTCGTCCCTTCGCCTCCGTTGCCGTCGCACTGGATTCCAGAGGAGAGGAAACCGAACTGCTGCAGCCTGTGCTCGACGTGAGTGTCGTCTGCTTGTTTGCACGCTCGCGCACACACACACACACTGACCATAACAATTGAGTTTTTTTAATTTGTTTTATTTTGAGTGATTTTAATTTCCTGTTTACATATTGCGGTCCAGTTTTCGCCTGAACACAAGTTGTTGCTTTTGACGAGCAACAAAGAGTTTGGCCGTGCCCCCCCCCCCCCCCTCGTCTTGTCATCTCAGCCCTGGCATCTGATACAATAGGTCTTAGATTTGTTAGTGTTTCTACTGACGTGCGTACAATAGTTTTGTGGTGCAACATAATTGGACCTTATTGTGGTGTAGTCAACCACTCGCAGTGCGTCAGCCTTTCATTCGCTGCGAGCGGCGGCTCTTTCTCCCCGTGTCCCTGTTCCTTTTATATGAGTTGTGTTCTGCTATCAGGCTCTCTGACTTCTTCCAATCAATGTTATACATCTTTTATGTGAAATGATGTCACATTGCCAATTTTGAAAAAGATTTTTTTTTTTTTTTTTTTCCCTCTCGTTCATTACTTTGAAAAGCATCACTGAATTGGAAAGATTTCCAAACGACGATGTCATTGTAGTTTTAACCTTTTTTCGTCCTCATGGTTTGTTCGCCGTATGGTCTTTACAGCCGTTGTGCTCGGCTGCCTTTTCCGTCCATTTGTCCGTGTCCGTGACCTCATATATTCCTACAACGTCAACAACCTCCCACCCGAACTACAAAATGCAGCCGAACGTGGCGGCGAGCGCCGTCTGGGGCTCGGTGACACATGGGATGAAAGCGTAGCTTAAGACAATATGGGGAGGCGCGTCTTTTTAAATTACCGTCGAAGGAGCAACAGTGTTTCCTCAGCCGGAGCCGCCGGTGTGTCACCCGCCGCTGAGAGAAATAAAACCACTGTGGCAGCCACGAAAGAGACCTTTCGCACGGCGCTAAGTGGTGCTCGGCATGCATTACGGCGCCGTGAAGGGCAACGTAAAGAGCAGAAGTGGAGGAAGAAGGCGCCTTTTAGCTCTCTCAGTGCACTTGAGTTGAACTTTGAAACGCGGAGGTTGTGCCTCGATCTGAGCGGTTTCACACGCCGCGGCTTTTACCTTATATTTAAGTTTTATGTTAACTACACACTCGTCGGTGGAAAGTGTTTGTCAAGCTGTTGTTTAATTATTTATTCCCCCCGGCGCGCTCCTCCTACTTCCCCAACGCGGCGTGCACACAGAGGCGGACGCTTTGCATCAAGTGGGGGGGAGTTTTGCCGGGAACGATGTCCCAAGCTGCATTGGAAGCGATAATTGGACAAAGACGGTTTCCCGTCTTCTGCTGACTGACCCTTTCAAGATGCAGAGTGAACCTATAAATGCTCGACTCTCTTTATTCTCGGACATCCGTCCAGCTTTGCAGGAAGTTACCACAAAACTTTTGTATCCTGAAAACACCTGGAGAGTCTGGACTTCCACGTGTGTGTGTGTGTGTGTGTGTGTCTGTGTGTGTGTGTGTCTTCTGTTTCTCAGCCCCACGCGCTACTGTGCCCGAAGGTATTTCACAAAGAAGCACTGTGGTGGAAGTCTTGACGGTGAATCCAGCATACATTTAACTCACCAAGCAGCTCCTCCTTCAGGGATGTCGGTGGATTCCTTCCATGCCAAATTCCCCAGTAGCTTCTGATGCCTCCCAAATGGTCTCGACTGACATTCGGCGCTGGGTGACGGCGGCGTGCTAATTCCAGACGCGCGCCCGTTAAATGGAACATGAATATCTTGTGTACGTACTCAAAGGTCACACGTGCATACCTTGCAGGGACGGCGAGTCAAACACACGCTTCTCTGTGGAAAATGTGTGTTTTCAGAGGTCATACAGTCGCTGCAGCACTTACTTACTGATTACTAGATTAATGAATTTATTCCACTTTAGTCTGCAGGTGCTGAAAGGATTTTCATTAGGCTGATGTGTCTTTAACTGATGAGTTTCTGTGTGTGTAATATATATATATATATATATATCTATATATATATATATATATATAATGTGAAGTCATATTCAGCCAAGGGCATAGTAGCCTTTGTCAGCTTTTGTGTATTTTGGACTCATCCCGTAAGGACAATCGACATCGTTTGTTGGACCATATACAGCTCCATCGCTTACCTCGCCTCTAGCTGAGGGTGAACCACATGAAACGAGCCTAATTGTCTTTTTATAAAGGTAAATTGCTCGGCATCTGGCGCCACTTAGCCATCGTCGATGTCAAAGAGGACACTGATGTCGCGCTAATATCACTGGTTTTGCAGACAAAACACCCTTTATTTAACCTCACATTAGGGCCACATCTGTTTGGAAATCTGAGGTTTGCTTGAAATTTTTCTCTTCGTGCTTCAGGGACAAAGTTGAGCTCAGAGTTTGTAGAACGCACCGAGAGACAGAGGGACAGCGGCACTTTGTCCCCAGCTCTCGGTCGCCGCGACCCTCCAGCTGGTCTGACAGAGACGGCCTTCGTTCCCATTTCCTCCACTTTTGGCCGGTTTTGAACCCCCCACCCTCCCCTTCCCTGGGGAGACGGCCATTGCTTTGAGCGACCAAGATGGCAGACGCCGCTTGTTTCCGGGAACAGGGAGCCAGTCGAGGCGCGAAAAGTGCGGCCTTGTTCTCGATGTCACAGATGTCTCAATTCACTGTGGCCAGCGTTCGACATATGGAACCACTAACGGGCAGCTAGTGTGATGGATGACGCGTGTCAGCGAAGGCAAAGCGCGTGTGTGTGTGTGTGTGTGTGTGTGTGTGTGTGTGTGTGTGTGTGTGTGTGTGTGTGTGTGTGTGTGTGTGTGTGTGTGAGTGAGAATGACCTCCATACGGTAATGCAACGCAGGAATGCAGGATGTGTAAACCTCCTCTGCAAGGTGTTTTTAAAATGCCTATGATTGGAAATGAAATGATTCAAAATATTTTTTCATTTAATTTTGAATTAATACATTTTCCCCTGCATTTTAGGAATATTTTTTGTCCAAGATTAATATCAGTATTTCGGAGGAAATAGGAGTGAGCGAGGAGAAAGAAGGTTCTGTTTTTACGGCCTTCCACACAAACAAAGTTGATTTGTTTTTCCTTGCAAAAAAACCCCCATAATGATGTGACTGTACTTATGTAGTTTGAAAAATTGCACAGCAAACATTGCCTGCCTGTGGAGTAGTCATCATTTGGTCACCCAATTAAAAGACAAGAATCCATTCTAAGCAATAAAATCCGTAACATTCATGTTAATACTAGTTATGTTACCGACTTACAGGGAACGTTCTTGAGTTTTTTTCAGTAGATTGCATGAGATCCTCGTGCACAGTCAGTGTATCACTCATCGTAGATGGGGGTCGGGACGCCTCTGAGACCTGCGCTGCAAAACGTATTTACACGCCGACGAAAAAGATCTGCTTTACATGAGTTGAATCTTCCATCCTGAAGCAAAGCCTTTTTTTTTAGGCTAGATAAGAACTTTGTGGAAAGAAATCCCTAAAATTGTTTTATTCTTTTGTGTGTGCGCACGAATGTGGCGTGTGTAGCTATTCGTTAGCGGCATCGCTTGAGTGGTCATGAAATGGCCGGCGATTTTAACGGCCCCTGCATGGATCCTCCATGGGCTTCTTGTTCGTACATACACCTCAAGAGCGTTTGGATCATTGGGCCTAATTGGGTTGAGTAACAATGCACAGAAACAAATCTGCCTGCAACGCTGAAATATGTATGAATAATGTGCCGCATCAGTGGGTTGAGTTCTTCCGTTTGAAGCGAAATCGCTCCTTGTAACGGAAGCACCGAAGTCACGCGACCGCGGCGAGGAGCGTATAAATGTTGGACTTGCTCGTGCCGCTTAACGGGCGATTTAGCGATTACAGTTTGTGTCCTTCGCGTTTGAACGTACTTTCCTGTTGCACCGTGACTCACCTTTTGTGCTGCTCTCCGGTCACCTCATCTTTCTGTCCCCGCGCATTAGTTCCAGGTGATTAGTAGTACAGGCAAATGGAAAATTACCCGGGCCCATTCTGACAGCATTCATGACCTCGGCAAAATTATTCTAATTCCCAAACGAGGTCAAAAGCCACGCACCTCGGAAATCGGCGTTCACTAAAAACTCTGTTGCATGATGAGAAAGTCGTCGTCGGTTGCACACGGAGACTAAGAAGCGAACTGCAGATGCTCCACAGGAAACGTTTCATCCCAAGTTACACCAGACAGGCTCTTTGTGTGCAGCTTGTCGAGGCACTTCAAAATACACACGTCGGATCGTTGTTTTGCATCAACAACCAACTCCAGTGGAACATGTCTATACAAAGGAGCGCCCCCCCCCCCCGCTTCTGGTCCGCTCTGGTTTTAATGCACGTGCTTGTGCATCCTTGTTTTACCAGCACTCTGCATCCGCCGACTCTCTCTCGTCTCCATTTTAAATTCAGCCTGACGCGTAAAAAAAGAAAAAAAAAACCTCTATTCAGACGTGTTATTATTCCCCAATTTCTATCCCCTCATCCAAAACGTGCTGCGAAAACCCCTGACATTCATTATCGGGATGACATGTTTTTCACGCTTGAGACGAGCAGTTTTGGCCATTAACTGAGAGGGGAGGTCATTGCCACAACACGTGGACCGTCTGACAGACACACACACACACACACAGGATTGCTTTTATTGTGTGACCAATCAAAGCATTTGTCTCAGGAGGAGGGCGTCTCGTCTCGGCAACTTGTGCGGCTAATGTCGGACTGCTTCTTCTTGTTGTCATGTTACGACTTTCCAACTGAGACGACATGCAGGATTAGTTTGGTGAACCACTCGGGGCGATGCAGCACTTGCATCATGCATACCGGCATCACGCGTTGCTGTTATTGGTGCGGTCAGTCCAGGAAAGAGGACTATTTCTCATTCTGGAATCCAAAATAAACTGGCGGCAAACGTATTTCCTTTTGTTCTCCACCGCCTCCTGAACTGGTGCCTCTTCTCTTGTCAGGGTGCACCCAAGCCGGTTGCGATGGAGCCGTGTTCGGGGGGTAAAGCTGCTGTGTTGACGGTCCTCATGCGTCTTCCCTCCGGGCTCTCAGACCTACCGCCGCCAGGACAGTCAGGTAACGCACACACACACACACGTGCGGCATCGTCCCTTTTAGTTTGTGTATATGGTCTGCAGAGCACCTTGAATATTTACTACACGTCGATGTGAAAGGTCGATCGTATTTCCCTGCACTCACTTGGTTGTAGTTGTTTTCTCTTCACAATCGTCACTAAAACGGTATCATTTGAGACATCAGCCGTCGGAAATACTCTAAACACAGCACAGCAGATCCCCCCCACAGCCACACATTTGCGTCGCAAATAAATCAAACACCCCCGATCTTACTCCCGGTGTCACTGCAGAGAATGTGATTCTGATCCCAACAGCAACAAAAATAAACGTTGCATTCGGAAGCTGCAAAATACGCTCATGAGAAGTCTGGAGTATTATGCGCACACACCTGTAATCTGTTTATTTCACTGAGCAAAGCAGTGAAATAAAAAATGGCTGATGGCCCAATAACGCTCACGCATCTGTCTCGCTCTCCTCCTCCTCTAGGCATCATCGTCGCCAGTGCGCTCATAGACATTTCGCAGCAGAAACCATCCGATTTTAAGGAGAAGTCGCAGGGCTTTAAGAGCCGGAAAGCCCTCCCTCCGGCACACCAAGGCACCTGCGTCTGAACCTCGGCCCGTCCATTCGGGTCCCTCTCTCTCTTTTCCTAATGCCAATCCAAGGCCATATTGTTCCAATGTGCAGCAGCCGCCCCCCCCCCGTTCCCCCCGGTTGGAGGCCTTTTCCAGAGACGCGGCTCCACGTGGAGGACTCTCTTTTGGCTGCATACGCTCGAGTGTCGCCGAGTCCACGGGAGCCACACCCCTTCCTGCCGTCCCCACGCCCCTTTTTCCCTGCTCTCGCCAATATAGATCGACTGGAACAAGTCCCCCCCCCCCCCCCGGAAGCACTTTCCTTTAGCGTGGGGGAACCGGTCCGCGCTTGGAGGGAGCCTGCCTGATAAGTGACATCAGAGACGGATTCACCTATCGAAGCTCCAGCAGTGAACATTTTGCTTGGCGTGAGGGAGAAACAAAGATGTTTGTACATTAGATTATATTAAAGTTTTTCAGAGTTCCCTCGCGTCGGGTTGGAAATGATGGTGTATTTAAAAAAAAAAAAAAAAAGTAGTGGCTGGTCGATACCCAGAACACTAGGATTTCTTTCTTCTTTTGGCTTGCAGACCAGTGGTGTTGTACGGTGCTGAAGCATTTAGTTCCCATGCAAAGCCTTTGCTCTACGTACTGAAATGGTTCTGCCTTTTAGCGCGAGGGGTGTGGGGGGGTGCGGGGCGGGGGGGCTCTTCTGTAACGCCCCATGACCACGTGATCAAGTCAACTGACCACTCAAGTATTTTGCCAATTCCCCTATGATGCTCTGTGTTAGCATTCACTGCACATATGTATCATCCACTCGGCTCAAGCTAAAGTCTGTATTATTATTATTATTTGTTTTTGTGGAGTACATAAAAACAAACTGCTGCAGAGACACAGCAATCAGTACCAGCGGCATGTCGGGGAAGAATGCAAACTGGAGGAGGCACGAACAAACCCGCGGTCGTCCAAATGAAACGTGGAAAACCCCGAAACAAAGAAGGAAACCAAGACGTTTTTTTCATTAGCAAACTGCTCGCTGAAGCTTCTCAGTTCTGGTGGATTCTTTGCTGTAGTTGGTACTTGTGTCTTTTTGCTGTGCAACTTGGACATTGGGATCGGGGGGGACATTTTGATAAAAATAAGCTCCTCCGCCTGTTAACTTGTTTTGTTTTTTCCTTTCTTTGACACTATGACTTGCTTGTTTCCATCTTCGAGTACAGCGAGTTGCGTTACCTTTTTGTGACGATGCCTTTGCTTTCTTTGCGGAATTTTGAAAAGCTGTCGACCATTTTTTAGCCCCAACCTCAACTCTGAGCTGTACGGTGTCTTGTCGGAACAGATGTGAGTGTCGCTCTTATCTCGTGAGATTGTGCGTGTTCTTCAGGTTTTTCTGACTGATTGGCGACAGAGTACCATTTATTTTAGGCCTTGTCACCTGTTACTATTGTATCTATGATAAAACTGTAAGTTCTTTGCTACACTTGTGAAAGGAGCATTTTTTTGTTTCATATTTTGTTTTGATATTTAACAGATTCCTGTGTAATTGCATTTAACTTGATTCTATTATTGATTTTAATCGGTTTTAATGTCTGTTCATTTTGAGTTGTGCATCCTTAAGGACTATATGGGCATTGTCTTGCTTTCTGTGGTCGTTATGATGCGGTTCATATGGATATATGCCGGCTAACGTGCTTTTATTTAGTGTTTTGTAGAGTAATCCTTTATCGATGTCATTACACAGGAATCAAGGTTTCACTGTACTATGGGGGGGGGGAAAGATGATATACTACACTACATATCAGTAATCTTCAGTGTATTTTAAAGGTGGACGACATGCCAGAAAATAAAAAAAATCTAAAAGACCTGAAACCTTTTGTGCCTCTTGATTCTTTCCACATTCGGTACTTCCGCTACATTGAATTCTAACGTTTTTACCTCTGAAGCTTCGGCCTACAATTTGTAATTGCGTTCCTTTTTTTTTTTTCTTCCTGAATTATATATAAAGCGGTTTATCATCTAATCCGTATTGTAACCGGTCACATGCATTCGGACCCAGCAAACGGATTATATCGCATTATACATTTATTTTAATTTCACCTGCCGAGTGCAACACGGACTGCGGTCCACATCTTCCACCCCGATAGAAGGTTTGTCCTCCAATGTGCCGGCACCTTTCAGAGCACTTATGTTCCCTCTTCAACATCAGTGTGGTACATTAACAAGGATGTGAAGAAGAAAGGATGCAGCGTGCCAAAGAGCTACTCCGGATTATCCTCATTTACACTCCGCAGTATGCTGATTATCTGAAGGGGCTGTTTGAGAGGAAGCTGCCATCCAAGCCTAAGCGAGTGTGGGTGCTTTTTAAAGCTGGTAATGGCAAGAAACCTGTTAAAATCAACTCACTTAGTGCCACTGTGTGTATGAAAGTGACGTGTATAATGTACAGCATGCCCTTTGAGAAGACTTTCCTTATGTCTCTAGTGAGTTAGCGTACCGCATGGTCAATAAAACCGGCTATATCTTCATTATCATGAAGTGCAAGAGTTGTATTTTTTTTTTTAGAAGAGTGAATGATATATATGAGAGACATGGACACATGAATCCCCAAATGTAACAGGACGTAAATGGACACAAGACATTCTGAATATGGCTGAGTATGTGTGCTTATACGCATGAAATCCATATTCTTTCTATACTTTAGTTATACACACACACTTGTATATAACATTGTATGAATAATACTACTGCTGATAGCTGCACGTGTCCAAAAAAGATCCACCGAGCGGCTGAATCCTTTGGACCGAACCGGCTGCTGGCTGTCGCACACAGTGACTGGCTGCTATTTTTCCAAATGACAGTTGAGTGAACAGAGGTCGCCGCTAAGTGCTGGAGAGAGAAGTGCTGAAAATATTGGGAGGGACCGCTGTGCTGAGCCTGAGTCACTGTGGGCAATCTGATGGAAGGGAGGTAGGAGGGGGGGAGGGTGGATGGAGTTTCTGTACCAAAAAACATCTATGTTTTTCTCTTCTGGTGACAAAGTCAAATTTCAATGTCAACGTGAGTCGCGTCCTCCTTTTATAAATAGGACTTAATTCAGTTTCCGTTGCCCTGATGCCATTACGAAATGTTCCTGAGATAAATTGGATCAAGCTGGAGACCTTGACTTTGTCTTCTTCTTTTTTTATTTATTTTTATTTATTTTTGTAAATTGTCACGGTGCCATTAATTCAACCACCAGATGGCACCACATAAATAAACCTGCAGGTCGCATTCACTTCATCTGGTTGTGTTTGCACATGCATGTCAATGGGCGGATTGACTTGAACAAAACGCGTCAATGGAGAAATGTGGGCTCCTGTGTTCCCTGATTCACTTTTAGTGAAAGAGTATTGATTTGAATCCGTCTTCGTGCCGGTGCGTCTGTATTCCAAAGAGATGGTGATTAATAGGTCACTTCCAGCAGTGAAATTCATTGGGACGCGTCAGAAGACGGATCTGCCAAACCGTCCAATGTGATCACACTAAAAGAATTTGGATGCCAGTGCAGATCCAGCTGACCGGGCCTTAACTTCAGGACGCATTAACGTCAGCGCGCTTCACCTGCAATGGGGGAGGAAAGAATAAATGACCTAATATCTGTGAGGTAATGTGTCTCATTTAGTGTGGATCGTGACAGAATGATCGACACGGGTCAAAAGGTTTCACAGGGAAAATATGATGTTCTTTTAAACTTCACAAGAGACTCCAGGTGAAATAAGAGTAACAGTTGCTCAGGTAAGTTGTGTAACAGAAGTGAGATGTGTTCAGCTTATTCCTTGCTGTTTTTTTTTTGTGGGGTCTTTTACCTTTTACTTTATGCTGCAAACCTCTGTATCATAGAATGAGAAATATATTGTCTGTCGGCTCAATGCATCCACACCCATAACCATGTATTTGTAGTATTGGCTTAATGGTAAACTAAACATGGCTACTGTGTCATAAGACACGTAGTTATCTTCTCAATTTCTCTGCAACCGTCATATGTGCTCGGTTTCAGAGCACATATGTGGCTTTACCTCGTTTCATATCATAATTGCATCTAAAGTGCTGAGCTGCTCCTTCCTGTAATCACATTGCTGTGACGCACTCGGCTACACACTCTGCACAGTTTGCCATACCTTTAGTTTCATCGGTGGATTGATGGTCATCTGCTGCTTGCCAATGCTACATAACATGGCAGAACAACGCATAAGTATTTTGAAGAGGGACGTGTTTCACTTAATAATAATTGCTGCATATTCACTTTTTTAAATTACATCTTCAATTGATTCAGATGTCGCAGTCGCTAAAGTAGCCTACATTTAGCTTGTAGCCTCTTATTTTTTGACGTGTGTTTGTGGCGACGACGTCAGATCAGACATGCTCTGGAAATATTCTTTCACGTTAAAAATATTTGCCATACGAGGTATCTACTCGCCGATATCACATTGAAAACACCAAAACGTACACGAGTCATTTAAGGTGTAATATCTGCAGCTGTGTGTCACCCCCCCCCCCCCCCCCACCCTGGGAAGGACATAGCTGCTGTGTGAAGGTCTCACATGCGACTGCTATCAGCACCAGCGTCTGCAAAATGAGGCCCAGAGAACAACCGTAGCGGGGGAACATTTAACGCCAGCGTCTTGTTATACTCAACACATTTGCAGGGAGGATTAGCAGATTGCTAATATGGCACCGTGCAGTATTAACGCTGATTAGTGCTTCCTTGATGAAGTGGGAGGAAGAGGAAAAGCGGGCCAGAAACCAGAAGGACAACTGCAGTGAATTACTCCCAATACCAAACCGTCATCATTCGCGGGTTGGTTACTTAGTTAGTTAGTTAGTGGCCCCACTTTGCGTTTCCATTTTAGCAACTACGTTACTGTGTTTCCAGATGTTTTTTTTACTACCGTGTCACACAATATCAGATGATCGGTCATCAGTTGGCTGTATTACAAAGTCTCTAGTTTATATTCATCTCTCACACACACACACATATATATATTCATCTGTAACTGGACTCACATTGCTCATTTTCCGTTCCCATTCTGAGGATTCGTTACTTTTTGACTGCTTCATATCATTTTGAATGAATGAATTTGGGTTTTAGACTTTTGGTCGGACAAAAACAGACGCGTGAAGATGTCTCCTCGTCCTACTCGCTGTATTGTCCACAGTTTACCGGCCACAAATTCAGTTTAGCGTTCCTCCAAGTGAGATGAAGGCTTAAGTTATCAAATCCTCTTGAGGTCAAGAGGTTGACCTGTTTCTATATTAAACATTAAAAAGTCGTCTCCAGCGCCGACGTGTTTACTCTAGTCGGTGTAGTTTGCTCCAGTGGAGCTTATGGTGCAATCAGCGAATCGTTATTATCTCTTATCGTTGCCCTGGAAAAGATGAGAGGCGAAGCTTCTCGGGACAAATGATGCCGAGGACATTGACATTTGGACACAACGGGCCGACGGGGTGGAAAAAAAGGTGAAATCCACGCAGCAGTGTGGCGGCGCTGGAACGATGGTTGCCGGAGAGGTCAAAGGTGCATCAGACGCGTTCCCCACCGGGCCGTGCTGCCGCGATTGAAGCGTTTAAAAAAATCTCTCCTCTCTTTCGGATTGAGGAGAAGACCAGCAGTGGTTTTATAGTAGTGGGAGGAGGAGGGGGGGGGGCTCTAAACACCCTCGCCCAGTCCTCGGGGCTTTATGGCAGGAGAACAGTAAACCTGGCGAGCAATAATGTTTATCATGGGATTAATGACAAGTGTTCTTGCCTCCGGGCTTCAGTCCACCAACGTGTGCGTTGCATTCTAAAATCCTCGGGAGTTGCAACTTAACGTCACTCACGTCTCTGGATGTGATCGCAAAGAAGAGTTTGGTCGCTTGTGTTTCTTTCAAAAGTCTATTTTCAGAAACCGAAACAAAACAAAATCGATCAAATGAGAGAACAATAAAAAATGACTCGCTTAAAACGTTTGTTCTAACTTTTAGTGACTCATAACGTGTTTTACAATTTTAATATTACCTGTATTTGTACGTCACTGTTTTTTTTTGTTGCAATTTTATTGCACATTTTATTCAATAATGACCAAATTTTTTGTTGCAACTGCTGAAACACAATTTGTTAGAAGCGTACACACAAAAACAAAAACATATTTACAAAACACCAATCCCTCCTGACAAGGGACCCTCCTCGTCGCTCAAAGTGACACGAGTCCGAAACAGGAAGCATCCCACACTGACACCATTTTTATTTCAGCTGTTTGGGAAACACTGAACAGAATTAACTTTTTCATGGTTACTTTTACATAAAAGTGGCCTCCCGCTCGAGGTGTCTTTAAGTTTATGATGACGTATATCGAAGCTAGTGTGGTATTTATTTACTTGACCAAAACCTTTAACAGAAAGAACCCCAAACCCGATACACAATCAACACAGACGTGCATCATAAGACGTCCGCGGGGATCATTTGTTCAAGTGATTTTACAGGCGCGTTTTTCAGTCATTGTCTCCACGATGTCTTTTAAAATGATCCTTTCGTTAAGCTCAGAATAACTATGCGTCCTTGTGTCTATTAGCAGTGGCCTCTGCTTGTGAGCACATTCTTTATTAGCGGAACACAAAGGCGACGTAATTCTTTACGTTACAGAGAGTTCGTCGCTCGTCCTCCCAAAGAGCACCGCTGAAGATCACATTGTGCACTTTGTAATGATACATAACGAAAATAGAACCACACGACAGCCGCACAGTTAAAGGAGCCGCATCCGGTCACGTTGTGTAAATCGCCGGATGCCGCTGGCAGGCGTCGGTCAACAGACACTAACAGAGACTCCCAAAGAAACGTCACAGACAAAATGTTACGAGCAGACGGCAGCTTACTGTTTTAAGAGTTGTTCACGTTGTGAGTCAGCATGTACACAATGTCCCGTTAGAGGCGGCGCGATTAAACCCACAAACAACCATAACGATCAAACGAATCTACAAAACTGATCTACGCCTAGAACCCGACACGTAGAAGAGAAACCCATTCTGTCCTCAGTGAAATGTTCATTATTCCATTCAGTGTGTCTCGTGAAATGGGTTAGTCCCCCCCCATGGTGACATATTACAGATCAGCACTTTTATACAACACTTAGTTTTTTTGTTCTGTAGAGCCGAGCCGGGTTTATTGGTCCACAGTCCAACGATCCACTTTGCTGAAACGCCCATCAGCACATCGAGGCTCGGTCTGATCGCAACACATTGCAAAGAAGTGAATGTGTTCACACGCTTATTAGATCACAGAGTTTAACCCCTTACCCCCCCCCCCCCCCCCCCCCCCAAAAAAAAAAGGTCCCTCCGGTGGGTTTTTAAAATTGAATGGCCACACATTTGCCCGCAGGGGGAAACCTCAACCACGGGGGGGGGGGGGGACACGCGCTCTCACCCTCCATTGATTGTTTGCCTTTCTACAAAAATAATATATGCCGGTGTCACACTTTGGATGAATGTCTAAATAAAAAAAAAATGTAAAAAATGAGTTGAATCACTTCTTGCCGATCCACCGTCCTCCGTCTCCTACAACAGCCGCAAGGCGTCGGGCCGCAGCAGCAGCAAGGCGAGCCAGAGGAGCGCGCTGGGGGGGGCGGCGGAGGGGGGCTCGGCTGCCGGGCTCCTGGCGTTGGCGTTGCTGGTATCGTCCAGGTGGGGGTTCTGAGGGAAAAAAGAGAGAGACGGAGGATTAGATGTTGCGATTAGGAAACGTAACGCGTTAAATGTCGGCATTAAATTGCATTTCATCTTTTTTTTGTACTGGAAGCATTAAGCATGCAATGTAATGTAATGCAAAGCAAGCAATGTAATGTAATGTAATGTAATTCTTACCACACACTGGGTGTTATCAAATGTCTCGTTGGACACCAGCTTTTGGGCCTAGAAGGAAGAATAAAAAGGAAGAGAAGGCAGAGAAACGTTCATTTTCATCCGTCCTTCCGTTTCTGAGAACATTTGTTGCACATTTGTGCACATTTGTTGCCACGTTTATGCCACGTCATTAGACTGCCTGATGACGTCGGTTCAATTCCGCCCCGAGCTTCTCATCACCATTCCTCTCTCGCGGTGGTGCATCCCAGCAATAGTTTATTTTTTCCTGGAGGTTGAACCGTGGCTAAAGAAAGGGCGACGTCTTCAAAGCAAAACCAAATTCATTACTGCGTCGAGTGCAACTCCCGATTATGCAGCCGAATACACAACGAGATGTATGATAATACTTCCCCACCGCTCAGACCTTCTCAGACCTTTTACTTTAATCACCCGCCTCCAGCGGGACGTGTTACGTTTGCCTGCGTGAGATCGCCTGCTTTGTGCCAGCTCAAGGTTAAGACAGTTTAATAACTTTAAAAGCTTTTTTTTTTTCTCAGACTCCTCCAAACCTCTTCAGCCGGATATTAAAAAAATACCACACACACACACACACACATACAAACAAATGCCCACTCGCAGATACAGAAATGGAGTACAGAAAAAGATAAAGTGACCGTGGTGGTGGTCTAGGAACATAATAAACACTCAACGCGTTGGTTTTTAAGAAGGAAAAATTCCACGAAAAGTGATTAATTGCTCCATAGGAGGTCTTACCTCCCGCGGGATGCTTCCACCGGTGATAAATCATATTATCGCTATTAAAAGCCAATGTGATAGATCGTGTCCCTTAAAGTGTACGTGATATCATCTCATGCGTTGCCCCATGGTATTTATCAGAAGAGAACAGCACAGGTCGAGAATGTGTTGGTTCAACGGAGCTGCCTGAAAGCACCTTTAAGCAAAACATGCAATTCACGACGTAAGGTGTCACAATCAGCGCATCAAAGTCATTTATTTTTACATTTCTGGTGGCACTTCTTCAAATCACATTGTTTAATGTCAAGACACGTGTTGAATTAAAAAGTTACATCTAAGAAAAACAACGTTGGTGCCATTTTTTCAATAACACAACAATGTCACCACAAGGTCGATTCCGAAGTTGGCTGTTTTTAACGCTTCTGATTGTAGCTCACAACCCTCCTCAACAGATAAGAAGTTTAACAAGCAACATTTCTGTGTCGAGGTTTAAAATGTTCTTCACCTAGAAACAGTTGTGGAATTTTTGCCCAATGAAGCTAAATCAGTCAGATAGCAGTAGATACGTATTTATTCATGGAACTGTGAGTGGCGTTTGTTGTGACAAAGCAAACAGGAAGTTAAGTAAACACAAACTGGGAGTTGGAATGGTGACGCGCATTTAGACACACACACAGGAGCAGACGTACTTCCCCTGTGGGCCATTGCTGATGTTACTGCGGCAACCAATTAGTTTTGACATGACAGCTTTGGAAGCTCTGACTCCCCACTGACGTCTCATCTTTCTGCCCAGGGGGGGGGATTCTGTGCATGCCGTCTTAAAGCCATCCCTGATCCATCAAGGTGACAGAGCCACACGTCAGAAAACCCTGAACAGATCTCCACCTGATATTTAGCTCCTCAATTTAGATTCTGGTCTTTTCTCTCTGAAGCTTCGAGGGGTTCCAAAATTCACCGGGAACAACAACAACAGCAAAAAGCCTGAAACTTAATCAAATCATCTGTTTGTTCTTTTATTTCCCCTCAAGGCGCAGCCTCTGACCAGAACAGCAACGGTCAAGATAAGTCGGCTAGTTATTATGATAATTCGGAAGTCGTGACCTCGCAATGCAGCTGTACCCTTTTGTTTCAAATTCCATATAAGATACAGTTTGTTTCTAGTGAGAAGTATAAGCTGGCTGAGAAATCTCTAAATACGGATCGATTCTACCAGAGTTTATTTAGTCATCCATCAGTATACTGTATATAAACTATGTACTGCTGACTGGACGAGATAGTCATCATATTGACGATTGACTCCTTTCACATTTGTGCTTTCGCTTTGAGAGTCAAATGAAAAACAGACACCGCCTACATTTCAAACGCATCAAAAGCTTCACCTGTAAGGTCCCGCAGGTGTGATATAAGGAGCCTTCGTCGAGGTCCAGTTTGGTGATGTCATTGAGTGCATCCAGCCCGCTGTTGGTCCGGTCTTTGCCCCCCCGGGTGACGCCGGGCTCCGGTGCGGTCGGCTCGATTGGGGGCTGAGGTTGCCACACTCCCACATCCGTACCGTTGCCGAATGCCTGGATGGCGTTTCCTGCAGGAATGCAGCGTATTAACTGGCGCCTATATTCTCCCGCAGAGTATATCATTAAATGACATGGAAAATTTGATTTGAATGCCCGTCTATGAGAGAATATAAAGTCAATGTCATACTTAGATTTTTATAATTACATGTATTAAGCATTATCCTGCAGCATGCCCTCTGAGCCTCTTTTTAATAACAGAGTGAGCACATCTAACAAGATAGCAGATGTCTTTTGTCATTGCCGCTGATGTAAGTGCAAGTGGCACGGACCAAAAAACATGTATTTCATGCCCAACTAAAAGCTGCCTATAATTGATACTTTGGATGATTGTGTAGGAAACGAAATTACTTGACCTTTGCCAAGAGTTTTCTTTTTAAAAGCAGTGTCTGCCTGCAAAAGATGTGATTAAAAAAAAGGAACTAAACATCGGGCTGAAATTAGAAAACGACTTATGAAATGCATGTTTTCCCGTCATTAATTTGACATTTAATCGAAGCTTCCTTTCCCTGAACAAAATAAAATGTGTTCTACTCTTTTGTAAAACCTGGTCTCAATCATAGTAAAAAAAACTAAACGGCCACGAGTTATTTTCCACATACGAGTAAAAAACTACACAAGCGATTGATGCCTAAATGCAGTCGAAGTAGCAACAATAATGGAAACGATAGTTCTAACTCACGTAGGCATCGGTTTCCGGCGAAATACTGGGCGAACCGCTCGCAGTCCGCCTTGCTGTTCCCGCTGCTGCCGCAGTCGCACCCCGGCGACAGGGTGAGGTCCAGCGATTGCACGTAGTTGGGCGTCATCACCGTACCTGCGGCGTAAAAAAGCAGAACGGGTTGCTGCGTCGCTGTCGGTGACAAAACAAAAACCCGCGCCCGTTGTTTCCTTTAAAGCCTGACAAAGTCATTTTCATCAAACGGAATGAACCCATGAATCTGTGTCTATTTGTCGTCTCGATGTAAACTGTTGCCTTCCTTCGTTGGGGGGGGGGTGGGGACTTAAAATGTCCGCCTGTTGAGTTTGCAATTGGTCGCCGCGTTGAAATCTCATTACCGAGACTCAACGTGTTTCCTTTCTACATGATGGAACCCGCTGATGGAAGAAAGACTGCGTGAAAGGAAATAAATTGTACTTCTGTAATGTGCTATAATGAGCTGGGCAAATTAGTGGTGTAACGGAGCTCCGTCGAGCCGCGCAGTCTGAGGTCACGCGTCGGTGTGCGCGACAAAAGTTTCACTGGCGATCGCTACCCGGCCGATATTCGGCGCAATAAAAGTTCAGGACTGCTTTTCTTTATCGGGTGACCTCCGGTGATGTTCAATGGAGGACAAACAATCTGTGTTTAGATTGACAGGAGGAGGGAAAGTCGAGTTAGCAGCACGGCTAACGCATTGCGATGCATTCTGGGCCTGTTCGGAGAAACGAGAACTGTGATTTGAAACTACACGCTGCACTGAGTACACTGAGTTTCTTCTGATTTATCTGACTTCAGAACGTTTGGATCTGAAGTGAAGCGTAAATGCAGAAGGGATGCCTCGGTAACCCATCTATAATAATATAATATAACACCGTAGTTTGTGTCGTTATGTGTCAACACACCACCACGCCTTAAAAAAACAAGTCGGATGCCCAAACAATTGACTGACAACAAAAAGGATGAAGCATACATATCATTTTGTTCGCCTGAATAGGTTTCACAGATTGTCGAGCAATCTCAAAGCAACACCATTGGCTCACACTATCAGCACACCTTTTTTATATTTATTATCCAGCAAATCCTGGAGTCCGTTAAACTCACCGATAAGCCCCGAGTAGGAGAGCAGGCAGTCGGCGTAGCTCTCTCTCAGGCAGCCGGAGATGGAGTGAGCTTCTGGCTGACAGCTGCTGATGAAGTCTGCCAGTCTCGACCTAGAAGATAACACAAGAGACAGATTGCAGATGTCTTATGTTTCCCGGTGCATCGGTTTGCCGTACAAGCAGTGGCTCCTCACCTGCAGATGTAGTTGGTCCTGCACGTGTTCTGGAGGGACAGGCAGTTGGGCTTGTCTTTGTCCTCGTAAGAGCAGACGGGCACGATGGTTTGTCGTCGGCGTTCCGCGCACGCCGTCTGATCCCCCGCCGCACACGAGCAGAACAGCATCCCGTAGCTGTATTTAGCCGGAACCTTTATTGTGGAAAGAGAACGTAAAAGAAAGGTGTCATTTATGTATCGCCCTGATTTCAGTTGAGCTTCTCCGTAACACAATTCAATTTTCATTTCTTGTGAATGGGGTGAAGGGAGGGGGGGGGTCACAACGTGTCACAGACCGCCTCCGGAGGTGGTTTGGAAAATTTGGTCACAATTGCCTTTTGGGGTGCATTTACAACTGTGGTCACCCGAAACCCATGTTAATGGCTGGTGCTAATGGGGTCGTAGATTCAGACCCAGCATGTCCGCCTCCCAGGGTTAATAGCAGCTTTTAGCAGAGTTAAACGTTATGCCCCCCCCCCCCCCCCTCCGAGGGATTGGACCCAAAATTCAGCTTTATGTGAAACTGCACTTAAAAATGCCCTTTTCTTTTTCCTTTAGACATTTGACACGTGGGGGGGGGTTGACGTTAATTCGAGCAGCCGATGTGACGCACAGAGAGCGGCTCTCACGATCAACCTGCTTAATTACCTTGTCAAAGAACTGCCGTAGGGCCTTGTGGCACTTGCGCTTGTTGCACACCTCCGAAGTAGACACCCTGCTGGTGCACGGGTTGATGTACGCCGAGCGGTACTTCTTACACGTGTCGTTCAGGTTACAGGCCTTGGCGGCGTTCAGGCAGTTGTTCTCCTTTGTAGAGGCAGGCTCGACTTTGGGGAGAAGAGGCACACGGGGAACGATGATTACCTTCTTGCGCAGGGTACATTTTAAGTGGAAAGAAAGGAGGAAATGTTTTCGTTAAAGAGATGTCACACTTGGCCTCACCTGACAGTTTAATTACTTTGCAGAAATCGCGCATTTCCGAAGGGGGGTCTCTCAGGTGCATCGGAAATACATCCATATGCTGATAAAATAGTCTTTTTAGTCATTATTGACCTTACTTTAAAATCCAAACAATAGGAATTTATCTTTTATCTCAAAATCAAGAACAAATGTTGTGTCATAAAATCGTTCGACACTGGAATGACATCATTCCCTTTAAGCCTACAGCTGTATGACATGAGCATATGGTGTGAACACAACAATGGATAAATAAGCATGTTTACTGAGGTTTGATTATGAATCATTTGTTTCTTTGTTACAGTTGTTTTGTTGTACGTTTGAACAGAAATTCCAAATTGTGTACTTCAGGTCGTTATCAGAGCTGTGTTACTCCATTAAGTCTATCGGTCCATATCAGTATATGTGACCAAACTGCATTCAGACCACAGCGATCCCTCTAAATTCAACCGAAACTCAAACACAAAAAGCACAAAGCTCTTATTTGTTGCCTCACAGAAAACATACTCCATGGGTACACTCTGAAAATACAGACAACTTCTCAGACAACCAAGTCACCCACTTTTGCCTCCACTTCCATCACATAATTCAATCATAATAACTTTCCAGTCTAATTTCTGCTATTTGTCGGCATAAAGTCCTCCTTGCCCGACTGAGTCCCACGCAAAGTGTACGCGCACGCGACACGGAAGGATGAGTTCTGTAAATCTGCCTTTTGAGGTGGAATTGAAGCTCACTGCACTCTTTCATGCACCACAGAATGAGCCATGATTAAATCTAAATACATTGTTGAACTTTGGGTTAATCACATATTACAAAATCCATTACTTCCATCTGACAAGTGGCTAAAGATGTGAGCCGTGATCCTTTACTGGGTGTTTGTAGCTCTCGAGCCATAGGTGTGATGGGTTGGCCTCAATTACAGGAATCGAGAGCAAAATGGGACTCCGTATACAGGGAAAAAGAGTGTTTTTGCATTTAATATGCTAAAACGTCTTCTCAGTGTCAGAGGTCAAATTATTATTTGACCGTCTCCAAAACCACATTTGAGTTTGTGAGCGAATCGGTGTAGTTCAACAACGACTTTATTCAGATCAAGAGCACAAGACCATTGTCACTCGGGAGTATTTCACGTACCAAATGTGTGGCTATTAAGTCATTTAATATTAGCGAGGTGGCCCTGTGTCACAAACTACACTCCCGATTACATTTTGACATGACTCTCAAACAATCCAAGGAAAAGCCCTGCTAAAACCTACAAACCCGTCTCTTGTGTCGTATTAGTATCGACCTTGAAATGCACACCAAGAACTGCGTGATGTCCGTCTGAACATATCTGGTTCAGGGACCTCAAGGCTTAAGAAACAAACGTCCCTCAGCCTTCTTCAGTTGCACCCCTCGAGCGAGGCCACCGTGTTGCCATTGATGTTGACCAAATAAGAAGTCGGGCAGCAGACGCTGGAATCTGACCCTCTGACCTCTGATCTGTTGCTACAAAAGACCTTTTGAAGGAGCCCAAGCCAGGTAGGAATCTCGCGGAAGAGGTTGATAGTGGCTGCATCGAGAATATTAGAAGCAGCTGTTGAACAGCTGCCAAGATGTCATCCAATTGCCCTTAATCAGGATTTTTTTTTTCATATGTCACTACTAAAAAAAATGCTCTTTCAGATCGTTTCAGCTTATTGGACACATGGCGTGCATGCACCTTGGAGAGCCGTCCCATGAGCTTTTGAGCGGTGAAGTCTGGATCGGGATAAAAGTATCTTTAAAAGACAAAGGGTACCATCTGGCCTGCGTGTACTCGAGGGTTGGGTCGTATGTTAAAATTGTCCAAGTGGCCTCCACCAGCCCCAAAAACACACACTATTGCCAATATACTCTTGCGAAGGCCAATGTGGGAGGTGGCCGCGAGGGGTGGTTTACACCGCCGCCGCTCGCGCCCCCTCGGGGCAATCCCCTTGTTTGTTGTTGCTTGTCGATGCAGGCTTAGACGGATTAATCGTCTCTCTGCACAGGATGCATGGAACAAAGGGTACAAGAGCAGAACCTCCTGCCACGGGACAGCCGCTCCTTTAAACCTCCTTCCTCTACGGCGTTTAACTCCACCGTTCTGGATAATGTTCTGCTAGATGGCGCTCAGGCCACGTGGCGTTCGCTTGTGTGCCTGTGTGTGACATGTAAACCCTCCCACGCAGAGCGTTAGTTTGACCATCGGGCCAAACCTCAAGTGCCAGCTGTGCGCACGGAGACCTCGATTGGGCCAGTGGATGACTATTGGGTCGACACTACGGGGTCACTTAACATGGACATAATTATATAGCTCTTCTTTGTGACTGTTAGATGGGTCCCCGATTGGTGTTATCGGGCAGTTTTTTCATTTTATTTTCCTTTATTTTTTTATTTTTTTGAGGTTGTAAAACTTTCTGTAGTATTGTCTCCAGGCATCAATTAGTGATGCATTAGAGTGAAAAACTTTTAAACTTAAATATTTTATTTTGACGCAAAGATTTGTTAATTTTTCAAGAACGTATCTAAACGTTGAAATTAAAACACCGCTCTCGATTTAGTTTTGAGCAAAACTGTTCGGTAAAATGTGAGTGATGCAAACATTTAAACATTAGACTGTACAACGTGCACGAGAAACCAACACAACAGAATCAAATCTGAAAGTGCAACAAAAAGATTTTGTCCCCCTGAATCAACGCAGAATCACAAATAAAAAATCATCTCAACAGCGCTGAAAACAATCGTAATCATGCAGCTTTCGTTAATAGCATAAATTTGTTGCTGTTTTGAATTCCTCTAAACGCATCCGTCCAATTAGTGCCCTCTTCATCCCCGTAATGCAACAAAAAAAAAAAAAGCAGCAGTGGTCAGCGCTCGCTCCTTCATGGCACCCTGCCTTCCATCGGCCCTCCTGCCAGCATCCCTAAACCCATGCCAGTGTCTCAGTATTTACGACCCCCATCCCAGACCCGTTTGTCAAGTTCACCCGTGCAATTAGCTAAACCTCACGCGGTCATTCATTCATCCAGAATCCATTCCAGCATCAGCCCAACATCATCCTCCACGCTGCCCACGTCGGCCGGATGCAGCCGGAGGTCGTGCGGTTCAGATGGCTGGACACGGAGCGCTATGATTATGACTGCAGGGTATGTGGGCGAGGACGTAGACTATGGGCTTAAATTGCTGTGGTTGCACCGGGCCATGCGGTGGGCGGGCTGCGCCTTTTGCCTTCCTGTTAGTCAGAGCGTCAGTTCTGATCAAAGGGCGGTTATTCTTCCTCGGCCCAATTATGAGTAAAAACCTGCCCTTGCTCCGTCTCACCGTTGAGCAGTGTCCAAATGATTTCCATTGAAGGAACTCTTGTTTTCTTCCTCCCTGCTATCATGCATTTATTGGTTGAACCATGAAGCTGATGAAAACGTAAGAAAAGCTTTGTGTGTGTGTGTGTATATCCCTGCCAATGCATGGGGCGTGTGCAGGGTGATTTGCATGTAGATGGGGGTCTCTATACAGCGGAGATGCACACGGTAAGAATGATTAAGTGTTTGTGCACACGCGTGTTGGGTGCCGGCTCCCGTCCAACAATTCCATATGTGATGGAAAATATTTTCCTGCATCACCTGCAGCCTTTTATTTTCTTATCTCAAAGTAATGATGGGCCAATTCCCCTGCTGCTTCCCTCATGAGGAGATATCCACTTGGATGACAACATTTATTCCGTGACATTCTTGATTAACATGTCTAATTTCTGTTTTTATTCGTCGCGGTGTTGCCAAATGAAATTGGCAAAAACACAGTAGCAAACTAAGTTCGAGGTGTTTCACGCATCAGTATTTGAGGGCGATATCCTCAAAAACAGTCAACTACTCTCAGGATGTGCAATATCTCTGGAGAAGTTCCTTTTCCTTTTGCTGTTTTATTAAGAGAATTCCATGTTTCCGTGGTGTTCATTCAACACCCTTTGATTAGATTTTGTTGTATTCTCGATGGTTGGTGGTTTTTATGTCCACCTAAACCCCCACAAGTGCTCCGCGCACCGTTCAGACAGCTGCATACCCGGAAGTACAATACGCACGCTGATGAACGTGGTAAAGTTTGTTTCACACTGCTGAATGCTTAAAGATTTAACATTTGTTTTCACAGCATATAAGGGAATTTCCAACTTCCAATCCACAACTGGGCTCCCGTAATGGATTCGGACCCCCCCCCCCCCACACACACTCCCTCTGGTTAAATCAGTTATTAAATCTCGTTATTCCGCGGCCGCACAGGGGCAGAACGAAAACAAGGGAGGAGTTTCTGTACTCGGATGTTCACAGGCTCGGATGGAGGCCACAGACTACCCACGGATCCATCTGTGTTACTGGGCTCAGTGGTGGCACTGGTGAGGTTATACCTCTACCAGCGTGTCAGTTTGCATGAAAGCTGAGTAACTGGCTGGAGGGCTCCAGAAGTTTGGTGGCATTCCTGCAGTGTCACAGTGTTTGCATCCACATACTCACATATAAATCCACGGCTATTTCTATACTGTTCTTTCTGTTTCAGGTGGAAGCACGGAGGACACAGGATGAGTTTATTCCCTCACTCACGCAGTAAGTGCCTCTCCAAACACCCCCCCTACCCCATCCCGTCAGATAGAACACATCCTTCTACCCATTCTGATTCAGCTTCTGCCTCGGTGGGGAAATGAGGAAGGATTCACCCGATCTAGAAACTATCCAACGTTTACAGTACTGAAGACGTGGCCTTTAACCACTTGTCCTTTTCTCAGTGCTCGCCTTCAGCTGGGGGGCACCATTTGGCCCAGTCTGTAGAAACGTTTGGATACACTTCCATTAACAAATACAAATGTTCATGGTGCCTGGAGTGACGCGGTAGCTCCACCGGCGTGGTTGTCATGGCGGCGTCCCTCCACAGGAGGACTTGTGATCTGGTTATCCCCTGATTTTTCACCGCCATTAGTACTTTACTCCCATCAGCCTCAGCTGTACTCTTTTGTTCAGTGCTAATTAGCAAATGTTAGCATTCATAAAATGGGATTTTCTGAAACTTATTTGGTGTCAAAATGGACCACGTGTCGTGAGCTTTGGGAACAAGGTTCCCACATGCATTATTTTACACCACAGGCCGCCTGAGGCCCGGCTTAGCTGCTCTTACAGGAATGAGGTCACTTACGGCGAATGGCTTCCTGATATCTAACCCTGTGAGTGGTGGGTTTTTTTTCCTGGCGCCGTCGGCTGTTTACACCGCTGTACATTAAACTGGCGCTATCTCCGCCTCTCAATCTGTGTTGCACACAAACTGCATACAAAAACTTTCCCTGCCACGTCTCCCAGTCACTGACTTTGATAAAAGATTGCAGCTTTTTTTTAATATATTGATTTCCTATTCACATTATCTAGAAGGCTTATTAATCCTTAACCTCTTTACAGATTTTTTCAGGAGACCAACAAAGTGACATCAAATGTTATTTACATTTAGCCATTTTGTCAGTGTCATGTGGAGCAGCGGCACTTTGACACGCTAAGTGGATTCAATCACAGGGAAGAGCCCAACAGAGAGAGGCAGAGGCGCGGAGGGACGCAGCGACGATGCAATGGCCATTGTTTTCACCCTAATGGTAGCTGCATGGCTGCTGGACGCACACGCCCTCCTCCGCCCAGAAGGCCAACTGCAGGGGGCCAAAGAGCTGCACGGGTCGCGCTCTCTCAGTGCCATTGAACGCAGACAGGTGGTTGATTGCTCCTCTGCGTGTGTGCGAGAGAGAGAGAGAGAGAGAGATTCTAAATCCGGGCCTGCACATGTTCCCAAGCATATGGATGCTACACCCAGCATCAGTGGGAAAGTGGGGATAAACATGCAAACCTCTCATCATCATCATCGCTTTTTGAAAGCCCAACGTGAAATGTACTGAATGACTCTGCTTTGTGTACGGCGGGTCACAGCAGGCGGACAGAAGCCTTTGTGATGCCTAACGGCCGGCGAAAGCTGCAGCCCGACGCGGCAACTGAAAAGAGCGGTTGTCCAACAGTGACATATTTGTGACGGCGGCTGAAGCTGCCGGCAGTATTGGCTCCTGGTGCGTGCAACAGGGACTCAACTTCCCCACAGTGTCCAAACTTAAGGAACGTCGGCGTGAAAGCGGCGTCTTACCGGCTATGATGGGCGCCAAGCGGAAGATATCCGAGAGCCGGCTATTGACTTGTTCGTACGGAGAGTACTCCAGCAAATCATTACCTGCATGGGGGAAGGGGAGACATTTGTTAATAACGGTGCGTGTAGTTCTGCGTAAACGAAGGTGGAGTGTGTGGATGTTCTACTCGGACAGTGCGGCCCATCAAGCACACTAGGTTATCCCTTCGTTAATTACTCGTATTGACATCGCTTGTTCCCCCGGACGATGTGTCGTCATGTAACTGAAGAGGACTCGTGGGGGGGTTTGAGCTGTGGGTCTCAAAGACGGTTGGTTCGGTGAACAGGTTCAATATGGGAATGCATCTCACTGCAACTCCAGGTGAAGGAGGATTAAGTAAATGTATTCGACTTCTCGAGGCCTAAAACACAACATTTGTTTGAGATCTATTTCGGAATTAACACTTAAAGCAGATTGTGTGATTATCCGTTAAATAATGCATCACTACGGATAAAACAAAACCAGCTAGAAATAAAGCACCAGTTTGAAATACTGTGCTTAAAACACTGATGCATACGTGATCATTAGACAATGGTATGACATGTGATATGACTGGGGCCATTCTGCCTGTGTAGAATGTAGAATGTGTGCTTCTTTACATGTTTCCAACGATACTTATGTCAACTATAACTTTGTAACTTAAGGGATATTTTTTACAAAGTGCCACGAACACAAGCTTTTTTTTTTTGGAGTGATCTACCCTGTAAACTCTGAAAAATGCTCCAAAAGATCCGGAGACAGTTCTTCTCCTTCTTCATGCCTCTCCTGCACCTGCAGTGGTTGAGGGGGCTCCGCTTCACGGCGTCGATGGCGCTGCGGCACTCGCCCTGCGCCTCCGGACCGGTGACCGCGCTGAAGTTGGACTCCCTTCCCGCCACGCACTGCCTCATGGTCCGGTACTTGGTGCTGCAGCTGTACTCCTTCAGACACTGCTCGCTGGCCTTTACGCAGTCCAGGCGCGCGGGCCGGGAGGACGGGCCGCCCTTCAAGGTGACCAACGAGTCTGGGAGTAACAATCAGAGAGTCAGAGAGAGAGAGAGAGAGAGAGAGGGAGAGAGAGATGTGGCTGAACTCACTATAGCCCGACGGATCAGTCTGTTAACGTGATTGCGCCGTTGCCAAAACGATGCGCCAACAAACTTTTGCGCAATCAGAGGAGATGGAACGCCGCGGCCGCGCGCCTCCTCTATTCTGCACTATTCGGTTTGCGTGCGCTGTGTCACTGAAGCCGAGTCGTTTAAAAAAAAAAAAAAAAAGACAACCCGAAATAGGAAAATGCAACAGATGAACGCGTCACTTACCCGGGAAGGACAGCAGCATGACCAAAGTGGTTAAAATCATTGCGCCTCGTGGGGTGTCGGGGAGCTGTTAAGGGGATTCGAAAACGAACTCGTCACACGGATCCGCTTTTCTTCGGGCGGCACATTTTTGTAAATCCAACAGCGAGCATCCGAAACTCTCCCGCAACCCCTGAGCCCCGCAGCGGCAGTTAGACCCGCATCGCGCCGGAGCTTCAGACGAGCGGAGCGCGGAGAGACGCGCGCACAGAGACGCGCAGGCGGCACAGCATCTCCCCTTTCAGCCCGCTCCTGTCAACCCCTCCTGCGTGCACGCGTCCCTCCGTCCGCTCGCTCTGCCGCACGCACGCACGCACGCGCGCGTCTGTCACCAGATTGGAGGACGAAACTTTAGAGTCGAGGAGGAATCACGGATTTTGGAAACTAAAGCACATCTAACTTTGGCCGCGTTTGAACGATACATCCACCCGACAGCTGCAAAAGGACGTTTCTTTTTCCCAGGTAGAAAGAAGTGTGTGGGGGGGGGGCATCCCCTCCCCGACCCCTCCCCCCTCCCTCCCTCCACCCCAGATCCTGTCTGTCGGAGACTCACTGTGACGACAAACTGTGAGGCTCGGGATCCGACGGGTGAGGGCGTGACGTCACGCCTCTCTATGTCTTTATGCGCACAATAACCTCAATAATCCCATTAAGAGCGTGAATTTACACACCCAAAGCAAATGGCCGGGTGGAGTTATTAACCCGGGCTTTATAATAGCACGATTATATATTTATGTAACCCGCAGGCCCGCCTAACATGAGGACACAACCCCTTTTTTAGTTTATTTCCCATTGAAGACCTAAATTGCAGTGATTTAAGTACCTCAGTACATAACTAAAGGCACTTTAATAGTTTTTCTCTCAGCTCAGAACTCTTGAGATGTATGGAATCTATTAATAGCCTTCAGCACTTTAATTTCGGAGAATGGGCGGCCTGCGAATGTCGTTTTGGGTGTTTAAAAGTTTCAAGGTATCTCAATCTCTCCAATTGCAAGTGGTAAGTGCAATTCATGGGCAAAGTGTGACATTGCTTCTTCATCTGGAATCGCAGTTTGCATACAAATCGTGATCACCGTTGACAAAACTTTTTCAATCAAAGTTTGTTTTACGGAACAAAAGCTTAACATTAGATGAAGAACTCCAAAGTCTACCGATTTATGGATTTCTGGACATCACAGGTTGCTTCGGAGTCCAGATATTCTCCACTTCAAACTGACCCGATGTGTTTGAATGCTACTTGAAAATGTTCTGATTCTACATGTTGTGATGCTATAAAGCAGCAGCTAAAAGGCTTGTAATGACCAGTAAGAAGGACACAATGAAAAGCCATTATTCTTTCACTCTTGCATGTCTGATTCCATCTGCGTGGGACTAAAAGTAGCTTGTAATAGGCACTAAATGATATTTTGGTACCTTGCTTGAAGGCGTCTCTGCAGGATGTTGAAGCCCACGTGTGCTAATATCAAAAGAAATAAAACATCAGCAGAATTGATTCAATTCAAGATGTGTCAGATTCTTACCTGTTAATACAAATAATGAAACTATTTCATCCTGCACTGCCGTGCTGTCAAATGTTAGGGGGAAAGAACGTTCATTTATTTAGTATCCTCTCTATATATACTTCCTCTTGTGCATGAAATCAGTCTGAGAAGGAGCCGTACAGTCTAATCAAGAGTTCATTTATTTTTATTGTAAAACGGTCTCTGAATATTCAAGAAATAAAGCAATAAAGTACGAGAGTTGGTTCGGACTGTATTTTGTCGGAGTGATTGTTTCGATTTGTCCTAAAGATCTCATTTGGTTTGGTGATAACTCATTAGATTTCCTCTGAAATACTGTCTGCCGTCATGGCGATTGTGTGAGAGGAAAACTGGAAGCATTGAGTGTTGCATACGAACATCCCGTATAAAGGGGGAGAGTCTTTCTGAAAGTCTGCCAGCGAATTACATCGATTGGAGCATGACTGATTAATTCATTGTGTGTGTCCAGTGGATTTCATTAGTATCATAATAAACTCATTCCACTCGATTTAATTCCTGTCACGTTTCCCATCCTAAGTAAAAGACAGGCAGTAAAGACATTGATTTGTCCATGAATAGCGTAGAGATGCACTGCGGACTAGATTACAAAAACTACATCCGCCATTCATACCGTCCCAAGAGCTTTCTTCTTCTGCGATCCATATTTGGCCGTATTGTTAACTGCGCGGCGCATTTGTCCATTCTAATGAAGTGTTCAGATACTATTGGATGGGCCCTAGTAAAAGCACCGGCTTATTTGACCAATACGTCGATATCTATGCCTGAGCTGCATAAGTGCTTCAGGAACACCGCTAATCATTAAATATGCATTTGGTACACGCTGGTAACATCTTTTGTTCACATTTCAAATGCACGGGGGCTCCATACAGTGTTCCAGCTTCAGGATGTGATTGAGTGCTGCTCAACAAAGCCTCCAGGGGAGGTTCAGGAAACCACCAGTTGTTAAGTTTCCAGTGACAGAAGGTAATAGTGTACATCCTGCATAGGATATGGCCTACTTAAAGAATTGAAAAATCAATACGGCCGCAATGCTCGGACCCTTTGTTTCCTTCCAGAAGTCCCCCCCCTTCCCCTCCTCAGCATCATCCCTCTCCGGCTCTTTATGGAGATCATTCACTTGATGTGTCCCCAAAGATCACTGAAGCCTTTCGCAGCAGCTGAACACGTCCAGGATGAGATTTATTTGGGCCTAATCAATATTATTGTTCTCGCAAGATCAACAGTAACCAATTACCGGTCCGCCAGGCAATTCGTGTTAAAAGGACGAGATGGAAACAAACTGTTGTAGTTTGACTAGACAAGCAACCAAACACGACCATCCCCGTGAGCTGGTTCAAACATTTCTGTTGAGATCGGATCCCCGCTCGGCTGGGTTATCTGGGATTGCATTACATCTCAGTGACGAGATCTCCTGCCAGAGGAGAACTTCTGAGAGTTCTCCTGCAAGCAGCACCCATCTGCATGCTCGCCGTGCGCCAGACACCCAAAGTTGTGCCAAAGTGGCACTGAGCACACAACGTGATGTGCACGGATGTGCACGAGGAGCACGGAGGCCGAGGAGTGGAGGCAGTGTATTCAGCCGGGTGGGATCCAAAACACTCGTACTCACGCCAAAGCTCCAGATTTGCCAACGCGGCGAGCATATGGATCGACGTGTTCGTTCATCCTGCAAAAACATGGCAAATTCTGGTGAAAACCGTGATCAATGGAGGAGTGTTTTGAAGTGTCAAAGCATCCGTATGAAGGGAGAATTTTCTATCCATTCAAGTGAGCTCTGAATGAAGATGTGAGGATTGCGTACATTGGCCATATTTGTCACGGTGTGGTTCACTTTCTGTTTTATTTTGTAGTTTTCGGGTAACTTCACTTCCTGCCTGGTCCTGTCATCCCCTGTGATTGTCGGATTGTTGCCACCTGTGTCCAATCACCTGCACCTCCCTTGTGTATTTAAGCAGTGTGTGTTGTTTGTCACCCCCCCCCCCCCCCTTTGTATGTGTTTTTGCCCGTTGGCCTTTTGATTTGTTGGAGTTTATGACTGTTAAAGTCTTTTTGTTACTCGAAGTCTGCGTTTGAGTCCTGCCTTCCTACCCAACCATGACAATATTGTGACGAATGGAAAAAGAAAAAACGGCCAGTATTTTATAATCAAAATGTTCATATTAGAAAAAGTCGAATTTGTTTGGTAAAATGTTCTTTTTTTAGATTCTATGTCCATATTACCAAAACTAGACTTACTCGCATCTCTGATTTATGCTTTGGGGGCTTCCATCATCTTGTTGGTTAACTTGTTTGTCTCTTCATTTTTAATTTGAATCCGAACTTTAGCGTTTTCTTTCCCGATTTGAGTCATTGCTATTTACAGAACAGGCTTCTAATATAAAAACAAGCTATTTCAGAGGCAACAGCTGTGTCTTAAGCACGGGTGATCACTTTGGAGGGACAGGAAGGAACTACAGTTCCATCTAGTGGAAAACAGGACCCGGTACCATCTCTGCCGACCTGCTGAATCCTGCTCTGCTTTTCTAAACTTTAGATTTTATCTCATACTGTTGATTTTTCAAACACGCTCTCATAAGAAATGCTTTTTTTTCGTTGGTTATTTCAGCCACTTTAGATTAGTTTTCTGTCATTTTCATTTTCTGGATAATTGTCCTCCTAGGAACTAATTAATACTGTAAGAAAACAACTACACCACGGCGACCCTGTAGATTGTAAAAACTCTGCATTCACAGGGAGACGGGACAAGATTTTGATATTGTAAGAGTTCCATTTGTGGAGCTGCTGGTATTGACCAGCCACATCGGGGGGAGGCTCTGGTTTGAACGCAGGTGAACAGTCCCCATGGAACGCATTAGAGCCCGGGTGGCTTGGTTGGTAAACCGCGTGGAACAATGCGGTCGTACGCGTCCTCTCTCCAGCTGCAGTCTGGAGCCCCGAGACAAACAGAGGCGCGGCAACAAAGGCCTCTGGGTTTATCCTCTTGCTCCCACAGGATTCACCGATGGGCCCTGAAATAGCTCGTTGTGAGGATCCGGGAGCCCTTCTTACCGTCTCCCTGTGGGGGGTCTCCTCCTCTCTCTCTCTGTCTCTCTCTGCACACCTTTCCATGAACACAATAACTGTAGAACAATTCAGATTAGAAGCGCCTTATCTGCACAGGTTTCCCCTGGAGGAGCGATGATCTGATCCGATTTTAGGGGCACACGGCGGATTAGACAGGCGTTCATTTTCCTTTTTTTTTTTTTTTAGAGATCCTTGGCTCAAATGCCTGGAGTTTAACTTCCCCAAGGCAACAACAAGGTCACTTTGGGGGGGTGACTCGCGTCGTGGAAAGGCTGCCGTGATCAGCATAAAGAGACTGATGGCGGTTTTGATAAGTCTCAGTCTCTCTGAAAACTCCTCTCTCACTCCCTCTGTGACCCGGAAAAAAAAGAGAAGAAAAAGCATGTTTGTGCATGTTTCTTCGCAGTGGCGGTAATGGAGGATTTGGAAGAGGGAGCACTTGTCTCACGTCTAAAGACGGAATGTTGCATCATTGATATAACATAAGAGAAAAAGAAGCAAAAAACACAGTGAAAATGATCGAGAATATTTAATCACATCACACGCTTAGTCTGATCTTATTCAGAACTACATTTCCTACATGTGTAGAAGATATTGTGGCTCAAATACACGTCCGTTCCCTCAGTAGCAGGCATCCTTTTTTGATATTACACCCTGCATACCTTCGTCTTTACTCGTAATGTCAAGGGGAGAAGTTGCTCTCATGCAAGATTTAAGGTGAGAAAACATCCACAGAAAACCCTTAAGTAATGTTCTCATCTACTTTGATTAAAATATGACCATTTTTAGCTGGTTCCTGAATTTGTTTTTTTTTCCAGTTTCAAAAAGCTAAATAAACATATGTCACTTTAACCCGAGTGTCACTGTGACA